AGAGCAAAACAGTTGCCCAGTAGTGATGGGAAAGGAGGAACTCAATGAGAACAGAGCTGCAGAAACAGCTGAGGATGGTAGCACAGGGGCTCAGCAGGATGCAGAGGACAGCAGGACACCACAAGGTACTTTTGCACGCAAGTGGATCCAAACCAGGCACCTTTTGTTTGCTGAAGCTGGTACCCATGATCTAGGTTACTGTGCATTCTAGACAGCACAGAGTGTAGGGATAGAGTTCTGTGGTCTGAAGCTGAGCACTGTGTTATAAAGGAGAGATTGCTCACTGCATACTTGTCCTTTTCTTCCCTACAGAACAAATGGATGCATTATTTAATCAGTGCTTTTTTCACGCTTTAAAATGCAAAGTGAAGAAGTCAGACCTCCCTCTGCTCACCAGCACATTTCTACGCAGCCATATGTTCTCATGCTGGTATGTGGTAAGAAGAGTCTTTGGGGTTGCAAGAAAGAGTGGAATATTTTGAATCAAAAACTTCAGCCCAAATATTCTATTCTAAAGTAAAATCCAGGTTACCTCGGACTGTGTTTCTTACATCAAGGTGTTTGTATGATTGAAACTGGAATATGCATTTAATAGCTAACTTGAGTTGACTAACAATTGTTTAAAGATTTCTTGATCACTTAAATGGCTCTTTGCTTCCCCGTAGGAGCATCAGCACTAGTTGAATTCATCATGTTCTGTCTGTTATTTTGTCGAAGTAATTCTGTGTAGAGCTCATTTTTTGCTGTTAAGATAATTTTAACATAAGTAGGTACCTATAACTAAAGAACTGTTTTTAAAAATCCATTATAGCCCTGCTGGACAGCAACTGGATATAAAGAAGTCAAGCTACAAGAAGGTGAGATTTTCCTAGTTGTTTTTTTTTTTTTTAATGTTACTTGAAATAAGTAGAAGGAGATAAAAATGTTGAGCTTCAAATTGTTGAAGTGTTAATAAAAAAGACAGAAAAATCCTGTAAGCTGTTCCTAGAAGCCAGGTTTTTTTACTCAGATCTCTGCTCTTGAGAGCTCAAGGGAAGAAAATTATTGTCCTGAAAGCATGAGCACTTCTTTGAACATATCTAATGCAGTCTGATATTTGTACTGTGATAGCTGTTAAAGGCTCTGATCTTGTTGGACACTGCAGTTTCTTGCAAGAAGGGATCATTCCTTTTCTGAAGCTATTAATGAACAAAGATGAAAAGAGTGGAGATGACAGGCAAGGACAAAGCCTGTTGCCAAAGATGTCACAGCAGTCCATGTGACACAGAGTGTGATTTGGCCAAGGTCACAGAGCAAACAGGTGGCAGACCTACAAAAGGAACATTTGCTAATTCTGTTTTAGAGCATGATGAAGGCACGCAACATTCTTTAGTAATCACTGTGTTTAGAGAAGCAAAGGACTACAGTGCTGGGTTCCCCCCCATTAAGTTCTTCTGATTTAGCAAGTAATTTTGGGGCAGTCAGAAATACAAAGAGGAATTCAAAATACTCAACTCCACATTTCTGATGGTTGTTTTCTCAGTTTTCTAAATTCCTGCAAAGTATGCAGCACCAGAAGATCTTACAAGTGAAGGAACTGACCAAAGGCGTGGAAAGCATTGTGGAGGTGGACTGGAAGCATCCAGAGTATGTAGAATGTTGTAGTCTTTGAAAGAGGTGATAACCCTTGAAAAGAAGGAGCAGAATCATCTGTCTCCATCTGTTACCTATTATAACCTTTGTTAGCAGTCACTCACTTTGACAGTGAGTCTGGAAAATTTGTATGGCTTTTTTTTTAGTGGGAAGGGAAGAAAGCTTTATATCCATCAGGCATTTTTCTAGCTATTTAACACTGAGTCTAATGATATGACTGTCTTATGCCTTTCCCATTTAAGCAGGTCTCCCAGTTTATCTGCTGGGACAACTCTTTGTTCAGCTTTGAAGTGAACTTATCTGTCTAAAAAATAACTCCAGTGAGAAGATGACACTGCTGCTGCACAAATGCCCATGAAGCTACAGCCTTAAAATGTCATATAGGATCAAATCAGCCACTTTGTCAAATCAGCAGCCAAAGTTATAATCTTAAAAAACAGAAAAACTGTTTCACATCACACTCTGATTCACACAAATACTTTAATTGCTTATTATCTGATTATCAGTGCTTCCATTATCTTTTTAAGGATTAAAAGTTATATCAAGAACCAGATTCCTTCCTTTTGCATATCAGCACATTAAGCTCTCTCTTGGAATTTCCCATTGGGCCCAAGTTCTGCTGTTATGTAACATCTCCTTGGCAACTAATGGGCTGGAGAATATTTTGGTAGATACAAGCATATCTTCTCTTCTGCGTTTGGAAAGAAGCAGAATTTGACATTTTGCATTAACTTTTCTTTCATCATCTTTAGCCTTGTCATTAGGAGGCACAGTTACGCTCAAGCTCAGTTTGCTGTGTTCTCTTACTTGCAAGCACAGAAACTGATGTTACAAATTTCAACCTCTTTCATTCCCCCCAAATAATGTTTTTGTGTGTTTTTTTTTCCCTAGCATTAAAGCATTTGCAGTACCTGAAGGATTTTCTTCAGCCTCTGCTGCTCAAGATAGCAAGAGTGAAGACAGGGAACAAATATACCGTGCTCCTGAAATCATACCTCTGTATGGGGTCTCAGCAAAGATGGTGCCACTGTTTCAGGACTCTGGACACAGGTGAGCACTGGAAAAATGCAACAAAATCAATTGTTGGGTTAAGAGATAGGCTAACAAACCTGCGTTGCTGCCATTTTTTTCACTTTCAAGGAGGGCAATCAAGTTTTCTTTCTATTTAGAAAAGGAAGCATCCTCTCAAGCAGTGAGGTGAGAAACATCATCATTAACTACGTGAAGACTAACGAGTTGGTTGATGAAACAAACAAGAAGTGAGTATACATAAAAGTCATCCTACCTCGCTTCCACAGGAGATGCTGAATATAAAACAAGAAGTGAATTTGTTTTCTCCTAATGCGTGTTTTTCTTTTACAGCTTTGTAAAAGTAAATGCCATTCTGTGTGACTGCCTGCTGGATAAATCAGAGCAAGATGAAATCTCACACCTGAAGTGGGATGACCTTCTGAGCAGGTGGCTGTTTTTCCATTGTGCTGTTTCAATATGACACCAAATTATCACATTATGTACAAGTCAAAGCCCCGTGTCACTGGAGTTACTGAAGTTGTAGCTTCCTCCTGGTGATACAGAAAACATCTGGAGACCTTCACTTGAATCGTATCTCATTCTTCACCATTCAACCACCATCTGTCATTAACTGATGTTGCTTTCTGTTTTTGTTTACATGCTAACTATCAGGAAAAGATTTCTAAACAGCACTGCCTGATTCTCTGTACAACCTGTAAATACATATCTGTGAAGCTATTGTTTGCAGCAGATAAGTGAACATGCCCTTTTTAGGCAATAGTAGTCATCCTGCTCTTTATGTTCAAGGTCTTTCTTGGCTGTGCAGTTCTAGACTTTATCCATAGTCTCAAAGGCCTGTGATAGGCTGCAGCAGAAGAAACACAGTTAATATCAGTCCTGCTGTGCTGAGTAGACCAATTGGATCTATAAACTTTGTTCAGGTGCCTCGAGCGTCTGCAGCCCTTACACCAGGTGACATTTTTTGGACAAGAACCTATTGTGAGGAAAGGAAACATTGAGCCCATTGATATAACCACTGCACAGAGATCATCAAATAAGAAGGTAAGAAGAGAAACAAAAAGATGGGATATGAATGAGTCCTGATTCTGAGGGCAGCTTTGGCAGCTTGCTTTTCTGAGATGAATGGGATGCAATTTACTAATACTGACAGTAGTAATGTCAGTATTAGTAAGTTGTCTGCATACATTAGTAAATAGTCTGCAATCATTGCTGGAATCTTCAGGTGACAATTATCAAGAACCTCGAGCTGTACGGTTTAGACCCACAGTGTGTGGCCAATATTCTACAACAGAAAGTGCAGGCCAGCACCACCATCACCCCAGTGCCTGGAGCAAAAGACAGAGTTCAGGTCCAGATCCAAGGCAACCAAGTCCATCACCTGGCCAAGATGCTGCTAGGTAGGTCTGTTCTGGAACAGAGCTTGGACTAGTTATAGCAAGATGCAGATTTTAGTTAGTAATTTAATTTTTACCTAAAATGAACTCTTCTTTATGTTGCAGAAGAATACCAACTACCTCGGAAATATATCCAAGGCCTTGAGAAGGCTGCAAAGCTCGGCCGGAAAAAGTAGGAGAAAAATCTATTGTAAGAATTAATCAGCTCTCATTATTTATAGAAACGTCCTGCCAACAGATCAAGGTTATGTACAGGCTTTATTCATTCAAAGTCCTGCATTTCTACATGGTCTGGGATTATCCCAAATAATAATATTGCTCTAAGTGATCATTTTTCATAAAAATAAAAAGCTGAAAAAAAAAATACTAGCTTTATCCTTTTCCATATTTTCTAATATATGGGTGTCCTTTTTTTTTTTTTTTTTTTTGCTACAGAGCCTCACAGCCAGCCTGACATTCTTACTTTCCACCTTTCAAACCAAAGCATTGTAATAGAACCTCATCAGAATGTTGCAGAATACATTCCAACACAACACACTAGAATGTTCCAGGACAGTGTGCCATAGAGCATTTATATCACATTAAAAAAGCATTTGGCTTAGATGTCATCCTTTTAAACACTTCCAGGTATTGATATTAAGACTTTTCAGTGTGCAGAATGAACTCTTACTTGCATGTATAACATTAACTGCAGCTTATGAGAGGTAGTAGTTCTGTCAAAGCCATCTAAATACAAAAGACAAATTAATACTAATAAATACTAAAGACAATTAATGGAACACTTGGTTTCTCAGGAATAGATGTTCTGTGCTGCTTTAGCTGAAGTTTAGATTTCAAATTCAGTTCTGGAAGGACTCCCATATCTTGCTTTTAGACTCAATACAAGAAACTGCCATAGGAGGGCGCCAGAAAAATAAGTCAGAGATTTAATTCTTTATTTTAATTACTGACAGTTTTATTGTCGTTGTCTTTTACACTGTCTGCATATGAATAAGTAGTTTCAGAACCTTCAAAAAAAGCTGGGAGTGAGACATTTTTTAAAAATGCCATAGAATTACTAAGGAGTAATAAAAATAAATTACAGCATCGCAAAAAATGCATTTCACTTTGCCATAGAAGCTTTGCTTATTCCATTCTATACACATTATTTTACATGTTTTACAAGAGCCATGAGAAATAAAGTCACACAAACTAGGCAACACAACATACTAACCAAAGGCACTGCCAACAGTACTCAGCTTTAAGGAAGGGGCCCAATATGCCTGTCCTGGACATAACTGACTGCTGGGAATTCGAGTTTCAATATCTACCACTTCCAATGCCCCATATCTTTAAAAAATAAAAGAAAAAAAAATAAAAGAAAGAACCCTCCTCTTTGCAGGAGGTTTTCAGCAGCATTCACAGTCATTGCATAAGAAGCCATGCCTTCTACAGAATGTCAAAGACATGCTGGGTTCCAGGAAGGGAAGGGGAGATGGTCACCAGAACTCGAGTAGAAAACAACAGCAACCAGGAAAAATAATAATAATCTTTTTAAAACTCATAGCCAGAAAGATAAGGGATTTGAAAGCAAGCATCTGGGTCTTGTTTCTCAGAACCAGTGGCAGTTTCTACAGTGTTCTTACACTTGACTGAACAGAAGTATTTATACAGTGCTTTCAAGACTCAAAGCAGTGGATAAATGTTACTTAAATTACTTCACATGTGCATAGCAAAGTAATAAGTATTTTTATAAACAGGCAAACAGCCGCAGAGCATGAAAATTGCTGCTGTATTTGGGCTGCTGCCATGCTGTTAAAGGTCATCTGGGTAGAGAATACAGTACAGCTGGGAGGCCCTTCCTGCACCAGTGGCAGTGGAAACCCTTTTACACCACTGAGTAAGGCAAGAGCTGGAACTGAGCTTGCACCAAGTGGCATCTGTACAAAGTGAGGGCTGTAAGTGATGCAGTTACTCTCATACCTTTATAAACATACTCAAGTATAAATCTGGGGGTGGGAGGGGAAAAAAGCCAAGCAGTCATCGTGCAGAAAGGAACAACAGTTCCTCTTCTCTCTCTGGACAAAAGCAGCCTGCAGGGACCTGGGGGAGCACTGCCAAGGCTTTGGCAAAAGCCCCTTCCAACCTCCTCCTTAGCCCAAATGTAAAGTTTTCACACTTCAGGAAAAATAAAAGGCACTGAGGTACATTTTAGACTCTTCCAAATTGTCTCCATCACCTGTTCCCTAATAACCTGTTCCTTCCCACTTCACATGGGTGGGAGTCACTCGAATCACCAGGAGCATTTCACATGCTCCATCTGAATCCAGCTAGTTTTCATGTTCACTTTTCACACTGTGCTGCACCGTCCTCTGAACAGAGGGAAGATGGAACGTGCAGCGTGCTCAGTACAAAGTGCTGAAAGTAAACGTGGGGAAATCACCTCTGGGATTGGCATCCCCATAGCATCCCTTGCACCAGGAAGGGAGAAAAGAGGTGGGAGAGCAGCACACGGGGGGTTCAGCAAGAGGAGGCATGGTGCAAGGAGGTGGTGGCAGGAAAGCATCTCAGGTTTGTGGTTCCCTTGCTCTTCCTGGTGCTAAGGATCTCCTGCACCACGTCCACAACCCAGCCTGGGTTGGAGCTCCTCTCCCTCCTGCCAGACCCCTTCACAGCTCAAAATGGGTCTGATGGGTGAAAGAGGGGTTTGAGCTTCCCTGCAATCATCTGCTGGCTGTGTATTGCTCAGGTTTCTATGCAGAACCACCATCCCACACCCCCACCTTCATGCTTTTCTCTTAAAACATAGGTCCCAATTCCTACAGAGTAGAAGACTCGTAACATACAGGCTAGCTCAGCTAAGCATCATGGATATTTGCTCAAATTCAAGTCTGTTTTCAAAGTTAATTAGAAACAAAATAAATGACTTTCCCTGGAATGAATATCACTTACCGAAGGAACATCAGGGTGTTGCAGCTGCCATGACTGCATTTCCCACCTTAGCCTTGAACAAGCCTGTCTGGCATTGGTTACAGCTGCAACACCCGCATGGGTCGGTGCACCAACCTCTGTGTCATCTGCTCCTTCCTGTGCCCTGCTTAAGAAATGAGAACTGGGCCACGTGGGCACACGCAATGCAACTGCAGAACCGTAGCAAGAGAGCTGCTGGGAGGAGCGTGAGCAGCTCAGCCAGCTCTTCCTGCTGGGTTCAGCATTGCCCACACAGCTGCTCAGCACATCCCAGCAGCTCTGGTGCAGACGTCCCATTCTTCGGCTGGCTCTGGTCCTGGGATATGAGGTTTCAAAAGAAAGAAACACAACGTGTCCGTGTAATGGGTGCTATGTCCTTAATGGAGGGATGAAGTGAGAGGGTGACCACCAAAAGATGTCCTGAGAAGAGTCTGTTCGTTTTAAGAACAACACGTAGCTTAGTCTGACTGCCGGTGTGCCCTGAGGGTTAGCCAGGTTTGTCTCCAGCCTCTTTCAAGCTCTGCTGCAGTCTCTGTTTGAACTTCTCATACTTCCTTTTCACTTGCTGGATTTTGTCCTTCTCTTCTTTGTCCAGGATCATTAAGAAGTTTTGTAGCTCTGGGATGGAGAACGCATCCCACTGCAGGAACAGCAAAGCAGAGGCAAAGTAAGCATGCATAATTCACCCTATGGCTTTTGTAGCTTTTTTCTGAATCTTAGAGGATCAGTGGATGACACTGAAATGTGACCTGATCTGCAGGCAGCAAACTCTCCAAGCATCACTGTGAGAGCACCAGGACAAGGAGCCATGAAGGACCAGACCAGCCCTGAGCCCACACAGCCATGGATTCAGTAGGAATCTGAGGATTCTTGGATTGAATTCTTGGATGAATGAAAGCTCCCATGCAGGCACTGACATCTGAATGAGTCCCAGCAGGGAGCACTGCCATGGCATAAAGCTGTGCTCATCACCTGGGCATCCCAAGCTTCTAGTTAAACTCACGGATTACTTATGGCAGCATTTAGCTGAATCTGATTACTGAGGTTTAACTCTGGGATAGCACCGTAAATAGATGGCAGGTTTTATTTTTAAATCAGTGTAATTCAGAAGCAACAAATGACCCAGAGAGATATTTCCTCAAAGCAAGACACAAGCAGTCTGATAAGTTTGGGGAACGGCTGGAATCAAACAACACTTTAGGAGATAAAACCAACAGTGTCAGAATGGGGAGAAGCCTGGCTCACTCCTGCTACCCATGCTGGGAACCTGCAGGTCCACCCCATTGCCAAACACTACAATTTCATGCACAAACCAAGGGAAGGAACCCCAGACATACCTCCACTTCCCCGGTCTCGTTCTCTTTCAGCACAAAGCTGAGCACGTCGGTGTCAGGGCCGGCCAGCAGCCGCAGGTACAGCGGGAATTCAGTGAGGGGCAGCTTCTGCAGGAGGACTGCAGGGGACAACAGACAGCATTGTGAGCCCTGCGGAGCCCGGAGGGAGGCTTGGAACAGTGGCGTGGGCTTTGGGAGCAGTCTGTGCTGCTCAGGGCTGTTGTCAAGGCACTGAGCATCTATCAGCGATCTGTGTTGGGGCATGGGAGTGGTTGAGGGAATTGGGATGGAGGGTCAGGTTGGATATGAGGGAAAATTCCTCCTCTGAAAGAGTGGTGATGCTGTGGCGCAGCTGCCCAGGGAGTGAGGGAGTCACCATCCCTGGGGATGTTCCCATTCCTGGGACGTTCCCTTCAGGGAACGTGGAGATGTGACACCAAGGCATGGTGGGATGGCTTGGGCTTAGGGATCTCTGAGGCTTTTTCCAACCTGAACCATTCTGGGGCTCTACAAACTCACCTTGCCCATCCTTCCGCATCTCCTTGAACAGCGCGAACTTCTGCGGGTTATCCACCACCATGAACTTCTTCAGCAGCCCCTGGATCACCTCGCTCACTGTGGTCGTGCTGCTGATGTGCAGCTGCTTGATGGCATCCAGAGGCAGGTAGAAGGACGTCCTCCTATCCGTGGTGTCTGCCAGGTTCACCTCCTTGAGGGCATCATAGATGGACTGGGGTCGGATCCCCGCCGGCACCGTCACCGGGCGGCGCAGCTTCAGGTGCACCTTAATGAAGCCTGTGTAGGTCCCATCATCACTCTGCACAATGACACACAGTGCTGGGTGAGTGACACTGCTCTGCACAGCTTCGGGACTTCTGGCCATGATGCAAGAAGCAACTGGTAATTTAGGGTTAGTCACTGCTGATTTCTTTCTCTTCCTTCCACTCCGCGGTGACTCACCTCCTCCTAGAGCTGTGCTGTCTTACTTTACATCAACATTGCTACAAGTTGGTTATGGAAACTATCATAAATCGCAGTTAAATGAGGGTTTTCAAGCTCTGGGAACCCCTCACGCACAGTGGAATGTCATGTTTTTAACCCCCCTGTTAGAGGATTTTCACTTCTCTATGTAGTAATTCATAACTCAAGATCAGCTTGTTAGAAATTGTTCCAATCTTGACTATTTTAAATAAGCTTTAGGCTGACTTTCAGACATCAGCAGGAGGTTACAGAGCTGCTGTTTGGGAAAGCTCTGCGATTTAACCTGGTGCTTCACAAAGCCTTTCCCACTGCTCTGTGAGAACACCTGAAATTTGCACCTCTGTGGCACTTGTAAATCAGATCCTACTTTTCACCGTGCATCCTCACAGCTTTGCTCAAGGTGGGAACAAGTCTGCAATGGAAACCCACCCCCATCTATTGGTAGCAAGTGGCTCTCAGCTATCACTGACCACAGCTTATGGGTGTTCCCAGCTGAGATGAACATGAGAGCAATACCCACCAGCTTCATCAGCAGGCAGTTTGTAACTTTTGCATTGTATTTTTCGATCTTCTCTTTGATCTCCTCAACAGTTGGAGGCTCTGGTTTTTCTTCTACAGCTTTTGTTACATTCTGGAAGAAGAGGAGATGGCGTCAGTGGGTTTGTTTGGGGGTAATGCTGCATCCAAACAGCTCTGTCTTGCTGGGAAATGCACAAACAGAACATTGCAGGAGCTCAGGGAGGAGCTGCTCCAGGACATGCTCTGCTGAGTGCAGCACAAGTAGAGGAAAGCCTCTCCATAGTGCTCCTCTGGCACTGCAGAGACATTTTGGTTGTTTTTTTTTTTTAAATAGAAAAACAAATATAGAAAACTTCAGCTAAAATAGAGCTTTCAGCACTCCATACAGGAGAGCAGAATTTCTCTGGCAGCGGCAAAGCGTGAAAGATGAATTAGAGAAAAGGGACACGTGGTGAAGGCACAGAGCTCCACGCAGGGCTGCTGCAGTGCACAGTGCTGTGCTGATCCCATGGTTTGGGGAACCTCATCTCAGGATGCATCTCACAGAGCCCCGGGGACGTGCTGCTGCTGCAGATGGCTTCGTGCAGTGATGGGGTTTGCAGGCTCATAGAGAGCCTGAGCAGTGCTCCCACCTTCCATATGCCAAGCACAAGGCATCGGCTGCAAAGGCCCACAGATTCCCTTGGGAAGGAAATGTCAGGATGCAATCCCACACATGGAGCAGTCCAACACATGGAGCCCAGGCATCCACAGGCACTGCAGGAACACGGAATCCAAAACGCTCTGTTCCAAAACCCCGCTGTGAGGACAGAAAGGATGCTCCAGCACATCTAAACAGGCCCATTGCATTCCCACCCCAAGGTGCAGGGAAGTCCAGTCCCCAGGTGCCAGCACTCCATGCCCCGGGGACACAGAGGGGACAGAATCTCATGGCCTGAAGTTGAAGCTGCACATCTTCTGCCTGCTGTGTGGGCTGCCTCTGAAGTTGACATGAAGAGATGAGCTATGGAGGCTGATAGGGCTCAGAGCAAGAAGGGCAAGCTCCACAGGGAAAACAAGAAAGCATGGAAAAAGTAACTTAAGGAGCAAAGCCCTGCACTTCTCAGCCTTCATTCCAAGATCTGGACAGTTTTTCTTCCCAGGTGCAGATGGAGAAGGAGGCCCACATCCATCAGATGAGCACACCATAGGCAGCATCACCCCAGGCTAACTGTGGCATTTCTTTCAGGAGGAGAATCAAGTGCTGGACAAACAACAGCTCTGGTCACAATCTGGCAGAACAGCTCCAGCTTTGGGATTCGAGAGCCTCAGATTCATTCAAGCCATTCCCCAAAGCAGATGTCTCAACTTCTGCTCAAGGCTGACAAACAGCACAAGACCTCTGGAAGCAGCAGTAACCCAACAGAAGAGCATTGATGTTGTCTTACATTCTCCTTCTTGTTCACTGCCTTAAAAAACTAAAAGCAAAACTTGGCTGCGGTATTCAAGAACTGCACACCAACACTCCTTTATCACACTGGCAATCTCAGCTCCACAATCTGCCATAAGACACATCAACACTGCAGTCTACTGACTGCAGTAGGTCTTAAATGCACGCATAGAGCTGCATCCCTCCATCTGCAGGGTGTTGCCCTGGCCCTACTGCAGCCACATTGCACACAGACCATGCGTGTGCTGCACTGTTTTCATAGCACAAACCCCACCCAGTGCAGACCAGCACCCTCCAAACGTGCACAACAAAAGCAAATAGATCAGCTCAGCTCGCCTCAGTTCTCATCTACACTGCAGCAGCTTGGAACAGCCAGAGCAACACCTGAAAGAGCTGTGATGCTGGAAGGGAGACTGCAACGTGCTGTGCTGCACCAATGCTGCAGCAAAACACTGCTGGAAAAAGGTTCTCTCTTCCCCTCACTGACACTGTGGGAGTGATGCTTTGCCCACATGCCTTCCTGTGCACGCAGGGACATAGCACACAGCAGGACCCAGCCTGGAAGGAGCCATGCTGCTCCCTACATTGAGCAGCATGGCTCATGAGCAATGAGACATCAGCTGTGCGTTGCTCTTCATGAACCTGTCCACACCTCCGGTGTTGCAGTTTCTGCTGCAGAATGCACGGTTACCACTGAAGGAAGAAAAACAGAAGCTCTTAACCATCAACCGTTGCCACATTTCCTGTTATATGGGGACAGGATGAAACAAACTGCAAACAACAGAAGCTCACGGTAACAACCCCAGGGGCACTGCTGAGCCCATGGGACCAGGACAGAGCAACGTAGTTGGGGGGGGAGAAAAAAATAACCCCAAACCCTTTGCATCCTCATGGCACAGCAAAGCGTGGGATGCAGGGCCACGCAGCATAGAGATGAGCTCACATCCTCTTGCCATGGCCATGCAGCTCCTCCTCTAACCAGCACTGCTCCTCGGATGTAAGAAATGGGTGAGCTCGTGACAGACTGCTATGGGGGAAGGCAAAGCCCTGGGGCCATCGTGACTGTGGTGACATGCTCTCAAAAGAGAGATCTGGAGCCAACAAAGAACCGCTCTGCCTCGGTGACCGACTTCTGTATTTATCCATTTGCAAAGATGCTGCTGGGGGGAGAAGTGCTCCACTTCCAGCTAGAGAGCATCCTTCCCACAGCCTTCTGCAGGAACCAAACCCAAACAAAAGCCCTTCCTAAGGTCAGCAGCCCCGCACCCTGCTGTACCTGGTGCCAGTGCTGTTCTATGGGGACAGCACCCCAACCCCATTGCTCCCCTCCCTCACAGCTCCCCAAGGTGTTGCTGCGGGGTGAGATTTGTGAGATAAGATCTGCACGTTTCGCCACCCTCAAGAAGTTCAGACAAGGCAATGTTGTTTACTGTGGGGCTCAGAGGAAAAGGCAGAAAGCAGCTCTAGAGAAAGGGAAAAGCCTCGCAGTACATTCAGAGAGGTTAGCAGCAAGCTGTGGGCTCAGGCATTGATTGCCATGGAGATTTCACTTGGAAACAGCTGTTCTGCCACCTCTGCTTTTAACTTTAGTTAAAAATAAACAGGATGTTCCTGACACCAGCAGCTCCTGATACCACCTGGAGAGGAGAGACAGGGGGACAGAGCGATGCAGGGCACACAGGAGATGTGCCCTGTGCATGCATCCTTCTGGGACCACTTCCCTACCGAGCCAAGCTGCAATCTCACCTCCTGCACCTGCAAGCCCTACTCCTTTCCTCCACCAAAGTCCTGCAGACAGCTTCCACCCCCAGCCAGAAAAAAGCTGGGGACCACCTCCACCCACATTGCTCAGCAACACTGCTGGGGCAGCCAGTGTCGTGTTTTTTCATGAGCAGGTCATGTTTTTCATGAGCAGTGTCGTGTTTTTTCATGTTCCATGTAACCCTAGCAGACTCCATCTTCTCCAGCAACCACCACTTCCAGCCCCCAGCAGAGGAGCCTGGCCAGAAGGCACCGCAGCACCTGAGCATCCTTGTGAAGGAGAACATACAGGTAGGGGGCCAGGCTGGAGGAGCTGCAGTGCCCGAGCACAGTGAGAAGCAGCACTGCACCATGGTTGACATCGTAATCTCGTACACCTCCTACACAAATGAATCATCAGATGACATTTAGAAAGCAGCAGTACGTGTTGGTAATCATAGCGAGAGGCGGCGGACAGGAAGATCCCACGTTAAACCCAAGGGAGAATTTCTTCAAAAAAAATTGTTATTTGCAATGTTACTCCGATGGAATGCCCTGCAGGGATCACAGCCCAGGTCATCAGGAGAGGAGCCCCAGCCCTGTGCTGCAGAAATGGAAACCCACAGCACCTGCTGGGGGCTGGAAGCCATCAGCCCCATGCATGCCAGCACAGCACAGCCATGAGCAGAGCAGTGCTGCTGATTTTGGTGACCCCAGGCTCTCCTGGAGCTCTCTCAGTGCCCTCATCACCGCTGTCCCCCGCCCAACATCTCATCTCTCAGCACTTCAGGGCTTTTCCTGAGTAAAACCCCACTTCCGCAGCAGCTTCTGCTCTCCTTCTGCTTTTCTGCTCACTTCTGGTTGGGGCAAAGTTTACAGCAGGGATGTGTTGCTGTATTTTTAAACTAAACATTTCAACATGAGGCAGTTCTGCGCATTTTCTGTGTTACTGATGTCACAGATCTCACCCCGCAGTGACACTGCCCAGGCAGTGCTCTCCCCAAGGGCAGCACCACACACCCAGGTAAGGATGGGATCCATCCCTGCAATCACCACTTTGCAGATGAATTTGGTCCTGGAACTCCCCCATCTCACTGCCAACCCAACAGGTGCAGTTTGCACAGTGGCCAACACTTTTTTGGGGCCAAACCACAGGACTCTGGCTGGGATTCTAACCCAACAACCACAGCTGCAACCCCCAACATTCGGAGTCGGTTCCTCCTCTGCGAACCCTCCAGGAAGGAGGCAAAGAAGTATCGAAAGGCTGAGAAATCCTGCAGCAGAGCAAAGCCCTGCAGCGAGCCTGCAGGAGGCAGGCAGGGCCGCTTCAAGCTCACAGCGAGCAAATTCCAGCAGCACCTGCAGCCAAACGTGCCCAGAACCCACCACCACCCCCCGCTTCGCACAGCCCTCCTCGCTGCAGTTGCTGAGCCGTTACCTTGGCGGGGCCCTTGCTCGGAGCGCTGCGGAAGAAAGAGGTTTTAGCCGTGAAAAAGCAATCCTCGAGGTCTTCATCCAAGCTGCAGTACCCGCTGCTCATGCTGCTGCCGATGGTCATCGAAGGCGGCCCCGCAGCGCTCACATCCCGCACTGCCCGCCGCTCATCTGCAGCTCCCACTGCTCATCATCCGCAGCGATCGCTCCCGAATTCGGGTAAACCTTCCTTCTCCTCCTCCACCGCCTCCGCGCAGCATGGAGCGGCCGCCGTGCCGTTTCGCCCCCAGCTCGCTGCTCAGCATCGCCTCCCCCTTCCTGCTGCGCAGCGCGCCCGCTTCCTCATTGCAAAATTTCTCACCCTGAGAGCAGGGATGAGGTGCTGGGCAGCTCCGGAGCTTCCCGTGGGGCTGATGCTTGGAAACGTGTCCTCGATGCGGAGCTCACAGAGCGCGTTGCTCCTTCCCTGCGTCCTTAGAGCTGAGCTGGGAAACAAACCCAGGCTGGAGCGAGGGATGCTCGCAGAGATGCGCTGCCCCAAAAACAGGTGGGGAAGGGGTAGGGAGTCCGGGGCAGCGCTGTGCAGGGGGCAGCGGGTGCCCCTCTGCTCTGCCGATGCTTTGGGAGCAGCGGTTCCAGCAGAGCCGGCTCCAGGTGTGGGTGCAAGCCAGGGAAATGCCGCCCAGCTCCTTCACCCCCATTTGCAGCAATCCCCTCACTGCAGGGGGATAAAAACTTGTGCTCAGTAACTCAGCCTGGCGCAGACCCCTGGCTCGGGGCTGCTCCCATCCCCTGGTGTAGATAAGGAGGCTTCAGGCTGCTTTCTAGTTATGCTCAAGCTGTAAATATTTGGAAACTTTACAGTCAGGGAATGCATTTCTCTTCTCCTCTGCAGCACTGTGGCTGCAGTTCCTGCAGTGGCTCGCAGGGCATCCTATCAACAGCGCAGGAGATCCAAACAGACCTGACCCCCAGCCCCACACTCTCCACTGTCAGCACCCCTCTGTGCACCATTCTTTGTGCCCAGCTCACCACCAGCACATTCCAGACCCAATTCCAGCTGTGCACCACGAACACAACAGCACTGCACAGTGGGAGGTGCGACGTCTGCATCGCAAACACGGAAGGAGAGAATCCAGATGGCACCTTTACAAAGCAACTCATAACACTGCAAAAAAGCAAAGCTCTCCTCATAGCAACATGCACACTTCTGCAGTTGCATGGTGGCATCAGCCTCCACAGCCTGGCTGGGCTATATTATATGTAGGAGGGAAATAGGCTTAAATCAAACGTGCAGGGCATGAGCTGAACCAAATGCTGTGTCAGGTGTAGAGTTGGGTCAGCACCAAAGCCTCAGCTCAGGGCATTCTGGGGTTACAAAAGGAGGGAGCTGCCTATGGCAAAGCTTCCCAAGCAGCCTGGACTTTGCCATCACAGCCCTGTGCCTGGAGATCACCACTGGTAACACCAAGACTGAAGATCTGATTCGAAGCCTTTCTTCTTGCAGGAAATCCCAGGTGCTGCAGCCCCAGGGCTGAGCCCAGCAGAAGCTGTGCTGGCTGCACTGCACCCAGGGAGAGCAATCCAGGACCCAAATGCAGCACACTTAAGTACCTTGCTGGATGAAGGCCCAGATTATTAATGCTTGGTATCCCATGCCAACAGGACTTTACTAACTTTCTCCGACGCTCCTGCTTTGCTTACATTTGATAATGCTATTTACTGGCTGCCAGCTACACCAGCCATGGCGTTTCCCACATTCCCACTGTGCTGTTCCCCATTACCCCAGTGTATTCTGGCATCTATTCCCTTTTTCTTTTCTCCTCGCTGGGGCTGTGATGGGAGGACATCAGGAACACATCAATGATGAACTGATGAGTGCCCCGTGGTTGTTATCAGAGCCATCGATAACCCCTCACTGCTTTCATCACCCTGAAGAGGAAACAAGCCTTTAATCTTACTAAAAATCACACTTTTCTAACACTGATGGGGGGAAATCCACTGACACATGGGGAAGATGCAAAGAAACACACCCATGGCCTCATTCCCTTAGAGAACTCAAGGGGGAAGCCATCCAGCCCAGCAGCATCTCACAGCAGCACCAAGCATGCAGTGCTGCCTTTAGATGCATTCCATGCCAAAACCTTCTGGAGCAGCCTGGTGTACAGTGCATGTCCCTAACCCAGACTGGGGAGCCTCAGTTCCCCCAGAATTACTGGAAGACACGAAGCCAGAGCTCACTGCCAGACCCTCACTTGCGTTTCTTCTGCATCTTGGCAGAATGCACCTTCACTTCTCCTCCTGTGCCACGCAGTGCTTTGCATCCATGAGACACCTGCACCTACATTTAAAGGCAGGGGAAAGGGGCAATGTACACCACCTCCTCCCACCAGACGATGTGCACAAGATACACAGGGATATAGGGAATTTATTAGCAAGCATCACCGGGGGCCACAGGCTGACCTCTGCAACAAAATCTCATCCTGCTAAGAGCAAGGAATGGGGTTTAGAGAGAGGCTGACCACCATGAGGGCGTACCTGGCTGCAGGGGAGCACAATGGTGCCCTCAGGAGAGAGCTGCCCAGGGTCAGGCCGGCGACAGTCCAGCTGGACGAGGCTGTGACACTGCTGGTGGCACGTGTACCTGCAGTCTGAGAGAGAACAGAGCCATGCTGTGATGGGAGAGCAGCCAGGAGCCCCAGGTCCTCCCCACTGTGCACCACCAGCACCAATGGGTGCTGCCTGCAGCCACATCCCCCGAGTGCAGCTATTACTCCTCCCTCTCCAGCAGCCCTTCCACCCTTTTAATTTTTAACAGCCCTACAAACAGCATTCAATCAAACATTTTTTTTTACACAACCCACAATTCCAGCACGGTCACTGACCTGTTGGCTATCCAACATCCCAAAAAAATAACACTCTCACCAGAGCAGAGGTCCCCTCTGCAGGAAAACCTTCCTTTCCCTCCATTATTTTTTGGCATTTGGGTCATTGCTTTCGAACCTCTCAGACTTGCAGAAAGCAAAGTGACATCCCATGTTCTCTCTCACTGGAAATGCCTGCTCCTATCAGGGAATTCCTGGGCAGGAGCAGAGCATTGGTGCTGTGGGAGCAGTGCCTGGGGCAGAGCATCTCCCCCAGGGGAACCACTGATTGTTTAACGCTCATCCGACACCAGCTGCCATCCTCCCATTCCCAGTTGGTTGTCTCAAGGCTGAGAAAAAAAGCAAGGGGGTCTTTTTATTTATTTTTAGCCCCCTCCCACACACACTTTTTAATTATTATTTTAATTAGGGATAAGCCAAGCAGTTGCATGGTAATGCAATGCATGACCTTTGGAACAGCTGGAGCAGCTGCTCAGTGGGACGTTTGCCAGCTCTGTGCTGGAGGTTCCAAGCACAGCAGGCTGCGGCTGCAGCCCCACCTGAGCACCAACAACAGCAGCCCCCAAAGGCATCGCATTCACACAGCCATCCCCAAGCACAGCCTGTGGGGTGGGAATGGTGGAGCATCCACATGTGGAGCAGTCTGTAGTGCGCAATACGGACCACAAATCACAGCTCCTGAGTCCACCTCTGGCACAGACCCATCACAGCCAGGCATTTCCCCACACGATTACAGCATGACACCTCCTTAGTCACCGCCGCCTATTAACAGCCCTAATCACCACTATCTGGTGGGCAGCACTAATTTTAGAAGCCCGGCACGGCCCTGGGAAGCAGCCACGTGACGGGGCAGGATTCCTCCCCTGCGACCGTGAGATCATTTCTATTCGAGTCAAACAAAGCCACTGTTGGAAACAGTTTCTTTAAAAAAGAAAACCTCCGAGCCTGATGGCAACATAGCAAGAAACTTTGGTGGCAGAAAGGAACTTCCCTCTGTATGCAGATAAAGTTTCTCAGAGTGATAACACTGGATGTGCCACCGAACCCCATCTGGATGTTCATCCATCTGCCTAAGCACAGCCTGCAGTCACCCTGCCCAGCCCCGTGTGCCATTGGCATCCTTTGCTATAACAGCATCAGGAGGTAACCTCAGCCACTGCACCACAGTGGGACCAGAGCACAAAGCAGCCACCGGGTGGGTGATGCTCCAAAGCCATTGCTTCCTAATGGAGCAGCTTCCCACCCAGGCACAGAGGTGTGCTGACACACCAGGACCATTCCTGAGCAGCACAGCTGAGGCATGAGACACTTCCAGCTGCGCTGTATGCAATCCCATTCCCCCTCATTAGCAACCAGCAGACACCCAAACGCAGCCCTTACCTCTCAGCAGTGAGTCCTCCCTGCTCAGCCTCCGCGAGCAAGACTTGGGTTTGGGAAACCCGAATATTTTGTAGATTCTCTTTGTGATGATCCCAAAGCAGGCAGCTGTCCCTGCTCTGCCCTCCGACATCCTCAGCAGAGGGACCAACGCTCCCAGGGCAGCTCAGTGCTGCACAGAGCAGTGCCTGCCTCCACGGAGCCTTATCCCATGGAGATAAAGCATTGACATGAGCCATCGGGGATCTATTTGACAGATCTCCTTTTCTTTTTTTTTTTTTTTTTTTTTTGGAACAATGAAGCAATGCACAGCTTGGGGCTTATGCACCTCAGGGCTCGTCGTGTTCACTATGGAAAAGTTTCTATTTCTGGGGCTTTTTACTCGATAAGATAAAACGACCCAACGGAAGAGATTAGAGTGGAGAGCAGGCGCAGGACCCAGCCGTGCTGGGAGGTCCCTTTCCAACATCCCCACTTCTCTGCTTTTTCCCTGCAGTTGTCTAAAGCCTCCAATGTTGAATCAAACATTAGATCTAAAGAAATCCACTGAGATTGACTATGTGAGCAACACTGACTTGAGCCCTGCCAGGTTTTTGGATCAGTGCTGCAGTTTTCCTGTAGCATCCATCATTTCTAGCCACGCAAGGTGTTGGATGATGCCCATGTCCACCCCATCACCCAACAAAGGGCTTTAAACCCATCACCTCACCACCTCTGTATCACAGCCATCCCCACACCAATGGGGCAGGTTCCCTGCATCCTGCACAACACATTCTTCCTATTTCATCCATTAGTGTTGCAAAGATAAAAGCTCACTCAATTTCCCCAAACGTCACACCAAGCAACACAGGATAATGCACAGGAATTCCTTCCTCACCCCTCAAAATCCCCCAACCCCGCAGCTACACACACATCCCTGCTTCCCAACCCAGACCATCAAGCTCAGTTACACCAGAAAGACCAGGAAAGGAAGAAGACACAGCCCAAACCTCACCTGGGGAACCAAAGCCACCGCTGGTGTCTCTCTCCATAAACACGAGATGGGAAGGCAGCTGCAAAGGGTGACCCAAGGACCTGAGCCCCCCCCCAGGACAGCAGCAGCCCCTGCCCGTGCTGAGTCCCCCAGTGAGCAATGCCTGCTGTGGGCAGGATGTGCCCTGCACCCTCCCCACTGCCCTCATCCTCAGCCAGTGCTGCTGGGAGGACAAGAATCTGCCCAGTCCAGACAGAGGGAAGCCCCAATACTGTGGGTCCTGGGAGCTGGTGGCAATTATTGTTTACTATGATGAGAGCAGAGATGGGAGGGAGTGCAGGAAGGAGACATGGGAAATCCTCACAGCCAAAGCACTGCTGGGGTGGGCAGAGCTCCCCATCCCAGAGCCCAGCATGGAGCACCCACACCTGCTAAAGAACTCCTCATCTTAAAGAAACAGCCATTCAAGAACCTGTAATGGCAGAGCTGCAGTTCACGAGGTAGAAAGAGAACTGCTGTGCGTTGTACCAGCCTCCTTCTCACCAAAATGGGTCCTGATCCAACAGTGCTCCACCACAGACTGAGCTGTGTGATTTTCCTGCAAGGAAACCCCTGCAAGGAAACCCCTTGGCTGAGACCTGGTGGGTTAACATGATGTCCTGGGGTGGGATTGAGTCCATGGGATGAACCATGAGAGCAACAAACCAGGCAGGCTGTGGTCAGTCCAAGTGCAGGGGCACACCCAGCTCACCCCAGGTGTCTGATAAGCACAGCCCAGGAAATACACGGGCTGTAAGTCATGCCCTGCCAGAATGAGTGTGGACCCAAGGCTGGAAAACACCTGTGGCAAAAGCCCAGCCCACAATGCATGGAATAAGGGGAAGGAGAGAGCAGTGGGATGGCACTGCGGGCTGCCAGCAGCAGGAATTTCTTACTCAGCACCTGCACCGCCGGTGCTGCAAGGATGAGAAGTGGGGCACCCTGGGGGAACTGGCACAGAGCTGCAATGAAACGCTGTCAGTTCCTTTCAGTACCTAAAGGGAGCCTGCAAACAGGAGGGGAATCAACTCTTGGAAAGGGTTGATAACAGCAGGACAAGGGGAAATGGTTTTGAGGGAGGAAAGATTGAGGTTGGATGGCAGGGGGAAGTTCTTTCCTATGAGAGTGGTGAGGTGCTGGAACAGCTGCCCAGAGAGGCTGTGGATGCCCCATCCATAGAGATGTTCAAGGCCAGGTTGGGGCCCTGGGCAGCCTATTTGGTATTAAATGGGGGGGTTGGTGACCCTACATGTGGCAGGGGGTTGGAGCTTCGTGATCCTTGAGGTCTTTTTCAACCGTGGCCATTCTGTGATTCTGCATTCTCTGCACCAGCAGAGCTTCCAGAACTGAACCTTTCCACCCCCACCCCGGATATCCCTGATCAGAACCCAAATAAATCTCAGCACGGACTTGGAAGCCGCGTTGTCACCTCCACATTCCAACATCCGCGCTCCACCCCACCTGAACAAACACCAAAAAAAAAAAAACAACAAACCAACAGAGACAGATCTGCCGCAAGGGGAGGGTGATGGGTGCAGATGTTACAAGAATCCCCTGAAGTTTCCCTCCCTCCTAGCGATGACACTTTGTTGTTCGGGGAATTTTAGAGGCAGAACCATTCCCACAGTCTGACGGTTCTCAGAAGAAACAAAAAGGGAAGCAGTCACTTCAGGCTTCTTTCAATATCACTCGGAGAAGAGTCCTGGGAGAGAAATCCCTCAAAACACCTCTTTACAACACTCAGCATCACAAAGTGCTGCCAATTAACGTTTCAGATCGGGATTTTCAGAGCCCCGCACCCACCCCATGTGCATCCTCACCCCACGTGGAGCGGGGCCACGTTTCGCAGCCCCAGCTTTGCGCTGCCAGAACAAATTTCCTCATTAATTTGCACTGTCAACCAGCGACCGGGGAAGAACAAATGGATTCATTACCAAGATTAATTGCACTAGAAATACATCAGCATTCCTCATTTTCCTAGCAGTAGCACTGCTCGTTGTACAGCACTGACATTTGCACTACAGAGATGTGAAAGCTCAACCGAACCAGCAAGAAAGCTCTCATTCTCCCTTAGTTACCTGAAAACATTTTGCAGGGCACACTGCTTGGACAGGAGGAGCTCCACCCCCAGGCACTCCTAAGTTTGTGGGCTGTGAGCCCTTTCCCCATTCAGAAGATATGGAATAACAAAGCAGCAGGTGCGACTTTTTAGCATTTACAGCTGATTTGTGGCACCTGCGTTGCTCATTTCTGCTCCCTGTAACGCAGGGCTGCCTACCCAGCACAGCCCAGTCCTTATGTCACCCCTCATGCAGTGATGCACACGGGCTGCATCTACCCCAGAACTCCCCGTTCACACCTCCCCCACCCCACAGACGATGGGAATATGAATCCCTCCTGCAGAACCAAGCGTTAACGCAGATGGGAGCACCGCACGTCTTCCTAGATTGCTCCTACCGCTCGCCCCGGGGTTTGGAGCAGAGCGAGGTGCCCAACAAACGCAAGGGAGATGTACGTGCTATTTCTGGAAGGATTTAGCTCCACCGTAAGGCGACGAGCACGAGCCCTTCCTGCCCGATGAGCCGATAATCCCATCTCCCCCAGAAAAACCTCAACACCCGCACGGCCCCGCAGCCCCCCTTAAGAGAACAGCTCGACGAGGAGACCCGGGACCGGGAATGAGAGAGGGGGGACACGGAGCGGTATCGGAGGGCAGGGTGCGGGATGCGGTGCGGGGCAGAATTGCGGGACGGCAGCACTCACAGTCGCAGCGCAGGGCGCGCTCCCGCACGGCCGCTCCGCACAGATCGCACCAACCGCGGTGCGGGGCGCGGGGGACGAAACGGTGACCGCGGCCGCGTTCCGCCGCTTCTCGCGGAGACGCGAAGATGTTGCGCACGTCGGGTAACAGCCGAGGGGTCCCGCCGCGCCGCCGCAGCCGTCGAGCTGCCCTGGCACCGCCGGGGCTTCCCGGAGCTCGGCCGTTCCGAGGCTCCGAGTCGGGGGAAGCGGAGCCGGGCGGTCCCCGTCGCATGGAGCCGGGCGCGGAGGGGCTGCGGGATGGGGTGGGGGGGGTTCGGCCCCACCGGTGGGCACGGACGGAACGCCGCGGTGCGGGCTCCGGGAGGGCGGTGTGGCCGGGAGGGCGGGCGCGTTGGGCCGCCCCGGGGAGGAGACACGGAGAGGGGGTGGTGCGGGGAGCGGCCCCGCGTGGGATTTCTCGTGGTGACCCTCCCGGAGGAGCGACTTCTACCATGGGATCCATCGCGGTTGTACCCCCTCTTCCCCCTTTCTTCCCCGCAAGATTTCCCTTTAGGATTTCCCCGTGGAATCCCAACCCACGCTGTTGTGAAACCTCTCCCCGCGGGACGCTCCTCCGCTCGGGACCGGGGACGTTGCATGCATACATCATCCTAATTCTGGTCCTGCAAATGGGGTGGGCAGCGTGCAGCACAGAGCTGTCCCCAGTGCACGCTGCAGGAGCACGGCGGCATCGCGTCCCATCAACTCCCATCCCATCCCCGGTTTTGCCCCTGCAGGAGCAGCGAGATCACCTCTCAGGTGCTGCTTTATATACTGAGCTGAAGGCGCAGACCCTCCTGCACAGAGCAGTGCATGGACCAGGCTCTAGGGACAGCTGGAACAAATTACCTTTCCCCTCTGAAACGACAGCAGGGCACCGGAGTGACGCTGAGGGCTGCGAGCCCAAGCAATTAGCTCTCCCAAAATGAGGCTTTTGTGGTTGTGGGAGAAGTGAAAGGGAAAATATGATGGGCAGATTTTGGAGTCGCTCTGCAAAGGCTTCAGCACTGCAGCTCTGAGGATGCCCATTTGCAATGCTTTTGGGTTGGGGGTGCTTTGGGGTGCAGAGATGGGGGTGCATGGATCAAATGCTGCACCGAAGGTCTGATGACAAAGAGTCAAAGCGAGTTTCTGAGGATAGGATAAGCCAAGGATGCTTAAATCCCTTTGAAGGAATTTAATTTGAAGGATGGATCTGGCTCTGAGTTACAAAAGATGTGTGCAATAGGCAATCCCTAATAGGAGCTTAAAACTAAAAGAGCAATAATACAGTTTGAAAAATCCCGGTTTTGTTCTGTTAAGTAGCATGACTCATATTGGAAGGTCCTTTTCTTCCCCATTCGGGATCCTGATTCACTTTCATGCATCCTCTACTTCTGCATGAGAAGAGCAGCAGAATTTTTCCTGGGTAAAAAGTTTCCCCAAAATGTGATGTTTTACTCTGTGCTCCCCCCAGACTGGGAGATAGAGCAGATTCATTGCCATTCTCTGCTTCCTCAGCAGGCATTCAGCTCTGACAGTGTAGGAAACTTTTAGGACCAGGGTTAATAATTCGGGAGGGAAAAAAAAAATCCAGATGAACACTGGCAAGAAAATCCCTATTTCATTTAGATTCTGGGAGTCCTCTTTGCAGCTGCTGCGTTATGGCAGCTGAAGCACGACAAGGGCTATTAGCAGCTCTTCCTTTTGGTGCACGCCAAGAAATAAATCTTTTCTTCTGGAGCCAAACACGTTCCAGGTCAAACACTCGCATGGTCCACATCAGCACAGCTCTGCTGGACCTGGGTTCAATGTAATGCTGGTTGTAAAGCTGGGAGAATCCTAGAAAATAATTTGCAGGAGAGAAGCTTTTAAGAGGTGGCTTAGCTTCCACAGCAAGCGGTTGGGTTTGGCAGTCAGGATGTTGGTTTTTACAATTAAAATGAATGGGAATGTACAGATTTGGTGCCAAATACCACTCAGAAGTGGTTTCCTGTACAGAGGCAGCTCCTGATGCTCCTGTTCCTACAAGAAAATGAAGCCAGGACAGCCTGGAGCCACTGCTCCCTGTTCCTTTGAGGTGTGCTGTGTGCCTTGCTCCCCTTGTGTCTGTGCTGAGAGCCAGGCAGAGCTGCAGCGAGAAGGAAGCTGTTCTGTATCACATCCCTATAGGTGTCCCAACAGAACGTGGGAATATTCCCCATGCTCAATGCAAGGAGCAGCACCGGGCTCTGCCTCTTTGCGGGCTGCTCTCCCTCTGTGCACCATCCCAGTCCTGGGCTGGGGACAACATGGAGCCCCCACATCTGAGCAGCCCCGTGAGCCTCAGCTGAAGGCTTTGGGCTGAGCTGGCACATTTCACCTCCAGAGAACATACTGGGAAGGGGATTGGAGGAAGGGTGAAGGGCAGAGCCAGATGCCAAGGGATGGGTTCAGGCAGGCAGGCTGAGCCTCCCCAGGCTGAGTCAGACCGGCTTGCCCAGACCATGGCCTGGCCTCTCCTTGCACAGGCATCGCTGAACCCTGAGCCAGGGCTTTGCTGGGACCTTCAGCACTGACTCAGCAACAACCAGAGAATCAGGACCTTTTGTAAAAGCCAAAACCAGTAGGAAATTTGGAGCACAGCAGATACATAACAGAGCTCTGGGCTCCGGGGGGATGGGAGCAGTGTGCTCTCCAGCTGTGCCATTCCCTGGACAAGAAGAGGGATGTTCTGTCCAGGGCAGCTTCAGACACACCAGTGATTTCCTGCCTGGGTCCCCTGATCCCCATCCCCATTCCTGCCCACCATCCCTGCTGCTGCCCAGCCTTGCCATCTCCACTATTTCTCCCTGCAAATTAAAGGCAGAGGCAGACAAGGAATTGTTTTTGACAGATCTCAGTTACATTTACAAAAATGCACCAAAACAGAGAAACCTCCCCCAGCTTCCTGTGTCCACAGCCATCAGCAGTGCTAGGATGGGGCTGAGCTGGGGTTGGGGACAAAGGTAGGAGGAGGGCAACAGGGGCAGCGACAGCACTAGAACCAGTTTTGTCATCTCCTCCTTTGGATGCAGCTCCTCCTGCCCTGGGCTCAGTGAGCAGAGTCAGAATAGAATTTCCCTAAATAGGCAAAAAGGCAAAAGAAAATTTCTCTGTCTACACTCTTCATCATCCAACACTGGGATATGGAGAATCCAGAAAGTCATCGAGTCCTTCAAGCGCTTTTTGAAAGGGAAAAACCTGGTGCTGCATCAGTTTCTCATCAAATATTCAAGGCTTGCAGCCACCCAACGCTGGAGAACTGTGCAAAAGTGCTGGAGCACAGAGGTAGGATCCAGAGAGCTGCTTTAACACCAAGGCAGTGTTGGAGCAGTGCGCAGTGCAGGACCTGTGGTGCTGGCAGCGATCCCCTGTTCTCTTTTGCAGCTGCAAACACACCATGCTCAGACTCCAGGAGCAGGAGCAGCCCCACTGAGCCTGTGGGAACAAAGTTTGGGGTTACAGAGGCAGTGCTGACCCTGAGCTTGGTCCCACGGCTGCTTCTGTAATTTCTTCCCTTCTTCCCTTGTTGCATTCACTGTGGATGTGCTGCAGCACCGCACACAAACAAGGTTGGGGTGAACCACTGATGGTTTTCTTTTAAAATCCAGACCGAAACTCTTTGAGATTTTGGTATGCATAACCAGACTGCTGGTGTGCATTAAGGCCCTGGGAGAAAGGATGCAGAGGAAGAAGCCCAAGGGGCCGTGCCAGCAGCAGGATGCTGAGCTTTGCAGCACGGAGCAGCACAGGCAAAGGGCTGCACAGAGGGTGGTGGGCGTTGCACAGCATTTGCAGGGGGTTATGCTTAAATTTCCAAGAAAGACAAACTCTCTCTGCTGCCAAAGGGTGATGCAGGTCACATCCACATGCCAGGGTGATGCTGGGACAGCTGTGGCTGTGCTCAGTGCCCGGCACAGTGCAGAACACAGGGCTCTCCAAGTGCTCTACTCACCGCTCGATGATGCTGTTGTTGAACTGGAGGCCGCACGATACTGACTTCATCTCCTCCAGCAGCTCCTGCATCCTGCACAGATGCAGCCCAGCCCTTAGCAGGGACAGCTCAGCTGCCTCCATCCCCCAGAGGAGCACAGGAGATGCCCCCATTCCCGCTCCCTGAACTGGGATGGCACCTGGCAGCACCAGGGCATTGCATAGGGCTGCATGCAGCTTCCCATCCCCACGCCAGCTCTGCAGAGCCAAACTGCCCCATGGACAAACTGTCCCCAACACTCACTGCAAAGCCATCTCCTGGCACATTTGGCTTAGGGGAACGGGCGAAGGCACTGCAGGGACCAGAGCCAGGCTGCGTTTCTCTGGCACAACTGTCTGCAGGAACTTGTCCAAAGCCTGCAGAGATGGAGAGGATACAGCTCAAACACGAGCTGCTCGCATGCATGCCCTCCGTGCTTACCCCAGGGTGACAAAACACTCGGGGAAATGACGCACGCAGGGTCACACCCAGCTCACCCACTCCTCAGGATAAACACAACAACCCAACCCATCCACCCGCCAGCCCTGCTGCAGCACGTCAGGTAATCCATCACCACAACCAGAGGCGATGCTTCAGCCTTTTTGTGATGGCAGCTTCCTTACTGAGCACAAACCCACTCTCCAACTCCAGTTTTGGAGGAAGAGTGGCACTGCCAGGGGTTCATCCAACCATTGCTTCGCTCAGTGGGACAAAGCAAACTCCCAAACCTCTGAGCAAAAGGCCAAAAACTCCAAGTATAACATCAACACCCTGCAAGCCCTGCACCCAGCACAGCCCCTGCAGCACCCACCAGCTGCAGGCAGTCCTGGCACTCGCTGGCCTCCACACTGTAGGTGCTGATGCGGTTGCTGAGCCTCTTCAGGTGCTTCTTTATCTCACAGACTTTCCTACGAAGGGCAACGAGAGCAAATGTTCTGGTCAACGTTGGTCAAACTGTTTGATATTTCTGTGGTTTTAATTCTGCTTTCTGCAGACTGTGCCGGATCTGAGTTCAAATCCCAAAGGAAAGCAAATGAGTCACAACGGTGTCGTAATTAGGGCTGCAGCTCTGCTATCCAAACAGCACTAATAGCAAACTAATTAATTAGGGAAAGTGCTGCTTGAAGTGGGATTCGGCTCAGGAGCATTGCTGCTGCCCATAGTGCAGTGCTGTCCCTGGGGCTGCTGCTGCCAATGCTGGGTGCCTCGGGGTGAAGTGCACCAGGAATGACAAAGTTGTATAAAAAAAACTTTGGTTTGGCCTTAAAATAAAAAGGGAAGAATATTTCAGGTGAATGGTCCACCTCTGCTCCCCAGAAAAACACCCACGCCGCCACAAATGCTCAGGGATAAACTCAAAACAAGGCAATTACTGCTGGAGTGAAACTAATTTTAAAGAACCAGTCGTGACTCAGAGTGCATTGTGCCTAAAGATGGAAAAAACATGCAAAAATACCCCAGGAAACAGCAGCTGCCCCCCTCCTCCCCTGTTCTCTGCTGCTGTGCTCGAGCAATGCAGGGCAGCCTGCTCTGTGCTTTATTCCCCAAACACCACTTAACATAAAGGCACTGCTAATAAGTGGATCCCTTTGTCTCAATAGCAATATTTTCCTGATGGAATAACCGTTCCCCGCTGCAAGGAGCGTGGCTGCAAGAAGGAAGCTGTGTGTTTACATGGAATGGGGGCTGTTCCCAAACTTTAAAGAGCGTGGCACAGGGTGAGAGCAGCCATGGGGAAGCTTTGCTCATGGTCACACCAAGCTGCTGTTCTAAGGTCTCACTGCTACTTTATGAGTCCCTCAGCAGCAGTTCTACGGGCTCCATCCATTCACATCCCAATGTCAGATCAATGGCCCCATCCCCATTCCAACACCAGGCCAGTGGCCCCATCCACAGCCCCATGTCAAACCAATGTCTCCACCCCAATACCAGGTCGATGGTCCCATTCACATCCCAGTGTCAAATCAATGCCTCATCCCCATCCCAACACCACATCTCAATAGCAGATCAACGGCTGCATCCCCATCCCAACACCAGGTCAACGACCCCATCCACAGCCCAGTGTCAAATCAATGCTCCCATCCCCATCCCAGCACCAGACTGATCACAGAATCATAGAATCCTTAGTGTTGGAAGGGACTTTAAAGGTCATCTAGTCCAACTCCCCAATCAATGGCCTCAACCACAGCCCTAAAGCAGATCGATGGCCCCATCCCCATTCCAGCACCAGGTCAATGGCCCCATCCACAGCCCAACATCAGATCGATGGCCCAATCCACCTCCTAATATCAAACGGATGGCCCCATCCCAACACTGAATCAATGGCTCCAAAAACATGAGCTGGATCCATACCTCATCCTGCTGCCATGCAGGGCCAGAGCCTCCTGGTACTGCTGTGCACACTCCTCCTGGAAGATGAGCAGCACCTTCCTGGCCAAGTGCCCCAAATTCACCCTGAAACCAGGAGAGGAAAAATGAACAGGAAAATAGGCATGGAAATGAACACTACTGGTTTCTCATGGAGCCACATGCCATGCTTGTCCTTCCTCAGCCTGGATGAGCCACAGACATGCTGCATCCCACTGGGATGCCATAACAATGCCAGAATGGGGCTGGAAGGATGGGGTGGTGCCACTCACTTGTCCAGTTTGTGTATCTGCTCCTCATTGAAGCCCAGTGCTGTGGGAGGAAAGATATGGAGCACCATCAGCTCTGCACCTCTTGGGTTTGTAACCCAATCAGTGGGTGATCCTGTCATGCACAGAGGCTCTTCAGAGCAGCAGTCCCCAGGGTTAATCTCACAGCACAGAAATATAAACCAGCAAAGGGAAATCATTTGTTCTCTTGCAGCTCAGTACCCCAGACTCACCTGGACACATCCTGGCTTTGCGGAACTGCTTGTAGATGAGCTGCATCTTCTCCAGACAGCACTCGATCTGCTGGATGCTGTGAGTTGTGCCCAGGAAGAAGGTGTGAGGCCAATGGGAAGGGGTGTGAGACTGGGGTTTCCTCCCCAACATACACACCTCAACCCAAAATCAAACTGAAAACAGCCATGGGATTTGGGTAAAGCATCTACAAACCCATTGCCTTTATATCCACAAACCTTTTGTCTTAGTATCTGCAAACCTATTGTCTTCGTGTCTACAAAACCACTGTCTTCATGTCTACAAACCCATTGTCTTCATACCTACAAACCCACTGTCTTTGTACCTACGAACCTTTTGTCTTTGTGAGCTTGTTGCCCATGCTGCACCAGTTCGGACACCATCCCATCCAGGACCCCTTGGAAATCAAAGATGCTGTGGGAACACTGGGAAAGCTCCTCTGCCACCTGCAGAATTCAATGGGAGGTGGGGGGTCAATGGGAGATGAGGAAGGCTCTTTCCAGTGCTGCCCTCACCCATGGATGCTCCTTCCTCCTTCCCCACTGGTTGCTCACCCTCTGCAGCCGCATCTTCACTGCAGCCACGTCCCTCAGGGCTGGCAGTGCACTGCCCCCAGGAATGGCCTCATACCTGCAGGAAGCCAAAACAGAACCATCTTGAGTATCCAGGGGTGAAAACAAGCCATCACCCGAGCAGGGAGAGCATATAGCTGTTCCATGGGGAAGCTCAGGGCACCCAATCGGAGCCACACGATGCAAAGCACTGGCTGGTATGAATTCACTTGGTTGTGTGCTATTTGTTCCCAAATTGTACTCTTGTGAGCTGGCTCCGTGCCATTCAAGATGCTGCCACTTCCCACAGCTGGTACGGGTGTGAGCTGCTGACGCCAGCAGAAATGAGCCCAATCCAGACCCTGTTGGAAAGGATGGGTGAGCACCGCATCCAGAGGCAGCATCAGTGCTTTGGAACTACATGAATTCAACTGAAGTCAATGGGAACCATGTGTCTGCATCTGTTTAGATGAAATGGAAATTAAGAAGCTCGCTGAATTGAAAAGAGGAAAGGAAGGCAAGCCAGCAGCAAGGCACTTTGCACTGCAACAACAAACTAAAAAGCAGAGTAAGTGTGGGTTATTTAAGACATTATGGGGTTGGTTCTGCCTGGGGCAGAGCATTAGGGTGGGTGCACCCAAACAAGGCAAGGACTGCCCCAGGCCCCTCGAGACGATGCTCCATTAGTGGAGCCCCTCTGATGGGCACAAAGGACATAAAGGGTATCGAGGACATAAAATGACATAAAAGGTATAAAAGATGTAAAATTATAAAGGACACAAAGGGCATCCCATTGCAGGAGGGCTGGGAGCACCCCAGGGCAGCTTTTTCACTCTGGGATTGTAGGCTGTAAGAGCCCCATGGAACCCCTTGCACTTACAGCCCACGGGTCTTCCCCTCCATCAGCTGCAGCCCAGAGAGCACCGCGTGCACCCCTCTCCTCTGCTCCAAAACCCTCGAGCACTCAGACCTCAGGTTGCCACTGTCAGGAGAAGAAGTAATTAATTCACCATGTGCCCTCTATGCCACCAGCTTCAGGGCTCGTGGAGCTCAGGGAAAAGCAAGGAGTTGGGTGTAATAAGAAAGGAGGAGTGTGTGGGTGTGAGGATGCTGCTCTGCAGGGAGCAAGGATGCAGCGCAAGGAGCTCCTGCCCAAAGGGAATGGATGCAGTGAGGAAAATGCACAGTGATAATCCTAATGAGGAAGATGATGATGATGATGTGTTCCTAGCACCTCCCAGACTGAAAAAATTGACTTGAAAGCAGCAAATTTGGCTAGGAGTATCCTCAAACGTCGAGTCCCCATTTTGGGAACAGTCCCCTCCCAGCCTGACACATGCTTTCCACACACAGGACTCCAACACTGCCTGCCATAGAACCCCCAAAAACTCAACACAACACTCCCACTGAGGCAGGGGGGTGCCCAGCACTCACATCACCCAGTGCAGCCCCCGCACTGTCAGCTCCTGGCACCGCCGCAGCTCCTGAGCGATCCGCAGCGCCTGGTGCACGGCGCCCACTGCACTCTGCAAAGCAAAGGGATGGGGATGGCGGCTGTGTCCACCCTGCTGGGGCTTCCCCACGTCCCCCCTCCTCTGCCCACCTTGGCAGCGCTGCAGTCGGCCACCACGTCCACCTTGGGGACAAACTTGGGGAAGTCGAGAGCCGCTGGAAAGGTGGAGAGCGGTCAGAGAGCTTCAGGAGGGACATCCCAACAAATCCCAGAGCTGCTCAGGCACTGGAGCACTGCAGTGCCCGAGGCTGAGGGCAGCTCTCCAAGGCTGGAACTGGATGACCTCTGAGGTCCCTTCCAACCCAAGCTGTTCCATGCATCTATGTTTTTGGAATGATGGGTGAAAGCACAAGCTGCCTGCAGAGCAGAGCATCGCACCCATGCTACAATCTTCGGGGGAAAAATAACCCTGCAGCCTCCTAACCCTGCTGCCCCTGCTGCTGAGCCCAGCAGGCTGGTGGTCATTAAAGCAAACCTCTCATGGTGCCCACCCCATGCCCTGGATGGGGGGCATTGCAATGCACCTCAGATGGAGTACTCACGATCTCTGTATCTCACGCCCACCACGTTTTCTGGATGCTCAGCACAGCTCAGCAGGGTCAGAGGGTTGTGCCGGGCTGTTCTGCAGAAGTTAAGGGCTTGGAGGTTGGGGTCCAACTCATATGGGTGGCCTTCATAAAAATATTCTTGGTGGTGAGGGACTATGTCCGTTTGTTTGAAGACAGCATCTAAAAACTTGCTGGTACTGAAATGGAAAAAAAGCACTCAGATTTCCACCTCTCGAACTGCAGATGTCCTCTTGTAGCAAGACAGCACCGAGGCCATGGAGGAGCTGAGCCCCCCAACCCACCCAGCCTTGCTGGGCACCCTCACGTGTTGTAGGAGTGGATGTAGATACGGTGCGAGGACGCCTGCTGCAGGGAGAAGACGTCGACCACGATCCTGTGCAAAATGTCATTGGTTTCTGCAAAGAACTGATCGAAGCCCCAGCATTTCTCCTGGTCTGCCTCCAGGATGTTGGCCAGAATGGGGACAAGCTGATCCTTCAGCCCCCTGTGGCAGCAAGAGGAGGTGAGATGAACATCTGTATTGCTGCGGCTGTATGCAGGAGGGACCCCATGGGGACACTCACACCGACAGCTGGCAGGTGAGGGGCAGCTCGTAGCTCCATTCAATGCTGCCATTCTCTTGTCGCTGCACGCCTGCAATGGCCCCAGGGGGCTTCTCAGTGGTGATCTTGTACCTGGGGTGCAGCAGGGAGGGATGGGGAAAGGCACAGCTTACAGCAAGAACACAGAGCAGAGGGAGAGAACAGTCCAAGAAAGAGTGAAAAAATTCCATGCCCCTCTGAACGCTTCGCCTCAAAGAGCCACGAGGATGAGTGTAAAGGACAAACACAGTAAATGGAACACGTGTCCTTTACCATCATGTGCGTGCAGCCAGGAGCTGCACTGCAAGTCTTGCAGGGTTGGATGGGATTACTACCTTATTTCAGGGCTATATAAGGCTATTAACCTACCCCTAGGCTATATGGGATCATTAACTTACCCCTAGGCTCTAAGGGATGCAGCTATAAGGGACACAGTGCTGTCCTACACCAAGTACCCACATAGTCTCCTTGTTCCTGCGGGGTCCCCCGAAGGGCATGAAGGGCAGCTGGCCGGTGGCAGCGTGGTAGAAGGTGACACCGATGCTCCATAGGTCAACGGTGACCCCAAATGCCTTCTGCTGTGGCTTCCGCAGGACAGCACGCTCATACATGTTGGGATGCTGCAGGACAGAGCAGAGCATCACTGCCCACCGAACCCCATAGGGTGGCATTCAAAACTGCCCCTTATGGTGGAGGTGGGTTGATGTTGGACTGGATGATCTTAGCAGTCTTTCCAGCCTTAACGATTCTATGATTCTAAAAGCCATGTCCTCAACACCAAATAGTGCCTGTGATGCTACGAGCTGAGAGCTCACTGCAAAAAAACAGAGCCCCTCTGAAAGGGGCTCTGAGCATCACTGCTTCTCTCCATGCAGCGCCTCACTGTTGGATGGAGGGATGGTTGGATGCTGTCCACCTGCACACCCCGGGGCCATACTCACCAAGTACTCCTCTGTCCCATAGACAGACACAAACTTTTCATCGTCCTCCAGCTCCCGGGCGGCACCAAAGTCAGTCAGTTTGTAGATGCTCTGCCCATCCTCCCCCACCAGGCGCATGATGTTGCCAGGTTTGATGTCCCGGTGCACAACGCCGTTCTCACGGAGGTGGTTCATCCCTGCCACTGGGAACAGGTGGGGAACAGCAGTTGTGTTCGTGTAAATGAGAGAAGGACAGAGGTGGGGACAAATCCCGGGGGGGGGCTGCACATTAATGGGGATCACATCAGTAACTGGGACATTGGGTAATGGGGAGGAGCAGGGAACGCATGGGGTTGCACAGCTCTAAATCGTCAGCTGTGGGGGCAGAGCCCATTCCCAAAGCTGTTGGAAAGGGAAATCCTTTGGGCTTTCCCCAAAGCCACACTCCCCAACCACCCAGCGGTGCCATTTCCAAGCACGCAGGTTAGCCCCAGTGCCTGATGTCCACCTCACAATCCCAATGGCTCTGGGACAGAGATGCTGCTCACCCACGCACTGCAGCACCACGAGGAACTCGGGCTCAGCCAAGCCAAAAGCGTTGGCAGGGTCCTCAAGGACGCTCAGCAGGCTGCCACTGGAGCAGTACTCCATCACCAGCACCTTCTGCTTGCTGCTGCCCTGCAGGGAGAAGGGCAAAGGCAGGGTGGCTGTACGGCCGCCACCTTCCCATCCCCCCCAGAAAGACCAGGCACCCATCATCAATGGGGCCGTGGGATTCTGCTTGGACAGAGCAGTGTAGGAGGGAGGGTCCCGGTCCCGCTTACTGTCTCCTCCACTGCAAATAACTTGACAATATTTGTATGGTTCAGCTTCCGCAGCATCTCAAACTCCCGCATCTGCACCTCCTGCGGGCGCAGGTAGCTAGCTTTGTTGAAGACCTTGACAGCAACCAGCTCCCCTGATTTCTGGGGAAGGAGGAAAAAGAGGAAAAGGGAACGATGGCTCGCCCCGTCCCTAACAGCACCGTTAGCCTCACTGCTGCTCTGGGTGCCAACGATACCCAAACACAGCTTGCTTTCTGACAGGCAGCCTCGGCTTCCTGCATTGCAAATGCAAACACTGCCGCTCGCTCCGTTTGCTTCCTGTCCTCGCACCCACGTGCTCAGTGGGCGCACGTTTCTGCAGCGCTGTCAGAGGTTTGCAGTGGGGTGGGGGCATCCAACTGCTGTGCTCTGCTGCTCCCAACTCACCTCTGCCCCGCGCTTACTGAACAAAGATCACAGAACAGCAGGGCTGGGAGTCTCCATCCCAGCGCTGGCGAGTGTTTGCATGAAGCATGCAAATGGCCGGAGTTGGGGGTTTACAGAACTTCAGGCATTCCCCCCCACACACACCCTGATGCTGGGGGAGCAGCACTGCACAGTGCCCAGCACAGAGCTCACCCCAAAACTAGCTTGTATCCCATAAAGCCACAAAGGGGAAAACAGAAATAAAGCCAATGCAGCTCTGCTACTGCCAGAGCAGGAGGGCACGGGGGTTTGGTTGCCCTGGGGTGGCCGTGTGTCCGTCCGCCCCCTCCCCACCTCCTCACCTTGCTGCGGGCTTTGTAGACGCAGGCCGTGGCTCCTTGGCCCAGCAGGTCATCTGTGCTCCAGAGGTAATTGGGGGTGCTCTGCATCGCCTGCACCGGGAGCACCGCCGTCACCGCTGCTCTCCCTTCTGCTGCCAGCAATGCATGGGAGAGCCGCAGGCACAGCACAGCCGCAGGCACAGCACAGCTGCCTTCCTCCTACCTGTACATGGGAGGCAGCGACGCTGCTCTGTGCTCTGCCAAACCCCGCTGCTCGCTGGGACCTGTCGGGGCCGGCAGCGCAACGATGGCGGATGCAAGAAAGTACGGGAGGAGAGAGCTGCAAGGTGGAGAGAGGCACCTCCCCACTGCAGAACAGAAACCCACGGGATTGCAAAACTCGCTCTGCAAGCATCGGCTGCGGCTGGAGGAGGAAATGCTTCAGCTTCCTGCTTGAGAAAAAAAATTCCCAGAGCTGCAGCCGTCTGCAGGCAGCTGGGACAGAGCTGGAAAGGGCCAACGGTGCTGGGCATGGCCAGCATGCAACGCTGCATGGGGCAGGGAGCCAGGGGTGAGGGCTGAGGGTTTGAGCAGCGCTGTGCTTGGTCCCCTCTGTGCCATTTGTAGAGTCACCGCTGTTCTTTGTGTCCTCAACGTGGGGCATCGAGAGTTGGGATGTGCAGATGTCAGTGCTGTGCTGCTTCGTGGGCGCTGCAGAGCTGTGATGGGGAAGCCTGCAGCCCTCAGGAGGAGATGGGTCACCCTGAGATCATAGGATATTAATTAACATTCCCTGGGGGTGTCCCTGCAGCGCTGGCAGCACTGCAGCTCCTATCCCTGCAGGAGCCAAAGCCACAGAGCTGTGAGTCCTTCACACCCAGGTAAAAACGCCCCAAATAAAGCCCAAAACAGGCAAAGAGGAAGCAGGTGCAAACAGAGCAAACCGCTGCCTCCTTTCCCAGCCACAAACCCATCCCCCAGCATGAGCAGCACAGACCCGGCCCAGCACAGAGCAGTGGGGACAATTCGGGGCATTCCCCAGCCGCTCCCAGCATTGCTCTCACCCTGGGTCAGAGCTCAGGGACTCCTCATGGCAGCAAACAGTGACAGCGCTGCTGTCCCCACATGCACACAGATGTGATCACACGGGAACAGAGCCCAGAGTTACAGCGTGGGACATCCCTAAAGCAAGGCAGGACATAAAACAGGCACAGCAGAGAGCTGGAGACAGGGTGAGATGCAGGGTGAGATGCACTGTGCTGGGGGTCCTCTGCTGCTGCAGGGCCTGGCTGACGTTCCTGCATGCTTCCTGATGCTTTGCCTTGCTCAACCTCAGCAGCCCACATCCCCTTTATCAGGTGTTCTTTTAGGATCACACGGATGTGTGTCTGAAGGAGCTCTCCTGGTGAAATGCAGCACACACTGCTATTCGGATCTGCAGCACATGATGCATCCCAAAGGGGATACGGTGCTCCACCGGTCTGCACGCAGACTGTGCACCTGATCATTAGCATCATTTGCTAATTATTACTGAGCTCCATTTCTGCACCACGCCATAGGCTGCCCTACAAACCCATCTGGGAGCTGCTGATGGGCAGCACACCTGCAAAATGACACAGGGCCAAAGAGCTCAGATCACATCACTGCCCCGCAGCTGGGAAAAGAAAGTGAAACAACAGCTCTGGGAGCAATAAAACCCCAAAGCAAGCAGGAAGCAAAGCATTCCTCCAACTTCCAACCCACACACATTGCTTTCAACTGACAGATGAGTCGAGTTGGGCTGATGGTAGGAGATAATGCATTTATGACACCCCAAAATTGCTTCCCAGTGGCAGCTCAGCACTGTGCACTGCTCACACCAGCTGATGGCAGCAGAGCCCCAGCAATGCATCCCAACTGTGCTCTGCTCTGCTGCATGCAAACAGTGGGAGGGCTGCACGCCCCAACAGCGAACACGGATGGGATCAGAGGGCTTTAAGGGATTATAGCATCCTCCTCCAGGCCAGTGGGTTAATGCCCCAAAGCTTCTGTTTGTGTCACCCCATTAGCAGGGCATCACCCCGTTACTGTTTCCTATTGCATATAATTTTAAAAAGCACCAACCAACGTGCAGCTGCATCCCCTGGAAATCAATGGGGACTCCATAGGGAGCTGCTTTTGCTGTTGCATGGAGCTGGGCTGGCAGCCTTGCTGTGTCCCCAAGCACCAACCATAGGACTGGGGATGGAATGGTGCAGGAGGAGCACCCACAGCTGCCCAGTGATGTGGGGACACAACATGGTCACCCCAGCACAGCTCAGTTATACATCAGCCCTCACTGTAAATAATTCATTCCTTGGAACCCAAACAAAGGGAATCCAATGTGACAAAGCCCTGACACACTTCCCTCACCCCGCACTGAAAAACACATGCTGAGATGGGGGGCAAACCCAGCAGTAACAATAACAACCCAATCCATAATCTCAACCTCAAATCCTCTTTCCCAGACAGTTTGAGGCCCATCCTCTCTGGGAAAATGATGAAGATTAAGCATTTTTAAATCGGGTCACTGCAAAGGAAACGTGTGCCCTGCTGAAACCTGCTGTTGCTGGATAGGTGTGTGCAGGAGCAGATGGACACACAGCCAGGCACTCAGGACAAGGCTGTGCTGCCTGCAGACACACGAGGATGATTCTTCTCTCCTTCCAACCCCTGCACCCATGGGCACAGCCACAGCACCCACTCCATACATCATTCATTGGCATCCATAGGTCAGCGTTTCCACCATACCCAAAACATTTATTTCTCCAAAACTATTGCTAATGACAATGAATACAGTTCGTAGCCCCAGTACGGATTTAACATTTCCAACACATATACTCCTAAATACTGTACAATACTGTACCAAAAGGAAGAAAAAAAAAAAAAGAAAAAAAAGGATGTACCTCCATATTGTACAGTTATATATACAAAGTACAACTTTACACGGTTTAATATATACACCATATATATATTGGTGTAGAAGACATGAAACAATGGAAACTGTTGAAGCAAGAACATCCCATCCCACCAAACAACCATCGTTAACAAAACCCAAAATCCCAATGCAGAGCCCATTGCAGGACTGAAGCTTTGGACCAACAGAATGCAGTTTCCAGACTTTGCAGTCAGATTTTCTACTCCAGTACAGTCGAACCATAACGTGGCTGCTGTTCAATGTGCATCGGAGGTGGTTTTCAGTGTTGGCCCTGTTTTGGCTACATAGAGCTGGTCTGGTACAGAACCTGCTGCTCCAAGTATTGCTCCAGCAGTTTGGCACACGCACACGAGTCCAAGTCCATTGGACTTCATTTATTCAACCACAGGGCTGTGCCTGAAGAGAAAGGAAGGGTGAAGTCCACTTCAAGCATAAAGTTACTACAGTGCCTTTAAGTGAAGGATCCTCCTCTTGTTTCCATTGCAAACCGCTCAGTGTTTACCCTGTACCAAGCGTGGTACCTCAAGTATCAGCACAGCAGGGAGCTGCCCTCACCTCTTTTTGGCCCATCTGCAAAGAACGACGCTTTCGTCTCTGACCACGTTACAGGAAGCACAAAAAGGAAAATAATAATCATCATCATCATCGTTTTTCAGGCCTTGAGTTGTGTTGGCATCTCCAGGTCCACCCAAAGACCCCAAGAACTGAGCCCTGCCCAGCATCGCTGTGGTCAAGTATTGGTTTCAAGTACCAGGGAATGGAGAGACGAGCAGGAGCGGATCCAGGAGGGTTTCTCAGAAAGTGATGTGTGAGCTCAGACCCAGAGCTCAGCACGGCCCATCAGAGCTCAGCACCTCCAGCCATGGCCCCACGGCTGCCAGCAGAGCCCGCAAAAAGGCTACAACTACAAACCTCACAATAAATAAAGCCCACGTTTGTTCATTCAGCCCCGTTAGTGATGGGAATACCTAAAGGTTCCAATGTTTGTTTGTTTTTCCCCCTTGCTGGTGGTTCATAGAGCAGTGAGGAAAGGCATCTGCTTGTTGCAGAGCATCTCCATGAGGTCAGGGCCGGATCCTGCCAGGCACAGGGACCACAAGCTGCCCACCAAGTCAAGGAGCCCCTCCAGCTGTTCCCTATGGGCCTTTCTCCATCACCACAGCTGCCTGATGAGCAAACCATGCGCTGTGAGAACCACCACCTGCCTCGAGTCTTCCCTCTGCACGCAGAGCATCCCAGTCTATCAGGTAAATGGATGCAAAGGGTCTGAAGTGCTACCTAGAGACATCTGGAAGAAAATCCCTCAAAAGCTCAGCAAAACCCAAAGCACACACAACGTTCAACTGAACCTGTGAGGTTCTGACACACAGGAGGAAAGAAATGAGGCAGCAAACTCCATCTGCACAGACCTCTGTAGTCTCAGTATTACTCCAGAGAGGAACTGGAACAGATGGAATTTCTTGCCGAACTCTGAAGGGTTTGGATTCTGTAAATAAATTTATGAGAACTTGGTTACCTTAACCTACTTTTGAGCAAGAACAATCTTGCCTTTAAAAAAAAATAATAATAATAATAATAATAACAATTCAACAAAAACCCAAAGAAATTCAACATATGAGGTATTCATCACAGGAAACCCAAAGACTCCTTTTCAACAGGTATCAAAATACATACATATACAACATGGTTTTTTTCTGCTGTCACAGTGCACTCTAATTATTTAATCATTTTCATTGCAAGAAAATAGCCAGTACAGATCAAGTGAGAGAGCTGGTTCACGTCCCATTGAAGAAACATGGGACACGTTCTTCTCTGACATGAAGAACACGTACAAGAGATAACTGAGAGCCTTTGGATTGCCTCAGAGAGGCAGAAATTTAGCAACCATGAAAGCACACTGCTCAGTTCCCAACAAGGGAAATAAAACATGAGAGGTTACAGCTTCCCAAACTATTAAGACTGCTCACCTAAAACCGTGTTTTGTTTGAAAAGTTTTGCTTTGGATTACTTGAATCCAACATCTGATGAACAAGAAGCCTCTGTTCATACAAAGCACTATCAAACAGACATACGTTATTCCAGTTATCAAACACTGCTTGTCTTTATATCCGACACACACATTACATAAAAAGTCATGAAAGAATTTCCATGGAAGAGCAAAGATTTCTTCTGAACACGAAGATAGGAAGTAAGAGTGACACCTCCCCAGGCAAACCACCGTGCCTCCCTCATCCACACCCCCACCTCCTGCACAAGATGCCCGCTGGCTCTGCAGGGTGGTGTCAATATTTCCAGTTTTCCTTCCCCACCTCCCCAGTGCCCCATGGCAGTTAAACCACGATGGCAACGATGCTCAGCCTGGGATGCTCACGGAGCGAAGCAGCTGAGCTACAAATTTCCTCCTCCAGTTCCCCCTATATGTGTGCGTTTCCTGCTGGCTGGGCAACCCCAGGCCATGCAGAAGAGGAGAAGTTCTTCAGTCTGCCATATTGCTTGCTGTAGGTTTAAGTGTCAATCACAGTGCACACCAAAATTCCAGTTGAGTTGCTCGGTATACAGTTCATCCTGTTAAGCGTATTCCTGTCAGCAGTAGGATTGTCCCAGAGCTGTGGATGCTAGAGATAAGCACAGTAATTCATACAGACAGAGTAACCTGAAGTCTTTATCTCTCAATTTCCACTCGTTCAGACCTCAAAGACAGAAAAGAGCATCTCCTCCAGATGTGCTGTGCGTGGCTGGACACTTGTTCTTAGAAACATGAATGCTAGGCATAAAAATATAAAGAAAATAAGGCATTACAAATGAGTCAAAGTAAATTTCACAGAGATCCTGCTCTTGACACAGAGTAATCGGTCGTTTGCGACCAAACAAAACAAAAGCAAAAATTCCCTACGTAAAGTAAATGCCAGAAAGTTCTGCCTGAGCAAAAAAATTGCGAGTTCAGTTCTTATTCCCCAAAAGACCAAGTGATTCCTTGGTGGTAGAAGTCCATCAGAACCTGAGAGCAATGTTGGCTGGTCGCTGGGGGATCCCTCCCGCAGGGCAAAATACAGCTGTGTGACTTCTGTACAGGTGGGGATGGACACAGTCAAACCCCCTTCACTTCTCCGAGTAACATCCTTCAATCCAAGAGAAAAGCACATCTAAGAAACGTTTCTTTATTAAGTTCTGCTTGTTTCTTTTTTTTTTTTTTAATTGCTAAGCGCCGATCGTCAGGACAACGCAGTCACAAGGAAGCTAAGTGTGAGAAACCTATAGATTTAAAACCAGAAGATAAAATGGAAGAGGAAAATAACTTCTCTTATCCTGCCCTTTGCCTGCATTTACTTGATGAAAACATCAGATGCGCAGCTACTTTTTAAATCCCAGAAAAGCCTGGGAACAACGCAGAGTGAGGGTCAGTCCATCTCCTCTCTCGCAGGACCACGAGCTCCTCCTCACTGCTGTGAGCGTGCCTTCCTTAGTAAAAATTAAATAAGTGTTAATTAGCATCATGGACAATTCTCAGCAGAGCACAAACAGAGCTCATGCAGCCCGCCGACGGCTGAAGCATTTGCTGCCTGCCATATAAATACATGTACTAAGAGTTCATTCCAATGGCCATAGTCCTCCAGAGGCATGCCATCCACCAAGAGCACGCCGTGAAGCCACTCCAGAATCTGCATGCTGCCATGGCACCGTCCCACGCAGTGCTGCTCTATGAGAGCAGACCCCAGGGCAGCTCACCCTGAAGTGAGGAATTGGGGGGGTGGGGGGAGGAGGGAAGATACAGAGCTTGAGAACTTGTGGTCGAAGTTTTACAGTGCTTGTCACTGGGATTTTGGTAAGGATCCATCCTGATTCATGAGCAAAACAAGAACGTGTGCGTTACGAAGTGGGACCCCTTGAGAGGATGCTGGATTTCTGAAGTTTGCTTGCTTTTACATTCAGTCTCCCCAGCCCAAACACCACATCGCAGCCCATGGGCTAAAAGTACACTGGAAAAAAATGAAGCTGTTTTTAAATATGGGAGAGCCAAGGAGAAAAAGAGCTAGATTGTCCATAAGCAACAACTGGGCTCTTTGTTATGCTCCTAGAACCCAGGAACATATCTGTTCATATCTGCACATACACACATCACGTATCATTCCACAAAACCTACGAGTGTTCCAGAGGAAACTATTTTTCATGACGTGTCACTGAAAGGATGAGGCTGGATGACCAAAAGCCCTGCGGGGAGGGACGGGGCAGCAAGCAAACAAACAAAACCCAGGGATGGCATGGAAGTCCAGACAGACCCTTAACCACAGCGGCACCAGCGGGCGACGTCGTAACAATGCACAAGAAGGAGCACGTCCAAGCTCCACAAAACGAGTGGCACCAAAACATGCAATAGACTAAAACCTACCCTATTGTTCCCCTGCCATAAACGAAACACGGAATATATATAAAGTCACTACATCAGTACTCGAAAACATGACGCTGCCAAATATTCCCTCCAGCAGCTTGGAGCGAGGCGTCAGTGAGAAACCAAGATCCAACTCAGTGCTGTTTTGTTCTCCTCCTCAGCTTCACAGTGACCTGAAATTGGATTTCCCATGCGTGGCACGAAGGGCTTCACCTTACAGACACCACCAGGATGAGGCTGTTAGCACTGAGTCTGCCCCCAGCAGGAGGGAGCAGCTCACCACAAACCTTCAGCACAAGTTCAGGATTCAATTAAATAGGAATTCTAACGTCTTTAACGCAGTCTCTTCATCTGAAACAACACGGCTGTACCCACAGAGCAGCATCGGGTTTATCAGACAGTACAGGACTTGTCAGCAGGCTGCTGAGATGCAGAGGAGGCAACGCCGGGGCTTGCAGTGTTGGTTTTGGGGAAAACTGCAGGCTTTGGACGTGTCGCGGGGGGTTTGACCTGCGTGGCCATTTTGACTGATTTCACTGGCCTGAAGGTGCAGGGGATGTCGCCGGCCGTGCTGGCGCTGCGCTGGAAGGCTGGCTCAGTGTCCTTGAGGATCTGGGTGTGCAGGGGGCTGGAAGGCTCGGATGTGGGAGCCACCACTGGGGATGTTTTCAAAGGCTCCAGAGTATCGAGGACGACATCTGGCGTGTGCTTGACGCTGCTCTGCCTTTCCAGCTCCCGCAGCTCGTTCAGAGCAGAGTTCATCGTAGCTTCAATGTCCTGCAAACACAAAAGAGAAATGGAATGGAGTAAGTCACGGGACCCAGGCACGTAAATAAGCAGGAAGAATTCAGTGCTGGAGAAATTCCCCTTCGTTCTGTAAGCATCAGTGCTCAGATCATCTTGGCAGGTCAGCTGGAAGGTCATCTTCAAGTGTCAAAGTGAACCCCACGACAAACACACTCTACATAAGGTTATACACTGAGTAATATTTCTCACCATTGGGGAGTAAACAGTAATTGCTAACACTACTTCAGTCCTTTACAGGTCCCAACGTCTCCAGATGCTGCCTGGACATCAAAGATGACTACAATCCCAAAATGCAGCAGTGAACACAAAAGCACGTGGCCCATTCTCGTGGGAGATTTAGGAGAGGAAACATGCAAAGGAAGAGGCTGAGGGTTCTGACACTGAATGCTGAAATCTGAATGAGGGGCTATGAGATACGGTTTAGTAGCTTAGTGGGTAGAAATGCTGATAGGAGGATGGTTGGACTAGATGATCCTGTAGGTCCTTTCCAACCTTGTGGTTCTATGATGCGCTGTTGCTGCCTCACTGGTTTTCCTGCTGCCCATCTGGTCTTACATAACACCATTAGGACTCAAAACTTCAACGTTCCCCAAAAAAACACAGAAGATATCAGAAATACAGAAGTTCCAGCTGGCACTTCATCATTCTATCGAGTGTTACGGTTATTAACATGAACAGCAGAAGAATTCTGATATAAACAACAGTGGCTGCTTTGTTCCCAGCCGTGCCAGGACCTCCACATCACACAGAGCTCAGAGCAGAGGGGCTCAGTCACCCTGTGCTGCACAGGCTGGAGTGGGGAAGGTACATCAGTCAGAACAGTGGAAGAAACCAGAGACAGCAATCTGATCCCTCCAAGTCTATCTTGAGGCCAGGCAGATTTTGCTTAGGAAGTCAGGGAAAAACATGGAAAATGTGGGATGGTTATTAAATGGCGTTGGAGCAGAAATTGTAGGGCTCAGAGAAATGCATTTCACACAACTCCCCCTCTCCTCTCTTTTCCTTTTTTTTCCTCCCACCCCAGACTTCTGCAGTGAAAACAATGGACTTAACATTCAGAAGGAAGGGGCAGAATGACTTCAGTTGGAGCTTAATTGAAAAAACAAAGAAACTGATTTATATCAACCAAAGCCCTGGAAGGACGACAAATTACAAAGACTCGACCTGTGTATTATTACTCCACTGGAACAAACAGGCTAAAGGACAAAATACAGATTTTTACTCAGCCCTTATTTATGACTTGATGCTGCCGACTTGTGAATAAAAACACAGCTTAAATTTTCCACCACTCTTCCCCTCCTCTTTAGAAACCCACAGACTTCTGCACCGAAAGAGGCCAAGAAGTCAGGTCTCCAGAGCTGCCTGTAACCTGAGACCCAGGCATTCCTCAGCTTTAGATAGATGCATCACATACTGAAAGCAGTTGGTACAGGCAAGCGTGTGCGGGCACATCCAACAGTTAGGAAAGGGAAGATCCTACCAGGAACACAGGAATCTGCAACGTTTACATCGTTCCCCCCCATCAGGAGCTGTTACTTCTTCAAAACCTGACTTTTAATTATTTTCTGTTCTGCTTCTGCTTGCAGAATCACAGATGCAAAAAAAACACTGCTTGCATTCGCGCTCACAGTCACTGCTGTGGCAGCCCATGGTTCCAACAGCAGGAAGGGACCAGGCTCTGTGCAGAGGGAATACTTGCAAATGCTTGCAATACTGCCTCAAAACTAGCAAAGAATAAAAAAAGCATGACGAACACCATTCCTTTTCAGCTGCACGGGAAGACTTTCCTTGCTGTACGTGCAAACCCAAAAGCAGAGCTCTGTAAAACTGAAGCACAGCTGTACGTGCATTGGTAGCCTGCCCTCACTTCCAGGCACTTGTCTAAACAAACAGGTAATGAAAACTAGAGGAGCATTATGTCCAAAGCTGGTTTTTAATCACGCTGCTCCCTGTAAGCACATAAAGATGGCACTGTGCACAACTCAGCAGCCTGCTTTTATTTTGACTGTACTTCTCCGTATGCCTCCAAACCACAGGCAGGTCTGCACAACCAACAGGAGGACTTTCAACTGACACTAAATACTGTACTTTTCTCAAGTCTTGAAGTCGGGATTGTTTAATCCTTTTGCTGACAGCTTTGGAATCTGTGTAACTTTCTGAAGCGAGCATTTTTATTGTCGAAACAAAATTCTGAATAAAGAAGAGGGCCAAGCTTTTATGGAGTAAGGAGCTGGCTGTTTATCTTCCCCTGCTGAAAGAAGCCTCAGTGCCTCGCACAGAGTGAGGCTGAAAGACTAAACCTCACGTGGAGCACGTTAACACTGCACTGCCAGAAGGGAAGGCACAGGAGATCAATGCAGACTTTGTATGAAACCACGGAGCTGTACCCAACATCCTGCACATCTACTACTGATGGCTGGCGACCCTGCACACAGCAGGATGATCACTGTGGTCCTTTTCAACCCGGGCCATTCTGTGGTTCTACTCGAGAAGAGCCTTCAAGGCAAAGCACTCCTCACCTGTGCAATCACCTCGGGGTCCATGGGCCGGTGGTTGTTGAAGCTCTTGGACCTCCCTGCTGTCACAGTTTTCCGGATCTGAGGGCTGTCTATCCTGTTCTTCAGAGATGAGTGTCGGCTGATAGAATTGAGGCTGCCGTGGCCACTGATGGAGCATTTGTCTGGAACCTCCTTGGGAAGACTTTGGCTCATTATGGGCTGAGATGAGGGTCTGGAACCGGCTATGGCTCCTGGGGAGGCTGGTTCTGCCATTGAGCTACCTAGTCCATGGCTGTCACTTTGACGGAAGGCTCTTCTGATGCTGCCTGACTCTGGTTTCTTTCTTTGCCTTCAGTCACAAAAGCAAAACAAGTCAATACAAGCAGGAACACGTAACGGGCTGTCATTTGAAGATATCCCCCCAAAACAACACAGAAGACAACGGGAAGAGACATAACGATATCCACATTGCAAAGTTCACCCAGGGTTTTAGGAGTCGCTGTGAAACAGTGAAGTTATAAACCATTCCATTTAATGCTTCTAACAACAGGAGTCTGGCAGCTCTGCACATTCATAGCAAAAACAGAAAGCTTGGATGGAACGTAATTAAATTGGTCGTGAAGCAAATCTTTTAATTCTGAACAAAAAAAAAACCCTCTGTGCCATCGACAGGTTTTGATGATGTGTTTTTATTACATTAGAAGAGCATAGCTACAATTTTTTGACTGGAGGACACAGTATAAGTCTACTAAGCTCCCGGCCCAAGGCATCAAGTTGTTATTTTCAGAGATTGGCAAGCAAAGAACCCCATAGTTTGAGGTCAACAATCATTTCCAATATTTGCTGGTGGTAACAGAGCTTTCTTTTGCATTGCTTTAGCAGGACCATAAGGCACTATCGACACGGGGCTACAGATAAACCAAAACATGACATCAGATGGGTAAACTGGTCCAACCAATTTAGTTTCTACCCCAGCACCATGAGGTCTGACAGCATGATTCCATTCCAATTACACAAAGGCCACTGCGGAAGAACACTTTATGCCATAGGTCTGAAGCTTGGCATCCATTATACAGGGAAGGATCCATTTATATATAGCACCAGCCCCATGAATAACTGCAAGAAAGTGTTAACTCCAGTAGGATTTTGGCATCCAAATAATAATTCAGTGGGTGGCACAACTGTCACTGCGAAACCATCTGATTTAATTTTGCTCAAGTCTGCTCACACATAGGTCAGAAGATTCATTCCTAAAGAAAAAACAACAAAATGAGTCTTATGCTGCTATGGCTAAATATCTGGTCCCCTAGTAAAGGGAGAACTACTGGAGTGGACATTGCTCTTACAAACACTACACACAACGCTACCCAAAACTAGCAGGTGGTGAAGCTGCAGCAAAGGTCTGTTCATTGCATAGATCTCTGATGGAACTGATGGAACTTCAGCAGCTCACACCATAAATAACAATAAGAAGGCCCGGATCCCAAGCTGATGCAGACTAACACAGATATCAACAGAGCTCTGCTGATTGCTGTAAACCAGGCTCAGTGTAGGACTTTAGTCCATAAAGGCATTAACAGGAATACATCCTTTTTAAAGGCTTGGACTGCTGAAGCCTGTTAAACTAACTACAGTTCCAAATATCATAAAACTGTAATTATCACATTAAGATTCTGTCCCTACACAATACCCAGAGTTGCTTTTGTTTTAATAATAAACAAGTAATCAATCAGAAGGATTTAGGGGATAAGTCTGCCATAAAGTAAATAGAAGATCCTCATAAAAATCTGGGGAGCTCAGCCCGTAAGCTGACTGCTGGCTATGGGAACAACTTCTTGTTAGCAGAAGTTAAAGCAAGAGGGAGAAGTGCTGTGAGCATACGGTTAGTAAGCAAGGTGAGAAGTGCTGCAGAGATGGAAGGATGCTACAGGCAAGACGGGGCCTCCAGGTGTGCCATCAACACAATGTGTGACAATGCTGTCTGCAAGATTGCCCCACGCCCCATAAAAACAAAACCCCAACACTGATGTGTAAATGAGACACAAGAGCAGAGGAACGTAACGAGGAATGGTGACACGTGGGTATGAGGACTTAATTCCACATCTCCCTCCCTTTCTTGGTATCCTCTGCTTACAAAACAGGACGTATTTGGGACAACAGGAACAGATGGCAGCTCAGGGGTAGGGAAGAGAAGCCAGTGGGGTTTTAAATGAGCATTGGCCACATCAGTGAGAGAGGACAGCAAAAAGCAAGCCAGTTGGAAGAGGCAAAAGCGGAGAACAAAGGGGGAAGCGCTCATTAACCTTCTTCAGGGAAGGGAATATTTTATGGGACTCATCACCAATACCTTCGCAATTACACAGAGTAACACAAGGCTGTCCTTACTTGTTGATGTTTGCCAGGTAAATGTCTGCCACGTGGCCCCCGCTCGGGCAGCTGGCACCAGCTCTGGCCGTCACTTTTTCCTCCGGTGGCTCAGAATTTATTTCTATCTCTGACTTCGGACTGGATCTTTCAGAGACACCGTCCTCACTAGGAAGGAAGAGGGAAGGAAATCACAACCAGCACAGGACCAGCAGCACGGAATCTCAAACAAGTACAAGACAACAGCACGGTGCTAGCATCCTTCATCACACATCCTTCCAAATGACAGAGCCTGAGTCCTGCAAGCAACCAGCAGATCCCAGCTCTGCATCCTTCCAGCACCAGAACAAATCTTTACTGCACACTGAAGCTTAGAACCTCCATGCAAACAGACACCTACGCCTCGGCGGAGCTCTGCTCGTTTCAATAGGATCCCCCTCCTTGCAGGGAAGCTTGAAGGACGAGCTCTCCCCACATGGTGTCAACATCTTGACACAAACACTCCGTTCCACACCTGATTTTAGGCAAGCCCATCTCGCAGATGGACCGAAATTGTAACATACGTGTCTTGAACGACGATGTACTGATGAGGGATCAGGCCGTCAATCCCATTGTGGCGTCCCTCCCACCAGTCATCTGAGGCTCGTTGGTACAGTAGGAGAGAAGCTCCTTTTTTGAAGGACAGCTCTCGTGCAGTCCTGCCAATGTAGTCGAACTTCGCTATCGCTTCTATGGGCTCACACTCTAGGAGACAGAAAGGAATAAACAGGAATTCACTGAGGATCGGAAAGCATTCAGCAGTTTATACCTCTTGCAGAACAGTTGACAAAGAGAGCATGGAACACAGGACAGTGATGCTTTAAGGTAGCAGAGAGCAGGAAGATTCAGAGGGGAGTCCCTGCAATGTGAGGATGCTGCAATCTCAGATGGATCTGATCTCTGTGTTACAGCCACGTCTGCATTTCCCATGCCATAAACCCACTGACAGCAATTCAAGCGTCCAGATGGAAACGACAATGACCAAATTAATGCCTTATTAAAGTGAGCAGTGAGATACAGCCCAGGACAAATTCTGCCTACGTGGTGGTTTTGGAAAGGCAGCTCAACTACACCTCTGGGCTGGCAAGCAGCATTTCTTATTAGCATTTAAGGGAAGGAAACCTCTGATTCCAAGCTGCTTCAGAAATAAAGCAGCTATTCAGAAGGAAACTTCTGCTGCCCATGAGATTCACCCAGCCCAGGAGAATGGGCTCTGCTACCACAGGAGGCTGCTGTGCTCATGGAAGAGCTGCAGGAACCACTGAAAACACAGCACCCACACCATGGCTGCCTATGCAGACCCACGAATTGCACTGTGCAGCTGCTTCAGAGCCACAGCACGTGTTCCTGCTGATGGCTCCTAGCTGATAAGCTCCATGGTGAATTGCAGCCATGCTGTGCCTGCAGCCAGGCGTTAATCTGAGTCCCTGAGGGACCCACGTTATGCAGAGGGAAAATGTGGGCGTTCAGACACTGGGGAAAATCGATCGGAAATTCATGGGGATTATTTTCTAAGACTTAAAAAATAATAATAATAATCTGTCATTGGTTGAACGTCAGTGTGTATTACACCAGCTTCCAATTCTATGCTGGAATCAAGGGAACGGAGATGAGCTCAAACACGCAGCCCCAGCAGATTTCAGCTGCTAATTACTTGAAAGGAGCTTTCTAGCACAGCCATGGAAACAGAGCTCCTTCTCAGGGGAACAGAACTGTGGTTCCTTTCCAGGAGAGAGATGTGCTGTTTTGTCCCGAGATCTCCATCAGCATTATGGGATGCCTCATCAGAAGGACAAACACAGCTTTGCTCATCACTCCTTGAGGGGGCACCCACCCAAAAATTAGGTCTCCCAATGCAGAGCCAGGCAGCAGCTGGGCCACAGACCACCTGTAGGGTAAACCCATCTAACAGCACTGTGGGTGCCCCAGAGGGGCACAGCTGAGGGTACAGGATGGGAGCAGCACCCAGAGAGCATCCCTCTCTACAAAGCATGACCTGATGGTGAGAGGAGAGCCATCAGCCACACTGAGCCCCCAGCACTGAATTCCTTCATTTCTGAACCAGAGAGGAATTATCACAAATGACACAATTCAGGGAACTCTGTGGCCAGCCTCACAAATCCCATTATCAGCCTTTGGCCACCAGCATGGGTGCAAAGCCTGCCTGAGTTCCCAGCCTGCGATAGCAGCCTCGCTCCAGACTCCCCAAAGCATACACTTATCTGCCTTTGGCTCCTGCTTTCCTCTTGCTTGTTTTGCCTCTGGAGCCAGCTTCTTCATTGTGTTTAATTCATATTATTTAAATAAATTAAAAAAAAGAGAGAATTCTGTGTTTTGGTGCCCCCCTCCATTTACGAAAGCGACGGGGCTGCGGTTCTGTAAATTCTGTTTCATTAACAAGTGTTTATTGTTCCAGATGAGAGCAGCACTCAGGTTTCTTATGTTTCCAAACTGCCTTTTAGGACTCTGGCTTTCATCCAGGAGAGATTTTAGCCTCTCATTTCCAGTAGCTTTTTCCTACTACACTTATGCCCAGAGCAGAAAGCTGTGAGAATAAGGACCAGTCAGGCAAGATCCTGCCAGTTTGGAAAGCCTGTTTTTAAATTATTTTGCTAAAGTTAGGTTGTTTCCTTCCATTTAGCAGCGTTGCATGCTCCTTTGTTGTTCAAAATGCATTTGCAGATTGCACATGGCCGAGCATCTGCACTTCAGTGCTGCTGGGATGGTGGCTGTGCCTTAGGAGGACCAGGTCCAGCCTCACTAAAGGTCTCATCTAAAGGCTGAAGGAGAGAGAATAACTCAAATCTGAGTGACCTGAGCCACAGCACTGCTGCTGAGTACACCTGCAGTGCAGAGAACTCAAAGAACCAGGAGAGTCCGTGCTCAATGAGCCCTTGCTGCTCCTGCAGAAAGGATGGAGGCCCCGCTTTCCCTCTGCTTCGGTGCCAAACTCTCCCTCCCAACTACTTCCTATGGAATATTCCGTGGAGGTTGCAGAACTCCATCCAAAACGCCTCCAAGTTTTACCTTGCACAGGGGCCCCTCACCATCCCGTTCCAGAGGCTGCAGAGCGGTGTCAATCTCTAATCTCTGGCTGCTCCTTTTCCCATCACTGTGCCCTCCTGGCTGCATAAGCAACCTAAAAACACCATGCAGAAGCAGTGCAAGGACACCCCTTGGTGTTTTCTCCCAACAGCCCTAGTGAGGAGTCATTGTGACAGTGACCAACCTTGCTGCAGGAGCACTGATTCTGCAGCATTTGAGCAGTGCTCAGACATGGCTTACTTTGTTAGTGGTGCACAAACATCATACAGCCAGCAGGAGCACAGCAATGCCACGGGAAGGGTTTGTCAGACAGCTGGTGGAGCAGAGAGAGCAAAAGGCAGCACAGGAGCATGACAGGGCTATGGAGCAAATGGCTGAAGACCAACATGATGAACGACCAAATGAAGATTTAAATGACAGCACCTCGCTGGAAGGAAAAGCCATCCTCCTCCCATCTTTACAACTGAGATCATCACAAATAAAATCAAGGCTTTAAGAAAAATGCAAGGGGTCAAAAAAAGAATGAAATATACTATATCCTGTTTCGGTCACTCTGCCTTACATGCTGCTGACACTCTTGGTTATACTCTGGGGACTGGTTTCACATCAATAATGTAATTTTCCTCTGTCCTACATGATGTTCACATGCAGCTGTTCCCCACTGAAGAAAGAGGCTTTGGAGGTGCAACAGCCACCTCAAGACCTTAGGAAATCCTGGGCAATTCTCACAGCTGGCATCCCTTTTTACTAATGAGGCCACAAGAAGGGTAATGGAGTTTCCCTAGGAAGACCAAAAAATCATCAAGCAGAGATGCCACCAGGACCCTGCCCTAAAATCTGTCTTCCCAAGGGAAGGTGAGCAGTTCTGGATTTTTGTCTGCTTGCTTCCATGAAGCAGAACCACTGCAGCTCGAGGCACTGAGCTCCCTGCCAGAGCTACTGCAGGAGAACTGCCTGGCACGCACAGAGAGGAGTGGGAGAGCACACTGAAGCACACTCAGCCTCTGGCTCCATCCTTCCTTCATGCCTTCCAACTCCAAAATCCTCCAGCAGCTTGGAGTGTGCCCAGGTCTGCTGCTAACTCAACAAACGCTTGGCAAAAAGGGCTGCTTTACAAAGGTGCAGGATGCAAGGGGAACAAATGCTGTACGTGATTGTTTTTACGATTTCAACCCCATTTTAGAATTTAACTTTGAAGTGAAACCGCAAAGCTCCATCCCCTTTTACCCCCAGTGGGTTCTGCAGTGAAGCACGGAGCTACAAACCATCATCGCTGGTGTGGTGCTCCGCAGCCACGTCCTGCACTGCATCCTCTGCAGAGGCTCTTTCTCCGTGAGGACTTTCACTAAAAGAGAGGGGAAAAAAAAAACAGACAGTGCTTCACTAAGCTCCCACATTTACAAAAAAAAAAATCAAAGATAATCAGGACCGTTCGTTTGGGAAGTCAACAGCCAGGTTCCGCTTGGATGGATGCATTTGTACATGCTGAAGTCAGCTTGTAAAACCCAACCAAAGCAAGCTCTGATTTGCTTAAGCAAACTGAACAGCTTCTGTATGCTGTCAGAACAGCCTAACTTCAGACCTTGCAGCCCAGGGCTTTGGAGATCTTTAGGAGTCAGACAGCAATGGCACATCGGGTCTAGCTCCTCTCTGCTATGCCAGAACGATTCCCCCAGCCATCATCTCCACTGCTCTAATTAGCTCATTATGTGACTGATGAGATAGCAGCCACTTCCTGGGGGAAATTATTTCTACATTCACAGTGGTATTTCCAGGTCTGAGTTTGCCATCTCCCTCCTTCCCTTTCATCACAGGCTGCCCAGTCCATCTCAGCACTCAGACGGATCGCCTGCAATCTTTATTTACAGAGCACCAAACCCACCAGGAGTACTCATTTATGTTTATATAAAGACAGATTCTGGCAGGGCCCGCAGGAACACCTACCTCTCCCACTCCTTTAAAAGAGAATGGGGAAAAAAAAAAAAAAGAAGGGGTAAAAGGTTTGAATAATTCCAGCATCCCGTTTGTGCACAATCCACATCTGAGTCAGTGCCTCAGAACCAACCTTTCCCATCCTTTGCAAAGCCCTCACGCTACTTCATAAAGTTTACAGAAGGATTTAAGGCCAAACGGAGGTCCCAAAGGGGAACACAGAACTGAGGGTTAAGGTTTCGTGCAGACTGTGAAGTCATGTCGCATACAGCCAGTGCTGCACAGCTAAGTTTTGCAGAGAAGCCCACGTGCCTCCAGCAGCACTCAGTGCCAAAGCACCCGCCTGCACTGCAGGGACAGCCTGCAAGCCCAGGGTGTGGGAGGAGAACCTGGGGCTGCTGGACATCACGGTGAGGGCTCAATGCAGCTGGGTGTGCTGCCAGAGCATCTCTGTGCTGTTCCTCTTCCCTGCAATGGCAGCACGTAGGAATGAAGGTGCTGCTAACACTGAGCTGCTCTATGCTGTCAGGCGGACAGACAGACAGACAGCAGCAAGGCGGTATTTCAAAGATGTTTGCATCACAGGCTCTGAATTTCCACCACTTCTGACCTCCATGGCATGTCCACCCACAGGGCCAACACAGCCTGCAAGCTCCAAGGCAAAATACTGAGAGCAGCCAAGTGGCACAGTGCAGTCACAAACATCACAGGCTTCACTCCCAATGGATGAGCTGAGCTGCATGCCTTCCCTCTGCTTCAGGCATGCTTTGCAGCAAGGAGCCCTATGGGCAGCAATCAGCAGCTATGTGAACAGTGGGGCTGTGGGAAGGCTGCAGTGGGAACCAGATGCTTCTTCCTCACATCATAAGCAGCCTTCCCTGCTCATTTTTACCCCTCTGTGCTCAGCAGGGTCTCACGTCGGGGTGGTTAGGAAGGGCAAAGTGCCTTCAGGAAAGCAGTTCTACTCTGCAGGATGTGCTGCATCCTACATCCTGATGTGAATTGCTGCACACCCTGCACTGTGCTGAGCATTTCACATTGTTAATCCCTCCACCTTACAGGACAAAAACTTTTGCTGGTGTATTTCTTGAAGGTTTTAAGAATTCTTAAGTCTTTTCCCCCCTGTACAATCCAATTATACGTAACATTAATTAGAAATGTCAGAATGAAGGGTAAATTAAAAAAAAATAATCATATTTCCAAAAGAGACACTGGTAAGAATTCTGCATACAGCAGTTAGTGAGAAGTAACTGCTTCTCACTGCACATGCATGGAATGAGCTGATAGTTATAATTATTCTGGAACAAGACAGGAAAACAAGGGCAGCTCTGTCACCAGAGTGACTTCATTTAAAAAAATATATTTATTTTAGTATATGAAAATAATCATTTGCATTCTTGGGACAGAGGAGGAGGGAACTCGGGGGGTGGGGGGAGAAGCAGGACACGACTTAACATTCCTCATTTTCAGTGGGAGAGATCAGCCCAGCCAGTAGGAAAGAAAACACCTCCTCTCCTTCCCCCACTCCCCCACCTTTCCCTGCAGATGACAGGAGCCGCGCTGGCTGAATTGCTTCCAGATGTTGCTTTCAGACTGAACACGCGGCCTCTCGAGCTTTAAGCTGGATGGAAATGGTGATTTTGCATTCCTCACTCTTCCCTCCCCCCACACCATCAGTGCTGCCCTTGAAAACTCAACCGTGCCACAGCTTTCTGGGTTCGGCTGCAAGCGATCCTTCCTCTGAACTAAAGCCACTCTACACAAGCAGTGAATGCCAAATCAGGATTGGAGAGGCTTTCTAAGTTAATGATTGTCCAGAGACAGCAGAGACATCTCTTGCATTATACCGAATCTGAGAGGCTGGGCTAGATGCCTCAATCCTATTTAAGATGATGCAAAATGCACGACTGGAGGATTCTGACCAGCAAACAAACGTGCACCCATTCATTTTCCCCTCAGTGGAACCCATCATACCAGTAATCCTCAGTGCTTCCACCTCTGCTATACATTGGACCCTCCAGCTCCCTCGGTCCTGGGAAGATGTTCTCATGTTGGATGATGATGGTTTTGATCAGTTCATTGACATGGGCTTGGCAAGAGACTTGATCGTGACCTTCAGGCACCGACATCAGCGTCGGCCCAAAGCAGATGGCTAAATTGTAGGGATCCATCATATTCTCTTCACTGAACTGAGATAAACTGCAAGAGACAGATGTGGGGAGGAGGGTTAACAGCAGAAAATGTTATCATCACCACCATCATCTGCTGGAGAACACAGATGAGGGAGGAAGGTTGGCTTTGGGCTTCCTGCTGCTGAAGCTGCTTTCCTGGAATTTGAATATTCTGGGGTTTTGTAAAAAAGAAAAAAGACAGACTGACAGCATAACAAAGAGATGAAATAGAAACCCCAACGAGATTTTAACAGCCTTATTGATTTGATCCCTGCTCAAATCCCCGTTTATAGTTTAACCACCTTATGCAGATTTAAAACACATCCCGATGCAATCTCCCCTTTTCTTTGTTCCTGCTGTTAAGATGAGCGTGATGAAGAACAGCAGCATCACTCAACACCACCAGCCTCAGCAGGGGAATCTTTAAATGTGCTAACTCCCAGGTAGGACATTTTCCTTTTGTGCTACCCCAGGTGTCAAGACCTCAGTGCTGGAGGAAGCTGTGGTTGGACTTGATGATTTTCAAGGTCTTTTCCAACCTGAGCAATTCTATGATTCTGTTGGGCTGCCCAACAAACCCATCAGATGTGATGGACAGCTTTAAAACAGCAATGTCAGTCATACTATTTAGTACACAGTGCTCCTTGCTGGCGTGGGATGCAATTTCTGATCCCTCCTTATCATTTTTCGCTTCGTTTGCCAGCAACATTATTCACTTCCACTGCTGGGGTTCCTTTGAGATGGCATTAACATCTGGAGGAACGTCAGCAAGGCTCAAAAGCTCAGGAAAGACAGATGCAGGAGTCATCTCGTGACACGTGCGCTTTAAATCGCTGCTCAGACAGCAGCAATATCAAGGCTGGCTCTGCAGCAGGTACTCACTGATTGAGGAATGCAAAGAGGTATCTCATTACGATCAGAGTGGTCTTAGGGAGGTTCAGAAGCACCTTTCGGATGTGGAGAGCTCTCTCTTGCAAATTATCCATTGCTGAAAAGAAGAAAGAGCATCACTGAGTTATTTATCACCGCATCCCCAGCTTGCCACTGAGTCCAAATGCAGTCAGTATATGGGATGGTTCCCAGGTAAAATATTAAAACATGCAGCCAGCACAGCACAAGGGTCAGCCCGTTTCCTGGATTCACCAGCTGCCTGCCAAAGGCTGCAGGTCCTGCGTGTGATGCCTTTGCAACTAAGGGCCCAGAACGTGGAAAACCTCACTGCAGGCTCCTTCCTAGCGTGGGAGCACTGGATGTCATCTCCTTCAAGAGCTCTGGCACAATAGCTCATTCAAGTTAGCTTAGAAAGGTGGGTGTTCAAAAAAAGAAATCGTACAACACTCAAAGGAGAATTAACATAGTTAAAGGGTGAGGCAAAAAGCTCTGTGTGCAGCAGCCTACTGAGAAACAAGTGGGCAGCATAAATCATCCCAGAAAGGGGAGCTTATTTGGAAGCAGATTTTTTCTTCTTATGTAATGTGAATTCAGCTCTGTAAATGCATTTATCAGGAGAAGACAATCACGAGTCATTTTAGAAGCAGTTATCTCTTGCTTTGCCTCAAAGGCCGCCACTGCAAAGGCCATTTCACCACCAGGACAATGGAATCATTCTTTCATTCTAAGCAACACGGCAATAGTGAGGCTGTGTAACATGAGGTTACTCCAACACCAAAACACAAACCCCCTGCCCACCATCACCACCTTTAAAACAACCAAAAATGCGAACAGCTGGACTGCTGCTGCTCTTGTGATTGAAATTCTGTAACGAGAGGCAATGGATGGCCCCTTGTGGCAAGCAAGCCAAAGGCAGATGGCTACTGCCTTGCTGAACAGAGCATGCAGGAGTGTCAGCACACAGGCAGCAGATCTATTAGCACCAGGAGGAAACCCTGCTGGAAACACCTTCTGTTTCTGAAGCAGCATTTCTCACACCTTCAGATAAGAGATCCTGAAGATCAGGTTGTTTTTTTGGTTTGTTTTTTTTTTCAGAAGTAGAGGATTTTGCTGTGTTCTTTTTTGAAGAATCCCGGCACAAACCTTTGTCTCAGACAAATCCACAACACAGCCTTTACAATCTGTTCATTTCTACATCTGTACTTACTGACACAGGCGATCAGATCATGAAAGATGTCCTTGGGGAAGAGGGGGTGCTCCAGCCCTCGGAAATAGAGCTTCAGAACTCCTGCTATTGAATCCATGTCGTGGTCATTCTGGTCCCCAGCCAAAGGATCTTCACCTTGGTGACAAAGAAACAAGCAAGAAAGATCAGAAGAGTGGAGAAAACAATCAGGATGGAAGGATGCAACTCAGCTGGAGGAAAAGATTTACGCAGCACAGAGTTCATCCCACCCCCTCCAGCTGCACTAACAGCAATGAGGCAGAGCTCCCTAAAGGCAGCAGTCAAGAAAAGAAGCCTCTGACAGAAACCTCAGGGTTCTGGCATGGTGAGAGCTTCACTGAGCCACTACTGAGGGCAACATTCAGCAGCAAACTCACAACTGAAGCCCAACACACGCAAGAGGGCAATGAGCATCATAAGCAGGCTCAGCAGGAGCACACACCTTGTGCTGAAATGCAGGGGGTGTTCCTGGGACAAACAATTTGTCACTGCAGATCTGCCTGTGTGTGTGTGAGAAAAGAGAAGATGCCCACTTAAGGAGTTGCTCCCTATGGAAAACTCCCCGTCGCATATAATTAGATTTAATGACGGGGCAAACCTCAGATTGAAGCTATATATATTCATTATGTGACTGGAATTACCAAAGCTTGCCTATAATCTTAATAATACACCAGATAATAAATGGGCACTAAGAACCAGAGCATTATCCTTGATATTAACTGCCACCAAGGGTTCTGGTGGAAGTAATAAACTGCAGGGACATTGTTGTTAACTTTGTCAGTCCTGTATATCAGAGAAACAAGTGAGAGGAAGCAAGAAATCATTTATTTCGGCACGTTAGTGCTGGAACAACTGGCTGCTTTCTCAAGATGACAGCTATTCCTTTTATTTAAAAGGGGCCTATCTGATCTCAAGCCTCTACTGACACTGTGACACACGTTTCTGCCTTCTCTGCTCTTGAGGATTTCTGTTCTCAGACTGATGGAGATAAAGGTGGGTGACATTAGATGCCACGCTGTCCATTAAAATCCTCTCTTCCCAAAAGCCTGCTGCTGCTCTCTCCCAACAGCAAGCTCAGTGACGTACCAACTGTATTATTTTAGAGTGCTTGGAGTTGGAAAGGACCCTTAAGGGCCATTTGGTCCCAATCCCCTGCAACCAACAGGGACACCCACAGCCCATCAGGTGCTCACAGCCCCCCACCAGCCTGACCTCAGCTGTTTCCATCACCTGTCTGGGCAACCCATTCCAGCACCTCGCCACCCTCACTGTACAAAATTTCTGCCTTACATCCAATCCAAATCTTTCCTCCTTCGGTTTGAAACCATTTTCCCCATGAGTGATGTACACAGAGATTTAACACAAGCCCTGCTGTCTCCAGTGACCCGAGCAGAACTGCAAGGACTGCCTGAATGCAAAGCTCTTCTGAACCTGCTCAGCTCAGCTCCTGCCCAGCAAGAAGCTGATGAGTCAGGAGCTTCCCAGTCATTCTATGCCTTTGTATGGAAAGGTTCTTTACATAAGAAAAAAAAAAATGAAATCTATTAAAAGCTACACCATGTTAACTGCATCTTGAAACTTACTCTCATTTGCTGATATTTAAAATAAATGTGGCCAGGTTGCATTCTAAGAACAAGACTTTGTTCTCCAGCAAACAACCTGCTCACAGAGCTTGCAGGGGATGGGCAGGAAAATAATTTACACCCAATAATGAATTCCTCTCTATTCTACAGCGCTGCAAATAATCAATAAGCTGTTGGACATGAGAGAGGATTGAGTTCAGAATATTTATTATACACTCTACAAGAGAAAAAGCACGATGCCAAACAACATGGAGAATTCAAGGTTAATGAGCACAGAGAGGTGTTTGGGCTACAGTCACTCAGGAAACAAAAACTACAGGAACAAAATTGGAAGTTGCATTCAAAAAACACTATTTCAGAACATTTTGACACATTGACACCTTTGGCAATCATTTCTGAGACACTGGAAAAGAACCTCCTTACCTCTCTCAAATGCATTTTTTATGTCGTTCACTTCCACTTGTGATCCAGACACCCTGAATATTCCTTCATGCTGCAAACCTGAAAGGCAATGAGAGATGCTGATCAACAAGCTGGCACCCCCTCAGCTACAGTGATGTATGTGATGCAGGAAATGTAAGAAACATGGACCAAAGCAAGGATGCTCTGAGAAAAGCAGTCTTCCTACATACTGTGTACGTGCGTGGATGTGTACAGGAACAGAACACAGCAGCACTGAGGAAGAAATATTAACCCTTCCCAAGGAACTGACACAATACCTTGGTTAATGCAGCCATGCGTGCCATCCTGTACCCTGCAGGATCCCATGGGATTTGACAACCCAGAGAAAAATCACAACCTAATAATTTAACAGCCAAAAGTACAACACTGCCAACCACACTTTGCTTCTCAGGAGCAATGCTGCTATGGCCCAAGGCAAAGCAGCCCATGGAAGTGGAAGCATGGAAGTGGAAGCATGGAAGTGGAAGCATGGAAGTGGAAGCATGGAAGTGGAAGCATGGAAGTGGAAGCATGGAAGTGGAAGCATGGAAGGGGAAGCATGGAAGTGGAAGCATGGAAGTGGAAGCATGGAAGTGGAAGCATGGAAGTGGAAGCATGGAAGTGGAAGCATTCCAATCCCCAGCACCACCCAAACCCGGGGCTCCAGGATGGTCTTTAAGCCATTCCTGCTAAACACCACCATTAGCAAAGCCACAAAAACCAACTGTCAGCTAGGTGAGATGTTCCAGCATCCCATCACCACCACAACTGTATGGTTGCATGGTGAGCACCAACCATCACAAACCAACTCATGAACAAAGTTCTTCTTCACGCCTGCAAAATCAACTCATATTCACTTGAGGCTTTTAATTGCATGCTGTCCAAAACTGTGTTGCAAGGCCTTTGTTTTATTTATAATGACAACCATAAACTAATAAGCTCTCTTGAATGTATCTGTGCACTGCTGTTCCTCTCAATTTCTGGCACTGTTCTTATCACAATGCAATGGAACTCTGCAGTGCTGCAGCTAGCAACTGTGACACAGCTTCACAACAGCAAAAAGAAACAACTCTGAGTGTGGAGAAGCAAGGAAGGGAATGACATTCATCCCATTCCCATAGAGGAAAGCAGTTGTAAAAGTCAGCCAGGCTACGTCCAACCACATTAACTCCTACAGCAGCTGCATGGCTCCTTCCCACTCAAGTGGATTTGTTGCCTACAAGCATATTCCTCCTCATTGCAGGCTGTACCTTCAGGCCACCATCTCACACCGTGCAGAAATCAGTTTGTTGGAAGATGTGTCTGTTGATGACCCAACCAGGAACACACTGCTAGAAATAAACCCTCTTGATGTCTCCCATTTTATCATGCTCTGATTTGCATTGCAATGTGTACTCAATGATTTCTCCAGCAAATGTCCAATTATGGCCTTGGTAAAGGATTACAGCCCTTGGCTCTCCCAGGTAATGATGAGAATGGAACTCCCAATTATAGTTTCTAATGTGAGATGGTAATTAGTCAATGAAAACCAAACAGGACCTGCTATTTGGCTCTGTCTTGGTTAATGAAGATAAATGCAACCTCTTTCTACGTATGTTAATTAACAGCTGTTTCGCACGCTACCAACAGATGATATTGATTAAAAATGAAAACAAATTAAAACAAACCTATAAAATCTTCTACAGCATTCGAGGCTATGAAGCTAACCTTAGAAATAGGGACAAATCATCTCACTGCAGCAATAAGGAAGCAATTAATTCCCTACTTGACCTCCTACATTCAGTGCTGGGAGTATTCCTCCTCCTCCTCTACAAGAAGCACAATTATTAGTGGTGAAAGCCACATTTCACATCCCAAAACAAGGTGAAGGGAGGTGAGGAGTGAGTGGTACTTCATGATGGGAACCTTATTTCATAAAGGAACGTTGCTGGAAGCACAGCTTAGTGCTCTGCCTTTACAGCATCAGTGATGTGCAGCAGCCTGGAGGAATTGGGAGCACACACAATATCAAGCACATAGCAAAAAGCCAGCACTAGTTCTTTATCTTGCACTCTCCATCTGTGTAAGTATCACGTCCCATGCTACTCTGAGCATTTCAGAAGGCTTCTATGTCTATGAAGTTATACATATATATAAAGTTATAGAGAGAGAGAGAACAGGAAACTTTTTGAACTCACCATGCCTGCTAATGAACCGTATGCAGCTCTCCACAACCAGAGGAATGGCTTGAGAGGAATCCTGCACAACGGGGAGAAAAGAACAGCAGTCAGAATGCAGAGGGATGGCAAAAAAAATTTAAAAAAAACAAAAAAAAAACAAGAACAGGACTAGAAATTCTCATTTGGCCTCATTATAATGACTGGTGATGAAGGCAAACCTCCAAGCCTCCAAAAGCCCAGAGCATAACGTGCTCCACGACTGCAAGATTACCCAGATCTTCTTGATATCACTGCTATGGACATGAGCTTTGCTTTATACAGATCTCCATATTCCTCATATCCAAACGTGCTGCAGAAAGTAAAAAGGAAGAAGTGGGGTGGGGTGCATTGGGGGGAAACAACGGAGAGCAAATCTGTCCTTTCATCTGCCACGTTCTGCTCCAGTGCAGTTCCAGATCTGTTTAGGTTCTAAAAAGCAATAAATTACTCACTACAGCCAGCAAACCAATGCACTGCTGTTGTAAATCTTCATTACAAGGAGGCAACAAGCAAGTAGGTACTGCTCTAATAGCATTCCAGAGAGAAAACAAAGGGAAAGGGGACAAAGAAATAGAGCAGCATGAAAGCCATAAACCATGACCGTGCAGACAGCTCAAGGCTGTTTGGCTTCTTTGGTTCCAGGTCCCTCAGAAACACACAGGCAGAATAAAACCCTTTTTGAAGTTTTTGTCAAAGAAAACGAATGGAGGCTGCGGATCCGCGTTTATTGATTTCAGTTAGTGAATTAGCAGAGAGCAGCTCCATTTTGAGGGTGAAATGGGACGTGGAAGAAAAGGATGGAAAGGCTTCAGTTTCCCATCTATCCTCATTTGCACACACACACACACACCCCATTACTTAAGCAAACACTGATTACCTGCTTCCTTACAGTGGAGCTGCGTCTGCCGCTGATGAGATCAGAACAGCCCACGGATGCCAGAGGAAAAACAGAGGAGAAAAAGTCAAGATAATTCTCTACTATTGTAGCTCTTGCTTGGTATTCCAAGCCATGCTGATTTGGGAGGGAAGGAGCCAGATATACAAATCATAATGACTTTAGTCTCGTTCAACGCATGGAACTTCCTATGATTTTAAAGTGACTTTAAATCACCACGAACCCGACACAGACACAAGGGAGCCCAATGCTCTGACAAAAAGATTACCCTTGACGTTTTAATTCCAACCATATGGAAATCTGCTCTACCCACTCCTCACTCGAGGTGAAATTTGCTATAAATTGGAGCAGGTGGGAGCAGCTGCCAGAGAGCATCGCTGCAGAGCCCTGAGCCTGCATGGGAGAAGCCTTCAAACAGACACATAAATGAGTGCCCCCCAACACCAGCAAGGCTCAGCCAACTCAGTTCAAATCATGACGGCCTCATTTAGTGATGCTGGAAGACATTAATTGCAGGGAAACGAGGAAGGAGCCTTCCTCTGCCAAGATATCGCCCTAAGATTTATTACTGGGGTTTAAGATTCCTGTAGTCCCTGGTAAAAAATGGGAGATAGTGGGAGAAAGGCCCTAATGCCTTTCATTGAAGCAGATGGCTGCTGAATTATAAATAAGGTGATTAGAACTGCAATTTGGGAAAAAACAAAAAAAAACGTTGTTAATTCAGGGGAAATTCCTTTTAGGAAAAAAAATAAATCAAAAACACTGAATGAAACACACAAAAAAAGCAACAACAAAAAAAAGCAAGCAGATTCCACGGGCTGTCACTGACAATAAGGCCTATTTTAAACTATTAGCAGTAATGATTCTTTGATATTTCAAATTGTTTCATGATGAATAATATTTTATTATTACAGATGTCAGGCACTAATTAGGACCTGTCAGCTCTGCTTTGCTGTGAGGAATCTGAAAAGTAGTAATGGCTGTGGATCAGCAGTAATCACCTTCCCTTTGTTACAAGGCAGGATGATGCACAGCCCCCATGCACAGCCCAGCTCCCCAAACCCATCCATCTGCAGACAGACATTTGTTATGCTTTATAAAAACCCCATCAAGGGAAGGTTCGTTATTGCTCGGTGATTGGTCCTAATTACAAGTGAGGAGGTGATTCTCTGGGGCTTGCTGCAATTCAGTTCCATTGCAGGGCAGAGCACGGGACAAACCCAGAAGCATCACCACCCTGCACTGATGTGCTGCAGTGGTATTTAAGGATGGGAACGTGGTTACACAGCAGTGAAATGAATTGTATTTTATTTTTATTTTTCCTAACACATGCATATCATGGGCTGGCAATTGATTTGGCAGCAAAAGTGAGCCTTTGTGCCACACCTACCTGGCAAGAGAGCAGTCGGTCCTCTGACCTGTGGTGGAGACAAAGGAAAAAAAAAAACATCATTATGGGAGAGGAATGGGGAAACACCTTCTGCTGCTCTGCAGGGCCAGGTTTGGGAGGAGGAGGACAAGGAGAGTCGGAGGGTTGGATGTGAGCATCCCTGCAGCACTGCCAAGGAGATCAGCAGAGCACGGCCCCCCAGGAAAGCACAGAACAGCTCAGGCTGCCCCAGCTCTCTTCCTTTAGAAAGCATTGTTTTTGGAAATTGGTTCCCTGTGCGCTCTTAATTGGTGACTTCAGCTGCCAAAAAACTGGGCTTGTCAACCTCTCCCGCCCTCCCCTTTCCCAGGGGAATTGCTAGGGAGAGAGATTATACTTTATAAAGCCACTTAGCAAGATTGGAAACATTTGCAGAATTGTTAGCCCATGGACTGAGCTCGCTTGCGTGAGGCTATTTTGGGAGGCAGACGTTTAATGATATTTTCCACAAACATCTATAAAAACGTTCCATTGACTTGCACTGAGTTTGTGAGGAAGCAGCCAAGCTAACAACTGCTGCCTATGCAGCATCGTTCCGAAATAGCACAGCGAGAGACGTCAAAGCAGTGTGGGCTGTGGGAATCACTCTGGCCAGGCCAGCATCAGCAAAACCACACTGATCTGAGCTGGAAATCCACCTTCCTGCAATGCCTTCCTGCTCCTGAGGAGGAGGAGGAACGAAGGAGGGACATGGCTAATTGCTGATGGCTGACAAGGAGTTGAACGCATCTCGATAGCTGCTTCCCCTTCCCCACCTAAAGCCCAAACAGTGCATAATTTACACGAAAATGTTATTCTGAAGCAGAATTTCCAGCCATCTGTCCCATTTCCATTACAGAATATTCATATGTATAAATTCCATGGCTGCAGCAACATCAAGGGGCTCCTGCAGAGCATACAGCAGGCAGGGCCATCACTGCTCGTGTCACTGCTCACATAGCAAGACTTGCTGCTATTTCTAAACTTGTCATTAAGGTACCATGCAAGAGGACTATTAAATGCTGCCTGAGAATGGGGCAAAGAACAAAACCCAAAACAACCCCAGGAGTTTCCAGGAACACAAGGCATGCAGCTGTATGCATGTTTTTCAGCAAAGCTTCTAAACGTGTTCCTGGGACTCACGAAATGGATTTTATTTGCCCACGTGTCATTTAAGTGCCATTTTATGAATGAGCCTCGACACGGTTACAGCTCACACCATTAACCTGCTAACTCCAACACACAATGTGCCTGGCTTTCTCACCTCCTCTGACCTCACAGGTGACAGAAGAGATGTTTTTTGGGAGCTGCTGGAGCTCAGCCTGGCACACACTGGGCCCTTCACAGAGCAACCAAGCTCTGCTATTGCAAAGCAATCACACAGGAAAAGAAGCAGCCCTTAAACCTACACAGCAATGTAGAAATCACATTGCATTTCCTCCTCTTTCCCCCCCCAGCACAGCCTGGGCTCGCTGTGAGGGACAGGCAGGGTAAGAGAAAACAGGGCTGGGTGCACAGATCAGCTGAGATCCAAGAATGTCATCACTCACAGGAGCACTGTGGTGTCACTGGGAGATATTCAGAGGCAGAAATAATACCTCAAGGACACAGAGCCCTGAATCCATCCTTCTTTACAGACTAACAGAGAGATGAGAACCTCTACAAGGTTCATTTCATGCCTTACCTTCCAGTTTGGGTCTGATAAACGTGAAGCTCTTAATTACTGCAGCAGTAATTAATTTGTTGGTTTTTTCTTTTTGTGGTGTAATTTTTAAACCGAAAGCAAAGTGCTTAAAGGACCACATGCTGTTTAAGTTTTCATTCTGAAGATTTGCACAGCACAAACAGTGGGGAGTCCCATTAAGTCACAACCACCAGCCCTTCCCTGGCCTAGAAACCCAGAGCCAGTCTGTGACCTGACATCCAGACCTTCAAACCTTCTCCTCTGCAAAGATGAGGCAGTCAGGTTTCTATGGAAACTTGGATGCATAGTTCAGGCATGTTTGGCCAACACAATTTGCCCATAACACGAAGGAAAAGAAATCTTGCTTTGTTCTGACACTAATAACAAACGCCTAGCATCATGCAGATGGGCAACATATTTTCCATGCTGCAAAACTCATGCCATTTTTCTCCAAACAAAAGCCACGTTCACTTACACGAGCTCTGCATTGAACCCCAGAGGTTGGAAGCAGCAGAGCTTCTATGTGAGCAAAGCTTCCGACCCACCTAACGAGGCAGTGCTTTGGAACTAATCACTGATCTGGAAGTCACGAGGTTTACTCAATATGGATTATGCACTGAGAAGCAAAACGTGCACAAATGGGGGGGGGGGTCAGGATGAGCAAGGGGGGCACACGCTTCGTTTTACCAAATGAGTGATGCACGCTAATGACTCATTAAGCTCTTTCTGTTCCCCATTATTCAAGCAGCCATGTAGGTCAGCTGGCTTCTCCATCAGGAGGGTTGGAAAAAGGAAGTTTGTGAAAACATGAAAATGTTCACTTTGCTGGGTAATTCTGGACCTGCAAAGACATGCAGGTCCCCACTCACTTTCTCCCAGGGTCTTCTGAAGGAGGTCGTGCTTGGCCTGAAGCTTCGTTATCAGGTTCCTGCCCTCCAGATACTCCTTCATTTTCTGGAAGAGTGGAAGAAAACAATGTGATGAGCAGACAGCTGATTCCTATGATTGCATCTGCAGGTCACCCAATTCTGAACGCAGCGACAAAGAACCGAACTGCACTCGGATCTGCAGTGCAAAGAATGCATCAAACCCCCCTTGGCTGGGTGCAAACCCACTGCTCTGCCCATACATATCTGTGTGCCATTCCTATTGTCTCACTGTGGAATCAGTGGAACGTTTGGCATCGTTCAGACATCTGAGGAGCTGTCAAACATCTCCTCCTCAGACGGGGGGAAATGGAAATGCATCACCGCCAGCTGAATGAGCAATCTGTTTCTCCCAGCTAAAAGGCTGCTACTGTGCTTATTCTCCCATTTAACCTCTCTCACCCCACTTCACTCGTCAAACACAGCGTCTGCCTCCACTCTGGGTGATACACAGCGTTGGGTGGGGGGGGAAAACAGGGCAAAACAAATAGAGATACTACAGAAGTTGGGATTTGTTCCCTCGGAGGAACATTACACCATCACACAGTCACTTTTCCCACTTGCTCCTGATCTTTCACAGCTCTGCAAATGCAGCTTTTACAGCTCTTTCATCTCTTTGCAGCTCAGAACGGCATTATTTATCTCCGCTGTGCCGCTGCACATGAAACACCATCGTACAGTAGCCAGCCACATTGTAATCAGCACATGTTTACACTCAGTATACAGCACAGGACACTGCAAACACCACGGAGCATCCTTTAGAAACGTGAGATAGTTCTTAAAAAGAGCTACAAACACAAACACAAGGAAAAGATTCTCATTGTAACACAAGGTTCTGCTCCCGTCTTCAGCTTTCCCAACATGATTCACTTTCTTCCAGTTCTGGTCTGGCATTGCCCAACTACACCATCAATCCTTAAGGGGAAAAATGGTATTTGTACAATGGGAGCAGCCTGGATGCAAGCCCCAAGAAAGGCAGGGTACAAATCGAGATGCAATATAAACGCAAAGCTTTAACTAACTGCTAAACTCCACAGTCTACATCCCTTTGGTTGATAAAACCAAACAGAAACATCACCAGATCCATTCCTTTTGGGCAGTGCCAGCACCTCCCATTGCAATGCTGCAGCTTTCTGGTTGCTCCAGCAGCAAGCATGGGTCTCCATGGCAGAAAGCAAGCACCAGATGATGCAGAATTCCTCTGCAGCCCCTCTCTGCCAATACTGAGTGTGTTTTCTTAACCAGTTACATTTTTGCATCAAATTTTGACCCCTTTCTAAACGTGAAAATGGGGATCTGAGGATAAATGTGACTCTGGAAGGCGCCGAGCTGCTGCCTCACAGCCAATCTGAGGAGAGGAGAGGCAGCACAAGGAGGCTCAGCTCAAAATAGCTCCAGCAGACGCTGAGCACATCGCCTGCCTATAGCAGAGCTGCAGGGATTGGGTTACGAGAGAGAAGGGAGGGCTTCCAACCAACAAGAAGCACATATGTCATGTATTCCTCACGCTTCCTCATGCCTGTCGTTCTGCACCCTGTTAGTGGTGCTCTTAGGAAAAAAAAAAAACATCAGTGATTTCAAATTAAGGCTTCAGGCTTTCTTTTTTTGGAGGAATTAAGGATGCACGAGCGTTCAATTCATGGCTTAGTTAAAAAAAAAAAAATTAAAAGAAACTGAAGTATGGATGAACTCCTCAGGATTTCAGTTCTGACAGCACAGAGGAGTTGGACACAACACAGGAGAAACATCCTCAAATGATGTCATTTCCACACCGTAAGAACTGAAGAGGTGAAAATCTGCTGTCAGACAGGGAAGGTGAACCTTCACACCCAGCATCTCCTCAAATCCAAGCAGCCTGACACCCTCCCAACAGCCTCGCTCACACCAGTACTTTTCCAGCACAACGCAGTGGGTGGGTGGGAGCACAAAGCACAGCTCAGCCCTTATCTCCCCACCCCGTGGGAATAAGTCTCAGTGCTTTTGAGGCTGCAGAGCAGCAGTTTTTATCCCTGTCCCACATCCTTAACTGCCTACAATCTGGAAAGCAAAGCAGCAAAGCAGTTCTCCTCCCCTCTGCCCCCCAGGAGCAGCTCTGAATGAGGCAATGATTCAGGGCATGGGGATCAGGTGCTGCAGGTGGGCCAGCAGGATGCTGCTGCAAGAGCAATCAGCAGTGGAGATTTGTGTAACACTTACCCATGTCCTAAGTATGCACTCACCCTTGGTAAATGTCCATAGCTTTGCTCCTCCACTGCTTCATTAGCTTAGCACAGACCCCCACCCTGTGCTGTCCTCTTCTGTTCTGAATACAAACCTTCCTTCTGCCACAGCCATCCCAGCATAAGTGCAACAACTTGCCCTCAATGGAAAGCTGCAACTCAGTGCTACCATTTGATTCCCATCACTGCATCAACCTGTGAGCCCTGCCTAACCAGCAATGCAGCAAGTGGGGCTTCCAGCATGGCTTCCTCTCTTTGAAGTCAACGTTTTTCTTTCACTTCATATTCTTCAGCACTGCATGCACGCTGCACTGCTCACGCATTTGATTTTCCCCTACACAAAGGGTGCCTTGCTGCACAGCCCTGCCCTCTCACCAATGCCCATCACACCCTGAAGTTGCTGCTCCTCACATCTCCAAGGCCTGAAACCCATCTCAAGTACATTTCTGCCAGCCCAATGGCAGATCAGCCTGATGTGGCTGCTTTGGAGCAGCACGCTGCTGCAGCTTTGCCCTGTTGAGAGCTGTTTTCCCCACAGACAGGGGAGAAATCAAATTTTACACGATTTATCCACACTAAACTTGCATCAACAGACAAACATATCCCAGCATACTTGTAAAGAACTCAAAGCGACTCTTTTTACAACCTCATATACTCACTCTGCTTGTCCAAAATCAATTACAGAAGCACTTTAGCAAGATGATAGCATTATTTTGCTCTCTCCTGCAAGCATAATTCTAAAAACATTATATGTGCTCACACTGGGAATTAACTCCTTACTGTGAAATAGAACTGCTCTGTCTCCTGCTGGTTGGCTCGTCTCTTGGCAATGCTTGGTTTGCTCATGAAGGTTTCTGATACAGTGGATTTAACAGACTCCATAGAGTTGCTGTACTGAAAGCAGTCAGAGACATCAAAGTCCTCTATCGTGACAATGTCCTGGATTGTCTGCAGCGTAGCTTCCATGGTCTTCTTCACCTGTCCAGCAAGAAAAAGAGAAAATGCTTGAGAAAATGGAGCTATGTTGCAACTGGGGAAAGAAAGAATTCATGTTACCGCAGAGCATTTTACTAATAGACAAGAATTACTTGTTTCATGCCCTGTGAGCCATAAGTGAGGTACAAGTTCTGCTCGTTAACAGAACATCACCCCTACAAATGAAGGCTTGGTGCATGCTGAACACACAGTCAGACAAGGGCTGTAACCTTACAGGCTGAGGTGAGGAAGGGAAGCAGGGAAATTTAACCTCAAAGCAAGGAGAGCTGGAAGAAAGAAAGAAATATCTTACTTCTGTAATTACATCTACTGGGTGTAACAGAAACGTGAGATTACAAAAAGGCTTTGGTGCACTGCAAATCTTTGCTGAGGGCCACAATCAGCCTGTTAGAAAGGGGTTGCCAATTTTGCCCAAGAACTCTCCTCATCCTAGATGACCAATTAAACCAAAATTAGCTCTTGCCTTCTGTTATTCACAGACTTCACTTTGAAGCATTACATTTAGCTTTTCCTCCTAGGTGGCCAAACACACTTTTTGCAACAAAACCACTTCTATTGATTTAAGGACTGGGGAAAAAAAGGGTGAGTGCATATTTTAATGGCTCCCCTCCACGCACTCAGCCTTTATGCAAAGTCACAACCTAACATACTGCTGCCTCACTCTTGAATTTTACTAGAAATCTTCATAGAAGAGGAGCACGACAACTCTGTTCTTCCTTAATTAGCTGCCACTGCCCTGTGGAAACAGCAGAAGGTTTGCTGATTTGGGTCAATTAGCTCACCTCTTCGTTTTCTATCTTCAGTGTGGATAACCTGGACTGCAGCTGCTGGCACCTCTGCACCAATTCACTCTGCACTGGCTGCTGGGCACACAGCTGGGACTCCTGGAAGGAAAGCAGCACTGATTGCAGGAAAAAACCACCATCAACAATAGTTTAATTACTTCATTATTATTAACACCCCCCCCCAAAACGCCTCATCTTAAACCTTTATCAGCTGCCAACTTCAATCAGCGAAAAGCTTTCTACCAAATTTCAGTCCGCTTCTCCATTGTCCCAAAGTTAATGAGAAAGAGAGAGGATAATTAACTAGAAAAAATTAGCTGGTTTAAGCGGTGTGAAATAGTTCTATCTTCTGAAAGCCTGGAAGTGCTTTATCACAGCAGTTGGGCTGCATCACACCCCAAAACCCCCAGGAGAAGCAGGAGGGCTTGTATGCATCACACCACGAATTGGGTTCTGTGAGCAGAGCATCCCAGGCACGACAGGCACAGGGCACACAAAAGGCATGCTGCATCATCAACCCAGGGGAGCTTATAAAGAAAAGAACTGGTCAGACACCTGTGGAAAATGCCAGAACTGTGGGTTGCCTTGTGCTGTTAATAATTAGTCTGACATTATGGCAAACGTTGCTCTGGCTGTATGTTATTATTTTTAAAGGCAATACAATTAGAGTCTTATTAATGCATGTATACAATCGGACAGTTAATCTGGCACGAGCAGGACCACTTCTGCATCCATCACATCCATTTGGCCTCCAGAAGGACTGTGATAAATGATGCTGTCAACGCGAGCTGGTAGCAGTGACAGTGTGCAGGCTGTTCTTCTTCTTCCTCCTGTCTCACAGCATATTCCCAATGCATGGGAAAACCAAGAAGGTCATTTGCAGTCTGAGGGACTCCCTTCTGAAGGCTCCTCCTCATCTCTGCCTTAAGCAGTGACTGCATTTGTTGGAACAAAAGATGAGGCAAGAGACCTTCCCCTGCAGTTTTTATTGACTATTCAAGAGAAGAATCTAGAACTCTAATTGACCTAAAGTAATATATGGTACATGTGTTCCTATTTATGTTTCTGAGCTGCTTTCAGCTGATGTGATTTAAACAGCTCCCAGCCACGTACCTGCAATCTTGATAAACCTGCAAAGAGAGATTTTCATTGCCAAAAATGAAAATCCTTTGGCTGCCTCGTCTCACAGCAAACACGCACAGAGCACCATTATAAACTGCTTCTGCTCTGATTTTACACACCCACACGTCCCAAAAAACAGCGTTTACACCTTTTCTCTGCCTTCCTTTCTGAGGTATTTGCAGGTCTCTGGAAATCAGGCTGGGTCACAGAGATAGATGCTGATCACTGCCTGGCTGCGAAGCTTAAAGTTATGGGATTACTGACACAGACAGAAAAATAATAGTAGTAATTAAAAGCAGACAAACATTGCTTGTGGGAAACCACCACTCCGTTTCAAAGGTCTCTGCAGACACATCACCTGCTACAAAGGGATTCGTGAGACCAGAAGCTCAACCCAGTTTTACTCAAATTGGAGAAGGTGGGAAGGCATCCAGGAGATGGCCATCTCACTCCTCTGGGAGCCCCATGGCGCAACACTTATTTAAAAGCATTATAAAAGCTGCTTTATCTACCCAGCAGGCTGACTGATACCTTGGCAGCACATGCCCAGGTATTATGCTTTCATCTTTTAACCCACATAAGTTATCTCCTTTCATCTTCTTAAGAATGCCACCAGCAAAACTAAAAAAGCAGCTCCATGAATCGCCAGAGATGAGATCACCCAACACATCAACAGAAGCCAGCTTATGGAGCGCAGAACGAGGATTTCTTTCAGATCACACTTCAGATCTCTAACTTCAGAGCCTGTCTCAGGGTGCAGGAATTAGCAGCAGCCTGAAGAATAGGTTAATGTAGACGGAAAACATGTTTTTAGTACTATATTTAATTAAGCACTTCAGGAGCTGTGACAATGCAGAAGTGAGGATTGCTTGCATTCAGGCATCCATCCCATCACTTCTTATCTCCCTTTTGCAAGGCTCCTCTCTGCCTCCCAAAAATAGAGGCCAACAGGTGGCCTTCCAACGCCTCCATCTATCAAAGATGAAGGAAAAAGACAGAGCTGAAGCAGCAACACAAACTGACCATGTCACCCATATGGGGCTGAAACTCAAACTTCATGGGCGGACAGAAGACGTTGTTGTACATCTCCATCAGGCGCTGCTTATCACTGTTGGCATCCAGGTTCTCAACAGCATTTTCAATGGCATCCAGGCCCTCATGCTTTGACTGCTCCAGGTTTAGCTCAGCAGACAAGAATGTCCTGAGAGCTCTGTTGAGGCTAGCGTGGTATCCCAGGTCACAACACTGCTGGAAAAAAGCACACAATTCCATAAGTGAATAAGTGAAGACAATCTGAAACTGAAGTTAAAACGTGTTTGAGGCTGTAAGTCATAGAAGCAGCTGACAAACCGTGGTTATTTTATCACTTTCTGAGGACCAGAGCTGTCTCCCAGCCCACAGATCACAGAAGCATCCTGACTCGAGGTCTGGAGTTGTCCACACACCGATCTTTGAGCCCATAATCCCACAGAAATTTCAACTTAGTGTTATAGTTTTCCTCCAAAACAAGCACATCTCAAAGGATTTTAACAGTAGGAGAGTTCTCATGGAGCACCACAGACCCCATTTTATCCTGCTTAGAAAAAGAGCACCCTAGAAGTGGTACATCCCAAGGTACAACACTGTCCTTTCTTCTAATTCTTTCCTTCCAGCCCCACTGAGAACAACCCAAAGCCCTTCAGTAAACTTATTCTCAACAGAAGGAAAACAACGCACTGAAATACTACAGGGAAAAAAAAAAAAACACAAAACAACAAAGCACAGGATTTGCATCACCTGCAAAGGATCAACCTGCATCTAAATTATTCCACCCAGGATACAGAAAACTGCTCAACTCGGTGTACTTCAGGGAACAAGAACACAACCTGCACGATCACAGGCAGAAAGAAGAGAGCCCTGCAAAAGCCAGCAGTGGCTGGCAGGGCTGACTTCATTGCTGGGGTGAAACAAGAGCAAAAATGCTCAAGCAGAGAGCGGTCACGGTCAAGAATTTCCTGGCCACTGCTGACATGAGGATGATGTCAGTGGAAGACAATCGAGCAGCTTCATCTCCACCACGACTGCACAGCCAAGTATTCACGTATTGTGAGGGAGAAAGGAGCTTTTCATGAAAAAGCCCAGACTTTTTTAAGGCATCTAATAAAGTGAGTGAGAAAGGAGTACCACCTTCTTGGAATTACAAGCAAGATTACGCACGCTAGGAGAATATCCAAAAAGAAAGAAAGAAAGAAAGAGACCATCTGCTTGATTGCTGCGCTGCTCTGTAAGCAAAATTCAGATGAAATCTCCTCCTCACCCATCATTTGGGTCTCATCACTGTCATTGTGCATAAATGCGGGGAGGAAAAAAGAGGAAAAAAAGGAAGGGGTGGAGGGAGAGAAGGGAGCCACTGACTGGGGGCCCATCCCCTGCTTTTTCTGATCTGCCACCAGCAGCGCCTGGCTCCTGTGCCAACCAGCTGCAGCAGTCACAGGGCCTTGCAAAAAGAGCAGCACTTACAGTTAGACTGGAGGCAGATAATTAAAGGACGCTGCACTCCATCAGAAACAACAGAAAACAGCCCGAAAAGATGCTTGAATGAGAATTTGCACGTGCTGGGGAGAAGCAGCCGTTCAAAAAGCCCCTTTCTCTGGCACACACGTGTGATTCTGCCATTCCTGCAGCAGTTCAGAGAGCCAACCCATGAGAAGCCAATGTGCACCATATAAGAATGGGCTCAGAGCATGCAGCAGCAGCCCGTCCTTCCTGCAAGCAGAGCAGAGCTGCTCAGAGGAACAGAGTTAATATTTCATGGCCCACCTCACAGAGCAGCAGGGCCACATTAAGATGCCAAAGGGTTTTAGCTTTATTTTATTGAAGCTTGTGACAGGGAACGTTTTTCAGCCCACTCCCTCACTTTGCTGTTTCTCAAAGTCCAGCACACCCTGTTTATGGACGTGTCTGCCTTGCCATCCCTCTGCTGGGTTACATAAATGTTTGATGGAATCATCCTCCGAGGAAATCAATTTTTTATAAGAATTTAATGATAACTCATTCACATTCACTTCCCAACATGACAGCTGATTAACCCTTCTCCAGTCAGAGGCTTTCAAAAACCTGAAAGCAGAAGAGTCGAGGAGAGAGTTAAGAGCCCTCTGTCTTAAAGCACCACCTGCATTTAGAAGGGGGGAAAAAGGAAATCCGTGAGCAAACAGCATAAAATCAGCTTCAGGACTCGTACATCCCATGCATTTTAAAAGACATTCTGTCCCAGTGACCCCTCCAGAAACAGGAGGTATTTGTTAATACCTCCTCCCCATTACTGTAATGTTTCATTAGCATCAAAGAAGTGCTTCTCTCCCCAAAGTCGGGAGATTCAGAGCTGTGCCAGCTTACTGCTTTTAACTCACACTGAAGAAGCAATGTGCTGTTATCCTTCCGTGAGCACAGGTTTGTGCTGTGCAAACACGATGAGTTTAAAGCCATTTGGCCTAACGGAATTTATTTGTAACTTTGAAGATTGCTTTTCTATTATACTTGAAGCTGCGGTATCAAACGATTAGATCAAGGAGAAGAATTAAGAGCTGACTTAAAAAAAAAAACACCATATTTTTATTTCAGTCAGGTGCTTCTGATAAACATCACTGGCTCTCATTGTCAATTTTCAGCCCTTCAGATCAAAGCATTAGTAAATCCATATTCACTGTGTCTTAGCAATGAGATACCTGGGAGCACAGGAGATGCAATTCAGTTACATTCCATATCTTCCCATGCCTTCTGTAAACGTAGCAGATAATGCTTTTCTTTTACAGATTCTGAGAGCTTGTGATGCTCTGTTAAGGAGGGGGGTTAACAGGGACACAGAGCTGCTCTGAGCCACAGCAGCTGCTGTCGAGGAGCAGTGACAGATCAGTGCACTGCAGTGTGGGTTCTGGTCCTGCACCACTGCCTGCAGTGCCCCAGGGATGGCTGAGAGCACCCAGCAAAAGGAGCACTTCCAACAAAGCTGGGTAACCCATATCTGCCAACAAACTACTTCAGATCTCAGGTCTGGGTTAAAATTTGGCTGGGGGGTTGATGAAATCCAAACCAATTCCTTCCTACGTGATCCATGAAAACACACCAAGAGCAGGCTGGTAGAAGGCAACTGCATCAGGCACATCTGCAGTATCTGGGGAAGGATTTAGAGAGAAGATTTCCAAAACAAACATTACAAAACATGATATTTTGAAATAACAGCGTTTCTCAAAGCTGTTAATACAGACAGGCCTGTCCTCCAAAAGAGGGATTTTAAAAAAACCAATCTAGCTAATAAGTGCCCATGTGTACCTTGTGTGATTTCACAGTCAGCTGAGTTGGTGGATGATACACACTGCTAGGTGCTGTGCAGCTGGCTGGTTAACAGCATCAGTGACCTTTACTGCCTCTAACAAGACATTTCTGCCAGTTATCCACCCACCTACAAAGAAAGCTCCCTCTACAACAGTGTTCTGAACAGGGACTGCAGTGGGCTGTGCCTGGTGGACAGAGGAAGACCCAGCAGAAGTCACAGACCCAGACATGACACATTCAGTGCATTTGGTCCTCCAGCTGTGCTGAAGCGGAACAGTTGTGTGTTTGTAAGAAATGCTGGGATTCCTAACTGGCTTTCAAGGGTTTTCAAAGAGGAGAGATTTATTTTCTTGCTGTGCATCTTACCAAGAGCAGAACTAAGGCCCATGGAATGCTGAGGGCTTTCACTTGGCTCCAGAGCAAAGTCTGGGGGCAGCTGGGGAATGAGTTCCTCTCACACCATCCAGAACTGCTCTGACAATGCTCTCCATGGACAGGAGGAACACATCAGGCTCCCGGTGGATGAGGGTATCAGAGAATGGAAGCTCTGAATGGCACAGACATCCCTCTCTGTCAGACATGCTACCAAAGCAATCGTTTGAAACGGGTGGAATTTTTCAGAAACAAGCTCAAATCACTTTTAGGAAATGCTCCTGCCCTCCATTTCCTTCACCAGCTGCCATACTGATTTTTACAGTTAACACTCTCCTTTTTTTCTACAAGCCACACTTTTGAGCTGAGGGTTTGCTTAAAATAGCAAGCAAGTGTCACAGCAAAACCACTTCATTTTAACTAAGCGACTTTTTCTTCTACACATTTCAATGCCAGGTGTGTCGTGCAAGAAGCTTCTATCCGTGTAACAGACTGATCCAAACACCTAAGAAAAGCTCACTTAACAGATAAATGATTGGTTATCGTGGCTGTTACTGCCATCACTCCACAGCTGTAGGGATGTTGCCAGCTGTGTATATACAGCGTTGAAGGAGGAGAGGCAACACATGAGGGTTAACAGTGATGATATTCAGCATAAGCACCCGAGCAGCAGCACTTACATCAATGAGATCAGACAGGTCATGGATGTAATACTTGAAGACAGACGCATTCGTTGCTTCCAGGGCCAGCAGATATTCATTTCTTGCCTTAATAGCCTTCAGCCTATTTTCTGTGTACTTCGCTTGGCGCTGGAAGAGAAACCAACAACAGTGTTGTAAAAAAAGAGGCGCAGCAGCAACAGGAGCATTCTTAGTAACACCAAAGCAGAGCGAGGACGCCGAGCAGATCTCACCCTGCTCACACGTTGCTGTTGTTCACTTGGGCTGCACCCAACTCAATCCCAAAATAACGCCTTCTGCTGCCTCGAATCTCAGTGCTGAGCTGCCCACCTGCAAAGCACCTGCTCTGCCTGCAAGCCACCTCGCGAGCACGTGCCTCCCTGTACACAGGTCAGGCATTAAGCTGGCACGAGCATCAAACAAAAGAGACAGCCCAAAATCTTTGTACACAACGCGCTCATCGTGGCTTCCAAGCAAGCAGCTGTTTCTTTCATACTCTGAGCCTGTTTTAATGTTTGGGATGTGCCTGCAGAACCTGGGATAATACAAACGGACATTCAGCTATCCTAAATAAATGTGATGCTAGCTTTTGCCTTTCCTCAATCTAACACTGAGAATTTGTAGAGAAACAACTTGCATATTCACACCACAAACAAGGGAGCTCATAACCCCCTGTGCTGAGCTACTACAAAAGTCTCCTCCTCACACTTCACACAAGCAATGCAGAAGTACCTTTTCCTTCATTTTCTCTATTTTCTTGACAGAGCTCCGTCGGACGTGTTTTTCTTCAAATTTGACATTGGAAGTTGAGTCGGGGGAGCGCGGCGTCTGCTTTTCCTCTTGTTTCACTGACTTCCCAATCTGCTTTTCTTCCTGCTTCTCTGCCTCTTTCAGTTTGCTCTGAGCGCTGATGCTGTCAGCGTTGTACATGTGGTAGGTTTTCATAACCTGCAAAGGATGATACACAAGAGTTGCAGTGCATCACGTTGGGTTTGCTCAGGAAGAAGCAGGCTTAGCTAACCAGCACAAGTAACCAGGCATCCTGCCTTCCACTGATCTGCACAGCCAAGCATCAGGGCAGAATGGTTTACATCTAACTGGAAAGCATCACAAGCAATGAAGGAGGAAGAAATCCTCAGAAAGAAGTTATGTGCCACAACACAAGAACGTTTGTTGAATGTGGTCAAAAGGACAAGTTCCTTTAATGTAATTACATTGTGATAGCTGGCCATTTTGTTTAATTAATGGCCAAGTATCACACTTGGCCAGCAACCAGCAGGTCAGATCTGGCTGCTGACTGGGAGTTGGAAGTGTGTAAACTGGCAGAATAATGGGGGAAATTTTGCATCTCAACAAAGACGTGGAAGTGTGGCTCTCAGCACAAATCCAAAATCAAAGTGGATTATTCTGCAGCTGCTGCTTTGTTTAATTTTGGCATGCGCCTTCTTGTACAATCCAATAACCCCCCCACCCCAAAAAAAAAGGCTAAATTCAGCCTCCTTACTATTCAAAGAGAATTACATGCCAAGGCTCACAAAGTGATGGCTTTTCATCACCAGGTAGGGGCTCCAAAGGGATGTTATCAGTCATTCCTCAGGGTGAATCAGTCATTTAAACATCACAGGTCTCGAGGAACTGTATGCAAATCTACAGCCTGAACATAACTGCTGCAAAAGCAACTCAAGGTTCAACTTGTTTAAATCTGATTTGATATGAAAAAGCACTTCTAGCCTTATCTAATGACAATATTAATAAAAGAGTGCAGTTCTTTTGCTCACGGAGACCTGGAGCTCCCACTGCACAGACAACTTCTCTCACAGCTCTTTTATTTATGTATTAAATGAACAGGTCTAGATAAAAGACTCCCCAAAACAAAAACAAAACGCCCTTGTTTCAAAGGATATTCACATCCAGTTTTGCATGAAGAAAGCAGAACTAAACCAAAAGGGCACAACACACAGACTGGCAGTTTTATCCATCGTTACAAAGCCATTCATTTCACGTATGGACAGCAAAATGAGCAGCTCTAATTTTGATTGCATGCCCCCAAACTGCACGGCTGCATAAACACACCCCAAAATCCCAGCTCTAATAAATGCCCACGTGCAAATAGTTTCAGATGAAAACCCATTTATAACTATTCCACCTCAGCCTGAACTGCAGCACAGCTCCCCATCAGTAGGATGCACGCTCCATCTCCACGCAGCAATCAGCAAAGGTTCTCACACACAAAGAGACATTGTATTTAAACATGAAAGAGACTGTGAATGCAGCCAGTATTAAAGAGAGACTTTCTGAATAATTTACACACACACACTTTCAGCTACTGCATACGCTTGGACTATAAAGCAGGCATTTATCATAACAGATGCAAAGCACTTTCTTTTCCTCTGTCACTACAAGTGGAGCTGGCAGAAAGCAAGGGAAGCAGAGGCATGCAGTCCAGTTTTACTGCTTCCATCTTGCTGATGGAGCCACGTTGGCAGCCCCAGGCCTGGCAGGGGGTCTTAGCATCTCAACCCTGCCTCCAGGGTCAGCAGCGTGGGACAGCTGAGAGAGACAACTCAAAATACAGAGTGCTGCTACCTGTATGTATGTTTGTATTGTTGTGGACATCCATTTTGCTGCTGGTCCTTCAGATATCCAGCAGAACAAGAGATGAGTTTGTGGGAGTGTTCCTGCCAGTACCACTAAGAGCAGCCCCAGAAGCCAGTAGGTATTGAGTCCAGCAGGAAATCTTGTAATGCAATCAACCTAAGTGGCCAACGTGGCACACAGAGGTGATCTTTTCCTACTTCTTAATGCCTTGTTCCCCCCCTAAGGCAATATTTGGTTTTGATACTGGAATGAAACAATTCTCTTCTATTTGTTTTGTTGATATGGGCAATTCCAAGAATGCTCCCCTTCATGTTCTAGCTTTGATATTAATACAGAATTTCATCACAAGGTGATATGAGCTGACCTGGGAAATATCCCTGGGTCTTCTTTTGAAGGAATGAGGAAAAGAACACAGATCTCAGCATAATGACCCAACGTGTCATTAAGGAGGCATGTGAGCAATAAAACCACGAGTAGGTTCTGCTTTTACAACAACTCGCTCACTAACAGCTACCAAAAGGAACAAATTTAATCAAAACAGCAGCCTCCTCCATTCATCTGTGTGAGAGGAGCAGTCCCCAAGCAGTGTGTGAACTTTCATAAACACATCCCCTCTCCTTCCCAGGGTAAATGCCTTCCTTGGTGTCTCCAATGGATGCACTGAGAAGCAAAACACACAGATGGAGATTATAACTCTAAAGGGAGCTGTGCTGCTGAACGAGCTGAGGAACAAACCAATACAGCAGGCTCCTCACTGCTGAACTGTCTGCTGTCCTTTGTATGCTCATTTCCAGATGCAGACTGCTCAAAACTGCTGTGCTGACCCAATTCAGCAACCTGACCTGAACGAAGATTTCAGTGCATTTGAAAATAATTCAGAATGCATCTTCGTAAAAGCAGAGCTCAGGTGGCTGTGTGTGAAGGTGGGATCTTTGGGAAGCAAAGCCAACACTGCCAGAGCTGAAGCAACACGAAGACAGACTGAAAACTGAGATTGATGGCACTGGTGTACACTGCTGCCTCCAAGCACAAGGACTGCAGGAACTTATCAGCACTGGTGCTCAGGCTGTGCTCTAACAGCAGGCTGGGAAAAGCCCAACACTTCTTCCTTCTGTCTGAAAAGATGCCAAGAAGTCAGTTGGATTTACCGTGTAGAGTTCATTCAGGACCTTTATCAAGTCTTCCTGGAGCTGCAATCCCACTTCCTTACTCTGCAACGAGAACAGAGAAATGAAAGTTAATTGGAGAAGGTGGCAGAAAGGCAGAGGAAGCGAGCTCTACATCTACAGATAATCTAGGCTCAATTAAGTGCTACCACTTATACTGGCAAATCCAGCAGCTGCTCAGCCCAGAGCCACTTATTTGGTCCAACTGCACAAACAGTAAACTGAAACATTGCACAGGGATGGCCAGGAGAACCTCACAGCACAGAGGCAGGGAAATGTTTTGATAACACATCATCACGAGCCTGGAAATACCTGGATTTTCTGATCTTTGCAGGATGAAGTAAGATAACACAGGACAGCTTGGTATGCACTGGAATATGAAAGCTCAAGAAACAAAAGCATCCAAATTTAGAGATGCATCCAGGAGGGAAACCTTACTGCAGTGTCTGCCAGCTGCTGCTTGATGTAAGATGCAAGCACAGCTAGAAAAATCAACAGATCTATTCCCCTGATTTAAGAGGGCAACAGACACTCCTGGAATACTGAAATGGAAGCAGCAAGTCTGGCACAGGAACGGAGATGGAGGTGCACAGCAGTGCTGTGAGATGCTCCGATCCAACTGGAGTTTGTTCTGACTCTATTTGAAAGCCTAAACGAGCCCTCAATCTATTTCTGAGCACAGCATTAATGTCAAATACATCTATTTTTTAAAACTACAGTGAGCACAATACCATTTAGCCATAGCAATATACATCACCCTGTCCCAGGGGCACTTGCATTAGCGAGCTGTGCAGTATAGCCTTAGGTTTAACAGCTCCAACCCCTTCCCTTTGCTGCAACAATAGAAAAAACTGCAGGTGGACACGAGGGGCTGTCAAACCACCATCCAAACCACCCTGCAGCCAAGCCTCGGATTTTAAAGTATATATTTAACTTATTTAACTTCCCTTCGAGGCAACAAGCAGCCAATGCTTCTGCGTCGCAGTTGGAGGCAACTGCTGCACAAAGGGCAAACGTTCAGCTGCAGTTAAATACAAGAGGAACAGATTTCTGGTTTTCTAACACAGATCAGTGATACGCCCAAAGGCTCGCCCCTGTGATTAGCAGAGGATGGCACCTCTGTATGCAAAGCCCTCTTTGAAGAGGCACTCCTGCACACAGCGCAGCCTGCATGCAAAGAAGGGCGAAGCTGCTTCCCTAATGACTTCAATGGCACTCCTAAGCTTTCTTCATTAGAGATGGGATTTCAGGCTAAAAATCTCTGTCGTTTGCATTCTGCAGAAGGGAAGGTGATGCACAGAAGGCTTTGGGAGAGGGAAAGCCCACCTGTAAGGCTCTGTGATGCCTGCCATGAGGAACAGATAACTCAGGGCACGCAGACACATCTCTATGCATTGGAAGCAAACCAACCCAGCCATTGAGGGACTCAGCCACCCCAGTGCTCAGGATGCACTGCCCCAAGCCAGGAGGAGCCTCAGCAGGGATCAGCCACAAAACAGCCCCACACATGCAGCCCCAGCTGTGCCATCTTTAACATTTTAAAATCTGCCTGCAGTTTAATAGCTCTCATCATTCCGAGGTGCAGGAAGGACAAAAGCACACTGAATTCCACTTCCTTGGAGGTTTTATTAATGAAAGGCATCCGGAGCAGCTACTGGAGGAAATAGGGAGAGAGCAGATGTCTCTTCACACCAATAGAACCATTCAGAAGAAACACAGATAGGTTCAAACAATCTAATAGCTGCGTTTTATCCATGCTTTCCAACTAATTAGAAAGCACAACTGCATCTACTGCCAGTTACTAAAACAGCAATTTTCACATTATCACCACTGCCCACAAAGGCAGTATTTGCCCGATTGCACCTCCGTGCTCCACAGCTTTTAGGCACACAGTATTTGCTGGGTTAAGCAAATTTGATAGGTTCAAGATGATTTATGCCCCCTGACTGAGGGAAAGATTAAGAGACGTGATGCAAACAGACAAACCCACACTTAACCCGTACTTCTGGCTATGATAGCAAGATGGCATTAAAGCATGTGAAAAAATACAGCAAAAAAAAAGCAAAAAGATTATATAATGTGAAATAACCCATCTTTGCACGGGCAGCAGCCCAAGTGGGAGCCTGAGTGCTTGGTGCTCCTGCATGCTCCATCCTCACACACTGAGACCTGCTGCAGGCGACCTGATGTCCTGCTGGGAAGACAAGCATCCTTTTCCTGACTCTTCAATTTAAGGGGGGTGGGAAAAAAAAAAAGGAGAAGCAGACGAATCCCACAACCTTACAGAGATGCTGTAACCATTCCTGCATTCCTTCCATCACTGACCGCAGACAGAAGTTGAAGCTGCTGCTCATTGCTCTGCCTTTGTCTCAGCACTGTGATGGATGGAAGGGATGAGCTGGGCTCACCTGCCCCGAGCTCAGTGCTTGTCACACAGAAGGAGCTTTTCAGCAGCATGCTGCGTTCACTGCACTGCCTGAGCTGCCTTGGTTGGACCCGCTGCCCTCCTCTCACCATCTCTTCTCAGCCCATTTGCTCCTTTCTCACATAAAAACTGCTCGTTCATTCCACAAACTGCTGAAGCATCAATTATGCGAGGTGGAATAAAATGAATATTTTAATGCACGCTCAGGTTGGAGACGAAAGGAAGAAGCGTAGGAGCCAAACTGTCAAAACACAAAACTCTCTGCTTTTCCAAATGAGCTCTCAAGAAAGAAAACTGCTGCACCTCCAGACTGGAAAAAGCCTTTCATTGAGCTGAAGGTAGGAGATCACAGGTGGCACATAAACGAGAGCTAAGCCACGAGCACTTAATGTTCCTCAACACAGATTCCAGCTGCTGAGGCAGCAAGGCTGAAGGTTACCAGCAGCACAGCCAAGTTGCTAAGCAAGGTGATGGCAGCAGCTGCTGCACAGGAGCATCAGCCTCCACCAGTGGGGTGCTGCTTGCAAGCTGCCTCTCTCAAACTGCTTTTGCAGCCCCAAAGCTGCCCCAAGTGTGCACACACACACACACACCCATGCACATACATCCATGCACACACACTCCTTTGTGTGCTAGGGCCGGGATTCCCAGCACACCATGCCAGCTCCTGAAGGCCTCTTTGTCCATCCCTCCTCCCCTCTAATTTAAGCAAGATGTTTTTGGGATTGACTGCAGCACAGCCTGGCTGTTCCGCATTCCACCCAACATTAACAACTTCAGCTCCCAAGCATTTCATAGAGGGGGGGGGGATGATAAACAGGAGAGCTTGGCATTGCTGTCAGTGCTTCATGCCCTGCATCTCAGCAGCTCCAGATCTGAGAGGAGATGGGATGGCTGCAGAAGCAGCACGCTGTGAAGCTCACGGATGCTTTCTGAAGCACACCAAGGGCTGTGATAACACTTATCTCATGCCTTGCACTGAGTGCTGCTGGCCCAGCAGCCAAACCCACGTGCACCCACAGAGCCGTCCTCTCACACGCTGCTTCTCACACCTCTCAGAGCAGAGAAATGCAGCGTGCATTGGTAGGGCAGTAGCATTAAGTGCTCCAATGTTTTTTAAATCAGCAGTGGGAGTAGGGAGGTAAGCCTCGCTGAGAGCCGTGATGAGATTTGCAGAGCATGGAGAGGAACAAAAGGAATCCTACGTTGACATCACAGTCAGGGCATTTATACCCCAGTTAACATCTACTCATAAAGTTTGTTAACAAGCAGGCATGCCAGGTAGGACTGTCCAAGATCATACAGGTAGCACTTCTAACAAAAGCTCAGAACCCTAATTAGAGTCCCTTTTTTTCCCCCCAACAGGCCTTGAATTCAATTGCACGCAGCAATAAATATGATTTACCACCTTCATGTTTCCCCCTAAGCAGAAGACCAACCAGCTGTATGGTATAAGAGCATCCCTTACCAGCATCACACTCAGCTCACAGGGCTGCACACTCAGCATTGCTCACAACCAATCCAAACCTATGCAAGTCCAATGCAGTTTCTTGCACAACTTTTATGGACACAGCGCTCAGCTGTGACCCCACTGAAGGGGAATTCTGCAAAGATTTTTTCTTCTCCAGTGTCAAACACTCAGGAATTTTGAAAAGCTTAGAAAATGAGATCTGAGCAATACAACGCACGCACATATTTGGAGCAACAGATCATCAGCTTCTCCTTTAATGATCCATTATGCACTGGTCAGTCTCGTTTAAATTACAGCCGTATTATCGAGTTCTCTCCACCATTTCACCACTGATTTGTTTCACCACTATGTCAGGAATAAGGAATTTCTCCCACACAGCGTACAACACTGCACTTGGAAAAAGCCATTCCGACATCAAACCCCATCACACCGCTGCCTGCTGCCTCCCACCACACTCTGGCTTGAAGCAATCACTTCCCAACACCCCCACCGCCCCTTTTTCTCCCTTTTATTTTTTTCCTGCAGTATTTGGTGCTGATGCTTCAGGCGCTCTGTTCCAACAAACCAAGCCATTTTCTGGCTGAGAGAACTCATTCTTGCTACGAAGCCAGCAGCACTCTCAGTCAAGGGAGCTGCATGGGAAACGGGCTGCAGAAGGTGAGCAGAGCCACCAGCAAGGAGGGAAGTCCTGCAAAACACTGCATGTGATCTTCTGTCATTCTGCTCGCTTGTAACGCTCCTCACAACAGCTCCGTGCTGCCTGCATGCCCCGAATCCTCTTCTCAAGTGCTGTGATGCAACCCCTAGGAAAAACCTGCAGGGATCAATCAGGGGGATGATCCAGAGCAAGGGCTGCTACCTCTGGCCTGGCTGAGCTGCGTGCAAAACGCAGGCAGGTTGTCACAACAGGCATCAGAAACACATAGGAGATGAGGAACAAAAGGCAAGAGCGTAAGGAGCCAAACGAAGCACGCTGCTCGTCCATTCCAGATGCAGAAGTGATGCTTTCAACTGCAGCACATCCATCACACTGTGCAACAGGCTCTGCTCTTTCCACCCCAACCCCAGGGGTGGATCCAGGTGGAGGGGTCACTCCTCAGCTCCAAAGCAGAGGCACGCAGCACAGGTACCAGCACACACGTGGCTGCACTCCTCCTCCCCTCTCTGCTGCAGAAGCACGCAGGTAGGAAGGCAGAGAGCAGAGAAATCAAAGCACATCACTTTGCACCTCTGCACCCTGAGCTGCTGAGAAAACAGCAGCAGCTCCATGCTACCTCCTTGGCCAGAACCACATAACCACTCCACCTGATATCTGCAAGGATCTGCACTGTAACATTTCCCCCTTCCACCCCTCCCTTGGCACAAAACCCAATTCCTCCTTGCCACCAACAGATGCCCCCATAGCTGCATGCAGTCACACGTGCTTTCCTCACTTCACAACTCTGCCCTTCAGTGCCAGCTTTATTCACAGCATTTGTGATTTACCTTTCCACACTGGTCGTGAAGAATACTTTTAGATACACCCAGTGCCTTTTCCATAGGCTTCATTTTTTCCCCCACGTGCAATGTATTTTTAAATGCTTCATATTCCAGTACCAATGCAGCAAACGAGACGCAGTGCAGCTGAAAGTAGGTCAGCTGAAGTAAGGACCCCTTCGGAGAATTAATAATTCCTTTTCCTGATTACTGCAAGGCTTTCCACCGACTCACTGTAGGTTTTTCATTTCACATCAAACGCTGTGCAGGGCGCTGGAGATAAACTGATTTTTTCCACAATTAAAGGTATTAAGCGGGAAGCAAATTTCAAAGAGTCGTTTTTGCTTTCTTCTCGTTGGGTTTTCTCCCCCTAAATATCCTTAGAGGACGGCAGCATGCAGGAATGCTACGCTGCCATTGCACATCCATAGGGGCAGCAGCCCTCAGGGAGAACAGCAGGGTGGCTTTTGGGTGGGTAAGCTGAAAAAAACCCATTCAGATTTCAGATACTGAAAGCGAGACCTCCACAGCCCTCATTTTAAGGATAGGGTTTTGCTAAATTGGAACAAAAGCTTTCAAGTTTGCTTCTTGGGAAACCTCAAAGCAACAACAGAGAGAGGGATTGGAGGTGACAGACGGAAGGGACTGCTTCTCAAAGGCACAGCATACGCAGCATCACACCAAAGGATCCATCTGTAGGACAAACTGACAGCCACAGCACGACCTGAAGGGCTGCTCCATGCAGAGGGATGGAGGGCTGAGCTCAAGGGGCAGCAAAAAGGCAGAAATGGGAATCAGCCTAAAGGGAAGAACACTTGGAACAGGTAATTAAGGTGGGTAAGCAGAAAGGAATCAAAGCAGTGCTCCCTACAAAAACTGAGCAGACTCAGGAGTGGGCAAAGCAATGGGGCCAACCTCAGAGTGCTGCCAGCTCCCAGGATGGGGAAAGGTAATGGGATGGCAGCACCCTGCCTTAAAATCCCTCTGCCTTCCCGCAGTGCAGCAGTTTGCTCTCAGGGCACTTCCACCAGCTGCTCCTGGTTTTATTTGCACACAAGCACGGTTATTTAATTCACCATTTCTCCTCCTTTCCCTTGGTCACAAGCACAGACTGCACCAAGCTGTGCCCAACCAGCAGCCCAGCACTGAAACACGAAAGCATTTCCTCACTAAAACACCAACACAACACAAAGGAGCACAGTGTTACAAGAAGCCCTGACGTTTTGACTCCCAGTGCAACACAAACCACACTTGCTGCTTCCCCACACCTCCACTGCCCATCAGAAGCCATTCCCTCCCAGCACAGCCCTTATCACACCCAGCCAGGCCCCTGCAGCCTCAGGGCTGTGTTACAGCTGCACTTATATCCCATAAAAGCTCACTGCTTCTGACAGCACAGCAACGCTCAGGAGTTCAGCAACAAAAGGATCTCAAGTGCATCCTTCTCAGACCATGCATCCCTCCATGCTCACCTGCTTTATCCCAGCATGATACCAAGTGCTGAGCCTGAAAAGCCTTCAATTATAAACAGCCCAAGAAAAAGATCTCATACCTCAGCATTTTATTGCAAGCACTCTCTGCAAACCAAGATCCTGATACCACCATCTCCTGTGCAGTTCGTAGCACTCACAACCCAGAGTGCAAACAGATCCTAAACGTCATTCACTGCTGCTCCTGCAAGCAGCCTGACACACAAATCCTCTTATAAAATTATTTTCCAAACAGATGTAACAAACCCTTCACTCCAGACTTCCAGATGCCAGGAGTCACATCACAGCATTTCCAGACACAGCCAGGCAGTGCCTCATGCCAGGTCATGAAAACAAGATTTGTGTGAAGTTCACTACCCAAAATAACATCTGCAGGTTTACTATTAGTGTGACATAACACAGCAGCATTACCAACAACAACAAGGACCTCTCAGCAGCAACATCAGGAAAGCCCAGCTTACCCTGCAGACAAGCACTGCTGGAAAGAGCTGAGGACACAGAGCTGGCTGCACAGGCTGCAATTTGATGGGGAGCTCCTAGCTTGCCTTGCACAGCTTCCCAGGAAGGTCTGCAGCACTGCACAGAGCTGTTCTTCCTCACTGTTGGCCCCTGGAAGCAGTGAAATTGCTTCTGATAAATTCTTTGTGATACCAGGCCAAGCACTGCTAGGAATATCAGTAATGATATATAAGAAAAAGTTAACTCAGCTGGCAATAGACTCTCTGGATACAGAATACTCCTTGCCTGGAAGCAGCCTTCTCCCAGGAGATGCTCTCCTCTCGGAGGTCAGCCCTTAAATGAGCCCTGGGAGGTGGGACCCAGTGCCCACCCCTTCCAGTCAACATGGGAAGCACAGGGAATTGCTTGCACCTGTGCCTCCTGAGCCAGCCAGCCTTCAGCAGGTGCTCAATCATCAGTTCAGGCTGTGATAGCAGTTCTCTTACACCTGTGCAGCTTCTGTATCAATTAAATGCTTCAAGGCTGTCATAAGCTGCTCCATTCCCTGAGCTGCTGCATCCTGCACTGATCTCTTCTCCCTCCACAAATGAACATAATTGGTCTCAGGATTAAAAAATAAGGGGAGATGCTAAAGGGACAGGGAGGAAAATGTTTTGAGATGCTAAAGGGACAGGGAGGAAAATGTTTTGAGATGCTTTCATCAACACAGTTCTAACTTCCATTCAGGCCAGCCTGGTTTCTATCCTCCTTCCTAACCTTAACAGCCCAAAACACGTACCAAATTTCTCTATTTATCAGCTGCTACCTTATCCCACTGCGTGACTGCAGGTAAGAAAGGCTGCAGTTTTTGGTTTTTAAGCACCCAGCACAGGTGGAAGAGCAATGCAATACTGCTTTGGCCTGCAGCCAGACAAGGAGCTGGAATTCAGCCACAAGTGCCCTTTGTTTGCAGAGCTTCCCCTCCGTCTACAAGGAAGAAACCCAAGTGGTGTTGGTGGTTGTTGACTGTTTTTCCCCCCCCTGTTAGAGTCCTGCTCAAACCACACCAAGATGAGGTAAAACCCTGCTTTATGCAGGGGCTGAAAATTAAGCTGCAAGCTTCCAGCCAGACTGCAGTGGTGTCCATTTCCATGCATGTCCTTACGAGGCCCTTTCTGAACCACCTTGCTCAGCAAGCACAGCCCCTGCTGAAATTCAGAGCAGAGATTACTTATCCTTTGCAAGGATTAGTGGAATTGAAGAGTGGCTGCCATTCAGTAATCCTATGTAAGTATCTAATCAACCATAATGTAATTACCAGAAAGTTTTAAAAGGCCAAAAAGGCCTTAGTGTGACGTTGCTTGAAAAAGAGAAGGTTCCACCCCTACTTGGAGGATGTTTAAAAAAAAATTCTAGGAAAAACAGAATGCAACACTTCAGTATCAGTAATCTCTTGTAATCACAGTCTTTTGCTAGTCATTAAAACCATTAAAACCTCGAGGAACATGCACAGCAATGGCAATGAAGGCAGGAACTCTCCTTAGCACTGCTATGGCAGAAATAACTCACCCAGAGCACAATGCATTGCAGGGGTGGGCAGTGGGGAGAGAGAAATTGCTCTCCAAGTTCAAACTGCAATGCTCTCAATGTGCCAACCAACAGATGGTAAAATCACTGACAAATCTCTACACAGCCCATGCATAACTATTTAATAGAGTTTCAAAGCCTCCATATCACGTTTCTCCAACAGGAAGAACAGATTCTTAATAGAAGAATACACCCACAGTGTCCCACCTTCCTGCTCCAGGTGGAGCTCAAGGGGAGAGAAAGGGGTAAATGCCAACAAAAGGGACCTCCGTTACATTTTCCCCTTTTCTGGAGGAGGACAAGACATCCTTGTGTTATTTAGAATGGTTGGAGCTCTCCCCAGTTTTACTTTTGCTTTTCTACTCCAATACCAATTTATCTTCGGAGGATTGTATTGGATAATTTTAGAGGAAAAAGAATCATTTCAGAACAGCTGATCTTGATGCTTTGTTCCCTTTCCTTAAATAAAAAGGTGGAAACTTGGAATATTCATTTTTCTTTAAAGGAAGCTTCGAAGCACACAGCAAACTGCAAGCAGGCTGAGAGGAAAAACACAGCCCACGTTCACTCAAACCTCAATTCTAGGATGAGAAAACAATTAATCAGTGACAAGTCAAATGCAGTTATCCCCCAAACCAGGCGTTAGGTACAAAGAACAACAAGGAGATGGGCCAGATCATCTCCCATTGTGCATTTTGGAAGGGTCCAACAACAAAGACATGCAGCACTCAGTTACCTTCTTGAACAGGCGCCCAGAATCTTCGCTGACCTGGACAAAACGTGGGATGATGTTGTTGAGATAGATATCACTTAGGGTGGTGTGATCCCTGCTCTCTCGCTTCACTTGATTTAAGAGGAGGTTCCAGCAATTGACTGGTGAGAGCACGTTCTGATCCTTCCTAGAGAGGATGCAAAATAGAAACAAGAATTGGATAGAGCTTCACCTGAAGGAGACAAAACGGTTGTTAATGATGCTCTGTATCTCTACACCCCAGGAACATGGCTGCAGCGTGTGTGGATTTGATGAGGGAGGTGGGAGCAAAGAAAACAGCTCTGGCACACACGCAGAATGAGCCCTCCATCACACACAGCTTGGCTTTTCCCCCCAACAAACTGCTTGGGCAAGTGCAAGACACAGGATACCAAATGCACGCTCTGGTTTTTTCTTTTGGATCCAAGAACTTGAGCACAAATTGCAAAGCCCAAGGCACAGTGATGGCTATGGAGCCTGACAGCAGGGTCTGCAATGCTGCCAGACCTCTGTGCCTCACCACGGGCAAAAGACTTCAAGCACACAGTCAGCTCAATAGCATCTGCATAGGAAACAAAATGCTATGTCTTGTGTAAAAGCAGTTCTGTGCAAGAATCTGCATCCGTCCTGAATGAAAGAGAAATCAGTGCTCATCCCACAAGCTGCACACTCCCATCTCCGAGCTTTCTCAACCTTATGGCTGATTCCCTGCACATCCTGCAAACACACAACACAAAGGGCCAGGGGGAAGCAGGAGAATTGACATGGATCAAGCCAACAAACACTTGGACACCTTTGCCCAGGTGGCTGAGAAGGCCAATGGCATCCAATGGCTTGGATCAGGAATGGAGATGTGAGCAGGACCAGGGAAGTCATCCTGCCCTGTACTCAGCACTGGTGAGACCTCACCAATTCCTCTCACCTCGAGTGCTGTGTTCAGTTTTGGGCACCTCAGTACAAAAAGGACATGGAGGTGCTGCAGCAGGTCCAAAGAAGGGCAGCAAGGATGGGGAAAAGCTTGGAGAATATGGCCTATGGGGAGAGACTGAAGGAACTGGGGCTGTTTGGTCTGGGGAAGAGGAGGCTGAGGGGAGACATTGCTGCTCTCTCAAATACCTGAAAGGTGACTGCAATGAGAGCAGGAGCCACAGCAGCCCTTCACAGCCCTTCTCATGACATCAGTGTTTGGAGCTGCAGTGCAACACGGATAATTTTAGAGGAAAAAGAGCAGTTTCCAAACAGCTGATTTTGATGCTTGGTTTCTTTCCCTTAAAAAATGAAAAGCTCGGGAAACAACTGCAGCTCATCAGGGCTTGGCACATGTGAGTTTGTGTGTATATAACGGATTCTGGGCTTTCGGTTCTGGTGTTTTGAATAAAAACATAGAAAGTAAAATGTGAGAAGGCAGAGATTTCATTTAGACAATATTTGCCTTTGTACTTCAGTGTCGCGCATCGCAGATACTGCTGACATGGGCAAAAGCAGATGGAGCGATCAAAATGCAGAACTGTACAAGGTTGAAACTGCCAGATGTTAAGCTCTATAAATCAAGTACTTGCCCTCAGATCTCCTGCAATCAGTGTCTGCAGCATACTGTTTGTTTTGTTAATATGCCAAGGAGCTAATTAGCAATTGCAAGACCAGGCGACTCGCAGTGTGAATGCAGCAAGCTGCAGCCAGCCCTGGAAGGGCACAGAGGGGCTGACTCCATCTGAAATGCAGGCTGAGGGCTTCCACCACGACAGGGAGCTGAGCATGCTCCAATTAAGCAAAGGGTTTTGTTTGTTTGTTTGTTTCCATTTTTGATTTTTTAATTTTAGGTGAGCCAAGAAACAACACCTGACTTCCTTCCAATACAAATAGGGCTGAAGGAGGTCCTCAGCAGGATGAGGTCCCAATGGAGCAGTGCTGGAGTGAGGTGCAATGTGCCAACACAGAGCCACTGCCTCTGCAGCAGTGCTGATGGCAGAAGACAGGAGGCAAGCTGAACAGGAGAGGATTGCAAAGGATTGTCAAGAGGAGCACGTAGGGAAGAGATGCAGCAGTTGGGTTGGCTGCACAGCACTACAGATATACTCTGCACGCTGATTTAATATCTGCCTTCAAAGCTGGAAGAGCTACATAAAACATCCGTGACTCAAAAGCCAAAAGGAGGGATGGGAATGAAGCTTAGGAATAAGAAGAAAGGACTCCTCATAGCTGGTTCTACTGCAGCCATTCCAAATCCCATCTCAAAGCCCCAAGCAGCCCGCTGCTGCTTCACCAGCTCCTAGGAGTGAAGCAGCCCAAAGCTCATCCACGCAGCCTCTGCACCACTGTACCAGATGTCAGCCCACAAACACTCAGCTCTTTTCAGCCCCAATGACCCCCGTGGCATTTTCCTCTCCTCTCTCTCTGAATTTTCACAGCCCATACAGCAAACCTTGGCAGCCTCACCACGCGCTTTGGAGGATCCCAGCTACAACCACAGCCAGGAGAGCCTGCAGGGCAACAGCCTGCTCACAGCACCTCGTTTTCCAAACAAAACCAAAGCACAAAATGAGAAGCAGGAAAGATGCAACAGTTAAGCAACCAATTCCCAACTGCCCAAGCTGCTCCACCACAACACCCAAAGCCATCCGAATGCAGCGCATAGCACGGATACCACCAGCCCATGAAAAGTATGGTGAGCAAAACTGCTGGTGTCTCCTGGCGCCGGATAGGTTGTTGACACACTGTGTGTGGTTAAACATGAAAGGCAGTCCTGCAGGAAGGAGCAGTCACAAACCCCACATGATTCTCATTTGCAAATGGGATCGTCACCTCCAGGTCTGCGCTGGAAGGGATGCGCCCCAACCCCACGTAACCATCACCCTGTGCTCCGTGAGGTTTTCCCTTTCCAATTCCTTTCATTTCCTGGTGCCTGTTGGTTTCGTTAACCCCTGTTGGATAAGAGCAGCTCCTTTCTGTGCAGCTTGCTTCGCTGTTAAGCTTTTAGAGGAAGCGAGGAGCAACGTCCCCCGATGACTGGGCAGCACAACGCTGTCACCCTGGCAAAAGGGAGACAAAGGAAGGCCAGAAGACAAGCTGCACAGGAACAGAACAAAAGGAAAGTTACTTGTTTCAGCTGTTATGGTTACTTGTTTCAGGGCTTCCAAATAGCCCTTAGGACTACACGCACTTCAACTGTTAAACCACCCCTAAAACACTGCGCTTTCTGGGGAGGAACACGGCAACAGTTTTCACAACACAGAGCAGAAGTTATACAACTGTTTACAACAGGCCCTTTTCTATCATAACCACAAGCAGATGGCAGAGAAGCGATTTGTGATTTCCATTAACCATTTCCATTCTCAAAGGAGCTGGCAGAGAGATTCTGCTCCCAGCTCCAGGGCACTGCAGGAGGGGTGAGGAAGGAAACAGAGCAGCAGTGATGGTTGGGTACAACCAGCAGTGATGGCCTGGAGCTTCTGAGCAGTAAAAACCAAACCTCAGGAGCTGGATACCAACTTCTCAAAGTGATTTTGCATTCAGTCAACTCCAGGTTCCCCTGCAACAGGAGGGAGATGCCAGCATCCAGGTTCACCTCAAGCGCTGTTTATACAGCTTAAAGATCGTGTGATGATAACGAATCCAGAGTTTATTTAGGTTAGCCTTAATTGCAGCAGATCACAGCGATTGGGGGGTGTTTGGGAACAGGAAGAGGAAGCTGTGCACAGATTTTTAAGGAACCACAAAGTATGAAGCCCTGTGGTTTTCGAGCGTTATCTCGATCGAGTCCTGAGCAACTTCCACTTCAAAGGCTTCGGTCGGTCTCGAAAGATCAGAAGGGAAGATTGAGTCCAAGTATCTGAAAGTTCTTAATTAAATTACTGATTCATACGAGGAACTCACAGACGATCAGAGATTTATCTGCTCTAAGGCAGTGACATTGGCTCAGCACTGCATGGTAAACCCATTCAGGGTAAGAGCAGAAAAAAAACCAACTGAACGAGCAGTTCCTCCCATCCCAAAAAGAAGAAAAAAGCCCACCCACAACCCAGCAATGGGAATACCACGCATCCACGTGGAGCACGGGAAGGAGGATGAGTCAGAGGCAAATGAACTTATTACAAGCAGAGAAAGAAATGCTGAAATTAACATCACCCTGCCACATCAGCGGCGTCAGACTGCGGGTTTGGGGGGCAAATCCCCTGGCAATGCTGGGTGCCAGCACTGAACAAAGAGCAGCCCTGAGGGTGTCGCAGCCAGGGGAAGGACCACGACTCACCCTGCAGAGCAGAAGACATCAGGAAGCTCTCCTGAACGTCTGACAGTGCCATTGTAGCAATACTGACAAGTGCCTCTCAATAGCAGCAAAATGATTTCAAGCACAAAGAAAGCAAGCTGCTGGCACCTCGGTGCCAATACAACCCTCTGCCCCAGGGTGAAATACTTGAAAGATTCAGAATAAGTGCTCCAGGCTCATCATATCAAAAGGAATCCCAGGTCAGAACAGCATACAGCGTATTTATCTATTACAGCAATGCTGCAGGAGCCCACCCAATGCAAGTGCTTTTGGTGATCCCTCCCTCACCACCTGCATCATCTCTCCTTTAAAGAAACCACTGCCGCTCTCAAGAAAAGCAAAGTCCTCTGCAAAGTGCTGACACACATCAACTCTTAATTTCCCCTTCAAGTCTTCCTGACGCTGCTCAGCATTAGCCGCAAATTTGGAGCATTTCAGGCACACGCTGCTCCCTGCCCCTCACTTCCAAAAGATTCCAGTTATGAACATCTGTTGTTTACAAGTGCTAAGCCTGAAGGTTGCCAGACTTATTCTGCATCTTCGACTTCAAGGCAAAGGCTGCCAGAAAGCCATCTGAATCACGCTGGGATATCCTGGACATTCTGCTCTCCAGCTGACAATTGATTGCTACTTGGTATCCTACTTGCAAGGACTGCCCTGATTTAAAACACGGCCTTAAAATAGCACTGCCTTTTTTTTTGGGTTTTTTTTTTTTTTTTCCCCTTTAAATTTTTCCCTTGAAAAAGATTCACTGAAGATCTGCTGTGGTTTTCACATTAACTGCTATTCCAAAAGGCAAAGGTCTGTAGGACAGAGCCAGGCAATGGAAGCATCAGGGGCTCAGTGCAGGGCAGACACATCTGTGCCACCAGAAGGGACCCCAGGACCCCCAGGGGACCCCCAGGAGCTCCCATAAACAGCCACACAGTGGGCTGCTGGTTCAAGAGATATTTAAGGAGTGATGACTTCCAACCTCAGAGCAACAAGCTCCTTTAACAATAGGAGTCGGAAGAATTGGGCTGGAAAATGCATTTCCTCCCCCTCCAGTCCTTACAGCTCACGTGGGGATATTTTCCAAGGGGCAGCGAAGAAGCATTACCAAGTAGATCTGGTTTGTCCTCTTGAGCAATCTGTTCTAATTGGAAAACCAGTTTTCAGGAGGACCAGGCAAGGCAAGCTCTCACAGCCACAGCAGAGAAGATAAAAGCAACTAAAAACCTGGGATGTATCCAACTGCCATCAACTCAGATGTCACCTTGGCTAAATCAATCTGTTCCCCCTCTTCAAAGCTACAAAATGAGAAAAACAGACACCTACCTCTGCAAATCCCTTTAAGATGCTCCCGTGAAACCAGCCTGAATCTGCACAGCGTGCAGCACCCTTTAAGCCCATCGCTGCCCATACGCAGCTCGTGAGACCCAGCACCCAGATTTCAAAGCCCACCTGGAAAACACAGCCATGTGATGTGGCACAAAGCACAAAACCCACACCGTGCAGTTACTACGAGCTGCACCTCACCGTGCTCTCCTTGAAGTGTTTTTGTACCATAGATGTGGCAGAGGATGCCACAGAGCCCAGTTTTGAGGGTCAGGCTGAAGCCTCCTGCCCTTGACAGCTCTCCCTGAAATTAACCCCTTTGGAGCAGCTCAGCAATTACACGATAGCTCTCAAGTATGAAAGCACATGCAAATTATAGGGTTCCTGCCTGACAAGTTTCCTCCTTGACAGCGTGTTATGAGATCTAAAATCTGCAAGTGACATGGTAAGCAGTCCCTGAATGATATGGTACCTTCCAGTGTAATTGTCACGTAATAGAAGGAACATGCTATTATGGGATATTTATAGGGTCACAGCCACACAATTACAGAGGAGCCAGCAGCCCATGCACATCTCAAAGTCATATAATCCCAGGCTCCGTAGGTGGAGAGATGTGATGGTTGGCTTTGATCAAGCTGCCTTTTAGGGGGTTCCAAATTAGATTACAGCTTCAGCATCTACTGAAAAGATGATCAGCCAAGTCAGTCCTTGCTGCTCAAACAGAGCAATGTTTGGGATGGGTAGTTACAACTGGAATTGCTTCCTTACTGATCCCTGGGGTATCTGGATGTATTTCTGAATGCTGAGGCCAGCAGAAAGCAGTGACCAAAAAGCAACAGCAAGAGCTCAGCAAGACTCACTGCAGTGACCAACGCTGTCTGTAGCCAATCAGCCTTAGGACAACGGGTTTTTATTAAGATGGGATTTTCCCCTCATCCCAGCTCTTACCCAAATGAGCATATTGGTCAAATGGGACTCAGCCTTGCGGGGCAAGACGTTCCCAAAGCAAGATGCTCTCCTGCTAGGAGCCATCTGCTGCTCATGGAAGCAAAAGGAGCAGAGTGAGCCACGTCAGCCCTGTGCACAGCAACGTGAGTGCAGTGCTCAGAGCACAGGGGTGCTGCCCTGGACACGACAGAACAGCACAGATATGTGCCTCAGCAATTCAGGTGAAAGCTTTATGTGCTGATAAATTCACCTGTCCAATTCAGCCACATAGTAGTTGAGGGATTTGAGGACAAAGAGCTCTAAAGGTGAGCGAGGAAACTGAAAGAGGAAAAAATGGAAAATGAAAATCTGCATTTCTGATGGGATGTTTCATAAATGAAATCAAAAACAAAAAGCTAGTGGGTTGGACACACACGCTTTAGACAATTACTTTCTACAGGTATGCAGAATAACTTCTGTTTCTCAAATGGCTGCACTTAAGAGTCATGCTCTCCAGGCAATGTAGCACAGTGTCCATCTTAACTGAGATCTAAACAGATGACAGAGCTGTGCAGAAAATAAACTAAAGCTGCACAGAACTGAAGCTGAAATGGTGCCTACTGAGTGTTTTTTGCAAGAAGGGCCATAGTTGGAAGGGAAAGCTGATCTCCCCCAGCCCCCCCCCCACAGCAACAACAATAACACAGAGATGAGGGCCCAGCCCAGCAGTGCCAGAAGTCGGGGTGGAGGCAGTGCAGGATGCTGCCAGGAGACAGAGTGGAGCTCAGTGACTCATGGCTGCTCGGTCACACTCAGTGCCACGGAACCACATCCGCCACTTATTGCTCATCCAACCCAAGGAGCTGAGTGGGAGCAACCAGAGCAGGATGACCAGACCTACCTGCAAATAGAACTTCAAGCAGGTGAGGCAACTGCTGTCATTGAGACTGAAGGAAATCCCAGCTGTCTGCACTAAATGTGGCACAGAACCTTGCCCACCCTTCCAAGCAAATGCCTCCTTTTTAGACTGTGCCAATTTTTCACCATTCCATTCCTTGTGGACATCGTATGACTTAGAAGGAGATGCTGAAATGAACCCAGCAAGCAGGCTATGAATGTGAAATGGGTTCTGTGTTCATCATGAAGTTGGGAAACATTGACATCCACAGCCATGCTGACACTGACATTCACTGTACCAGCTCACTTCTGGCATTCCTACCCTTGCAACCACATTCAGAAGCAAAAAAAAAAGGACAAAAATAAAAATAAAAAGGCAAATACTCTACTTGAATTGCTGGTCTTTGGTGCTCCTAGTTTTAGCCAGGAATCTCTCAGCCAACTTCTCCAAATTCCTCGAGTAATCCATCTCAATCTCTGCCTTCTTGCGGAAGAAATCCTGCAAGTCCTGCAGTAATTGGACCCGGAGCTCACACTGCTGGTCAAGGCATTTCAGCTGCTCTACCAACTGGGCACGGATCTCTGTAACAAACAAAAGCACTGGAGATTAAACAAAATCCCATTAAACACCCACAAAACTCTCCAGTAAAATACAGTCAAAACATCATTAACGATACGTCAGCAAAGCTCCATTATGATTAACTCCGTGCTCAGGCAGGAGATGACTGCATTGCCCCCCAAGGGTGCAGCAGGAAGAGGGCAGGCTGCAATGCACCAACCCATGGGCAGAGCTGCACTGCTGGGAGCACAGAGGTTGCAAAGCTCCAAGTGCACTTCTGGCATTCAGAAGTCACTGCCTAAAAACGCACTGTGACTACAGGACCATGAAGAAGTAACACAGGCAGGTGTTAATATGATTATTATACGTAATTAGTCTCAAAGACAGCTTTTGTATTTGCACTGTATTTTAGCCACTGCTTGCAGAATGTGTCACAAACATGGCAGGACATTATGGAGACCCAGGCACTGGGTGAGACCATTTCCAACAGGGCAACAGGACATGGAAATGCATCAGCCCAAAAACATGGAAACATTGAGTGCTGCAGCTGGGACAGCTTGCTTTCAGAAGGCAATAAACTCAGCATGCAAATAATAAAACAGGTACTTTGAGCACTCAAACATCAGAGCTGCCCACTGCAGCCGGACAGTTGCTGTGCTCTGCCCAAAGTTCAGAGATATGCTGTTCCAACCTGTACTTCATAAGCAATAAAATTGGGAAGTGGAGCCCTCAGGCCCTCCCAACACACAGCTCTGCATCCGTCCACACATCACAGCTGCAGCACAACTCTGTCACCACAACCAAAGATGGGGAAGTATCATTTTCCAAACTCAACTTCTTAATCAACGTCTTTATCACTGATCAACATCTTTATCACCAGGCCCTGCAGGGGAGCCCCATCCCATGAGCACTCCTCTCTGCCGTGCTTATCTGCTGCCTTCAGCTGTGCTCACATCTGCAGGAACAAACAGTTTTGGAGGGTTGGGGATTGCAAGCAAAGAAAGCACGCTTCTTTATTTTAGGGACTCAGGAACCCAAAACACGTGTATACAAACACAGCTCCTCATCAGGCTTGCCAAAAAGTCATCTGCAAGAATGCGGGTTGTTCAGGCTCAAAGATGACCTCTCTTAGCACTGCAATCAGTGCAGACCACTTCTGAGAGCGCGTGGAAAAAACACAGGGCAGCAAAGCGACAGCAGATGAACAAACCCACGGACAAAGCTGGTCAGTGCCAACTTCACCCCGGGGAGAGGATCTCAGAACAGGAAACTTCTGTCTTTTCATCAGGAAACACAGCTACAAGCAAATACACGAGCCCGAGTTGTCCGCATACTTCTTTAATCAGAACCAATGCAGCATGTGTGTCCCTCCAGGCTGCATTCCCACAGCACTCACTGCTGCTCCTCCCACCCACCCAGCTCCATCCTGACCCCCAGACCCCCTCAGATTCCCTCTCTTCAAGCTTGCAACTCAGAGGTCAGCAGAGCGCGTTCATTTTAATATGAAAATTAAAACGAAGTCATTGGTTCTCAGGGCAGAGCATTTCGCACGCAGCTCTCCTGCTGCAAGCAGCACGGACCCGTAACCTTTGCCTTCAGCAGCAAATGCACTCTCAGCACTCCCTGTTATCAATAAAGGCGCTGTTTGGGAGGGAAGCAGCGGCTGATGGGGTGCATGGGAACAATCCTCCATTCAGCTGCAGCTGGTGGAGCCTCTGCTGCTGCCAGGCAGGGGCAACCTTGCTCGTCTTGCAACATCACCGCCCCCTGTTTTGCCACATCAAGGCAGGAATTTCCTGAGGCTTTACTGGGCTTTGTAGAGAATGAAGCATCCGCTGGTCCCCCCACAAAAGCACAGGATGGGTTTTTCATGCTGGCGCTGAGCACAGCGCAGGTCCCCCATCACAGCACCGCCCTGTGCCTGCTGACTTCACGTTCACTGCTGTTGCATCCTCAATTGGCACAAGTTATTAGGTTAGCAGCCACATCAGAACACCCCAAAGCCCCCTACCTCCTTCCCTACACCTTGCAGGCCACCCCAAGTGACCACTCACAACAGTGACACAGAGCACAGTGCTGCAGGTTGGGAGAGCCAGGCTTACAAACCAGCTGTTCCAATTCCCAATGAACCCTGCTCTGCTGTGCAGCCCCTACTGTGGCATTTCAAACTCACGTGCTGCAATTAAAGCATCCCAAACAGCAAAAGGAAAAAGCCTTCCGTGCCTTTAAAACAAACTGTTTACTCACTTCCATCATCAGATCATAAAGTCACCTCAGTCAGAGCATTGTAAAATCCCAGACAGTTGTTTGGCTTTTTTAATCCTCTCTGCTATGCTTCCTGTATGCACCCAGCAATCACATCTCGTTATTAAAGCATTTGGGGACAGAAAGTTCTTCTACCTTCCCTATTTCAGTCACAGAATGGCCAGGGTTGGAAGGGACCTCAAGGATCACGAATCTCCAACCCCCCCTCCACATTTACACCCCATCTATTAGAAACCCTACAGCATATGAAGTACTGATAGGCACAAGTGATGCTGCGTTTATCGTTAGCTAATTGCCCCTGAAATAAACACAAGGCACTTAAGCAGCAGCTCCACAATGCAGTTGCATCGGCCCACTTCCAGGGGAAAACTTTGTGCTGCATCATCTGAGCTTTGCTTTCTGCTGTGCACAACACCTTCCCTGCACACAGAATGCTCCCAGGACACCGCTAAGCCTCCCAGCTCCCATCCAGCAGCAGGGAAGATGGAATGGAGCAAACTGCTTTGCCAGCACTGAGCATCACAGACACATGCCAGGGTAATCCAAGAACTGCACTTTGAAGTGGAAATGCCAAGAGGAGGACATGCAGCTTTAGCTCAGGGCCAGAGCCAGGAGGGAGATTCAGACTCACAGTCCTATTAAAAACTGCCTGCCTCGGAAAAAGGTAAACTTCCCTTTACAACGGGATATTCGTGAGTCATTGGAGAATTACTGACGTTGGGTAAGGCATGTTATAACTGCAGATGGGCTCTTGTCACACACATGTAGAACAGTTGCAGGCATCAGTCAACAAAATTCCTTCTGATACAGACTGTGGCAATGTTTGGAGGTATGAGATGAGTGCAGTGAAATCAAGGAAGAGGTTACGAGACGTGCCTGCAAGCAAAAAGCAAGGCAGGCTTTGGGTCCCTGAGAACTACCAAAAAACACTCCTCTCTCCTTTGCATACCTCCATCCTAATGTATTTGCATCACTAATTACTCAAGTCTGGGACAGCAGCTGCCCCAGACACAACAACAGCACCCCAAGGAGCCACGCAGCTCACAGTGCCCACACTCAACCCACCTGCATGCCATCTCACAGCTTGGACATACAAGTGTTCTTCAGCCAAAGCCCCTCTGAACGAGCAAACCTACATATTTGTTCTCCATACCTGCAGATAAAACCTGCTAATGCTTTCTGAATGCCAGATAAAGCCTTACAGATGAGCAGTAGAACCACACCGCTCGTCTGCAGCGTGGATTTCCAGAATGTAAGAATTAAATCATGCTGACACAGGGACCATTAGCATAAGCAAACCCAACGCACAGACATCACTTCGCATCCCCAGTGCTCAGAACTTGACTCCAGCTGACAAACCCTTTGCAGCCTCCAGCCCTGAGCACCCACAGACTGCTATGGAGCAACTTGAAATAACGTGTTTTCCGAGCAGCTTCCTGATGGCTCTTTGAACAGCTTGCTCTCATGCACAGTGACACATCCAGCACTGCAGGGATGGCCAAAGACTTGGTGGATGCTGTTAATGTATGGGATGAGTTGTCTGGACAACCGAGCAGCAGCACACTGCTCGAGATGTTCTAAGAAAGTGGCTCAGCGAATGCTTTCACAGCGACAGATTTCTTTTTTATCAGCAGCTCACACAGATCTATCAGAGCCACAATTAAATTCTGTTCTGCTCAGCTGTCTGCAGGAAGCAGAATAATCACATCAGAGCCGTGGGTTTTTCACCAAAGACGTGGCTGGGGGGCAGGGGCTCCCAGGGGCACGGGCTGTCCTGGAGCACACAGCATCCCTGCAAAGCACGGCTTCCTTCCTTTCATCTGCTCCATAAGCACATCCGCTGCTTGACGAGCTGCACTTCCAATAAGCACAGGCAGGGCAGAGTGACACTGGAAATAATTAATGTTGGCTGACTGTTTCAAAGCCCAGAGACAGCCCAGTTATTTGAACAACTCACAGTTCAGAAGCCATCACCCGAGCGTCTGTGCATCAGAGCCAGGCTGCGCAAAGAGGGAAGGAACTGCACCATTCCTGGGCACGGGTACAGAGCAGAGCCACTAAACTGCACGGCTCTGAGCATCTCCATGGGGTACAGCTGGGGGAACAGCTCTGCCCACAGCCCCACGTTGGACAGCATTTGCAATCCAAAGCAGAGCTTTGACACCTTGAGCAAGTCACATTCTGCATCTTTCTCCTATTTAAACCAACTGTGCTGTTCTCGTATGCAATGCACAGTTTAGGCTTTGGACTTAACCCAGAATTGAAGTGATCACCCCTGGGTGAAAGACACACTATAGACACACCACTATTTACCATTTTAAACATCATAAGAAAGCTACAACAGAAAGAAACATCAAGCCCAAGGATGGCTCACAAACAGTGCCCACCCTGGGCTTCCCCATGGGCTGTGAGAATTCATCAGATCCATCACAAGGTGTGGGAAACTCGTTTAATTCATTTGCAAGCAATGAGAGGGCTGGGCGTGGGGAGAGGAGGGAGGGGAGCCAGGGACTCACGGCTCTGAGTTTCAAAACAGAAAGCCATTTAAATGAAGAATGTTGCACGGCCCTGTTTTAGGCTGCACAAAGCGAGTTAAATTCCTGCGTAAAAGGGAGAGGCTGGCACTTGCTTTCAACAGAAACATCTATTTATGCTAGAATGGAAATCCAGCAGGAGGAGAACAGCAAAACAGGTCTGGAAGACAAAAGCAGAGTTAAGATGCTGCCACTTCTTTGGCAAAGCACCCAGACTCGCTATATGGGAATGCCAGAGACTGTGCATGAGGGCTGCTGCACATCGCTCTGCATTGGACCTGTATGGCCCAGAGTGAAGACAACGTGCCTTGGTTAGCTGTATTTTGCTCAGATGATCAACAATCAGTTGAAAAGTTAAGAGAGACTCTCCATCTCTTACAGCCCTGCCCCATCCTTTCACACACCCACCTCCAGGGGTTGGGTATCAAAGAGGAACAACTGATTTCCATTCCAAACGCTCCTACTTTTACAACTAATTACACTTGTAGCTCATTTTTTCCAATTACAGAGCTACCAAAGCCCACCTGGCAGAGCTCTGTGGATATTTGATAGCCATAAAGGTAAAGCAGCACACAGGGGCTGCCCAAGCATCACTGCCCATCCCTACAGCACTGGGCAGAATGTTCTGCAAAAATTCTTCCCAGTTTATGTGAGACTCACAGGGGGCATTCCATGCAAAGCAAAGCTAGGTGCGTTTTTCAAGTCAATAAAATTGCTGGGACACGAGTGGTAATTAATGAGTTATGTTCTAATCTCCGCAATAAAAGGAAAATCCTTGGGTGAATTATGTCATATATTTAGAGATACAAACAGAATGATTAATGCCGGCGTCTCATTTAATTTCACCTCAGGATTCCTTCCCCTCCCTCTCCTCTTTGGTAGCTAACAGATTAACATGCATAAATGATCAAGAAATAAATGAAGAGGAACAGAAAGGGACGTGCGAGCGCTTCGAGCTCCATAACAGCCCCTTCCAGCATAGAGCCAACCCCCAGAGGGAGCACAGCAATGGCTTTCAGTGCCACCAGCCTCTCTCATCTCTCGATATCCTAAAGAACCAACACTCAGAATCTCTCTTACGGATAGGAAAGCAAAAGGGATGAGGTCCAGCTCATCAACCAGCATCAAACCCGCACCCACCTGTGCGTCGGAGCGGTGCGGTGCCAGGGGACACATTGGGCCAGCAGCCCCGTGGCCTGGGGGACAGAACCATGGTGAGCATCCGAGGGAGCCACAGCCTGCGAAGAGCAGGATGGACGGACGGAAGGAGGGACAGACGGACAGCTCAACACCGTGAGTCAAGCACAGCCCAGTGGCAGCGCCAGCCCGCCTCCCAGCCAGCCCCACGCGTGCTTTGGGGAGCTCTGGGGAGCCATTAATTAACCATGAGCATTTCGGGAGAGGTGAATAATGAGCATCGTGGCAGATGAGTTCAGTGAGATCAAAAAAGGCCCACGTGGTGACCCGAGGTGGCTGTGGACGGAGCCGTTTCCCAGCTGGCCACCTCCTGATCCCTGGGTACAGGAGCCATTATGGGGCCCATTGCACCCTTAAAATGGCACGACACCTTATGGTAAATCCATCTTATCTGTTTACACCAGAAATTAAATGGGAGCACTGTTTCTAACCCACCTTTAGCGTGGCAAATAAGCAGAAGATATAAACCTGATGTAAAACCACCGAAGAAGGTTATGCAAAGAATTTTACTCCTTTCTCCCTGTCGCTCAGTCCTTGTTCACATTCGTAAGTTTACCCCAGGAATGCTCAATGAAAGCAAAGGCAGCACAAGCAGGCGTCCCCAAGGCAATCATAGGACAGGGAAGAAATTCCATCAGAGCCATAAATATTCAGCAGTGTACGTGAAGGGCTGCCACGCAGAGGAACTGGCATTTTGATCCACAGCACCTCTTGTAAAGATGCAAAATGAGTATTTGACAGAGCCTGCAGAGCACGAATTACGTGAATCATCGTTTTTCTATCAGTTCTTTGTCAGCTGTAGCAACACCCATTCATCAGCACAGCTCCGAGCAGGGCAGGAACAAGGAGATGATGGTTTTCCATACGCCTTCATCACAAAGCTGGCCTCAAAACTCACGTCCTCCTCCTCTGGAACATGAATAAGGTTCTACCTACTATTATGGACAGTTGCAAATGTGTGCAAAAGAAGTTAAATACAAACCTTCATTTAAAGAAGATGTCCCAGCTGTCTCCAGCTCCCCTATACAGAAATCCCTATTGACTCCCCCCAAAAAAAAGGGTTTTCCAAAGACACACAGATGCAACAGAGCAGACAGATTGCAGCTATTCATTAAGACGATCACGCAGGAATGCAATTAGTAGCGGAATGCAAGAAAGCAAAACCACAACACATTTCTGGTGCATCTCTGAAGCAACCGTAGGCTGAGCGTGGTGCATAAGCCAGGTGCTCATCCAGATCCCAGCACCAATCACAGCATCAAACAGCAGCAAGAACACATTCACCAGCAGCAAAATGCAGTCCAATGATGTCCTTCTGCCCTTGAGAAATCCCATGGGACCTTTTCCATCATCATGCAGGTGGGATTGGGGCAGAGGGGAGGCATGAACACTGCTTTTGGAAGCGCAGACAGCTCAATATCGAGTCATTAAGGTTGGAAAAGACCACTGAGATGACCAAGTCCAACTGCTGACCATCACCACCACACCATTAGCCACAGCCCTACACCTGCAGCCCAATGAGCAACGCACCCCATTTCTCATCTGCTTAATGCAATGCCACGGAAACAAGTTGGTCCCCACAAAATGCACACCAAAAAAAAAAAAAAAAGGTTTATAAGATTTATTAAAACCATCTGGAAAGCAAAACACACGTAACCCATTCACTGTTGGGACTGAGATCCTGGGTGTGACTTATTTACCCTTCTATTTGAACCAGCAGCCATCTGCCAAGATGAGCTGCTGAAAAAACCCCATAGAGCAGAAGCCAAAGTCAACATGGGAGGCAGGAGCTGAGCCTTCGCCTTCAGCTCTTCTGCCAGTCCTGGTTAAAAGGAATGTTTATATTGGTTCGTTTACCAGGGAACTTAACAAAAACACGCCCAATAAAACAACCAAACAAACAGCCCAGCACTGAAATACTAGAAATAGCTGGAAGGTGATTAAGTGCCAGCTATTTCAGAGGGCTGCCGTGCTCCGTTTCAGCGTTCCTTTGAGACATCTCACCATCTTCCCTTCGAAAACAAAACCAAAAAGATGAAGACAAAAAGCAGAAAACCACCTTTTTTGAATGATGGGGAGGAAGCATCCCTGCAATGCCATGCGGTGCTCAGCCTGGGACTGCTGCACTGCCTGATCCGAGCACCAGAGATGAGGCTCTCATTGGTTGCTTTTATTTTTTAAGCATGAATTCTTAAGAAGAACCTATGTTAGGAAGGTCTATAGCAACAGCCCTTAACTGCCTTAGCAATACAGAGCAAGAATATCAATGCTGCAGTAAGAATTCCATTGATAAGGCTGCATGTTTACCCTTCAATAAACCCCACTGCTGGCAGCACCTCAGATAATGTAGAAAATCCAATATTGCCATCCTTGAATTATGAATTATCAATACATTTCAGCTTCTTTTATTGCTCATTACTCATTTAGGTCATTAATGTCAGAAAGCTACAACTGGTAAAGCAACGAAAGACAACACAGAAGAAGAGGGAAAAGGTGTTTCTTCTGGTTTCGAAGGTCAAAATCATAGAATCACAGAATGGCCTGGGTTGAAAAGGACCACGATGCTCATCCAGTCCCAACCCCCTGCTGTGTGCAGGGTCACCAACCAGCAGACCAGGCTGCCCAGAGCCACATCCAGCCTGGCCTTGAATGCCTGCAGGGATGGGGCATCCACAGCCTCCTTGGGCAACCTGTTCCAGTGCCTCACCACCCTCTGGCTGAAAAATTATATATACTAAAAAATACCTGTAAAACAAATGCATATAGCTACACACATGTCAACTGATACAGGAACAAAGAGCTGCTCCCAGTTCATTTCACATTTCCTTTTGCCATTTGCCAAAAGACGTTCAGCTGAAGTCAGCAGAACTTCCCATTGCTCCCCAATTACTGCCTCCGACTCGGAGCAAACCATGACAGCTTCACGTTTGCTTCTACATTTCATTTTTATGGCACTGCAACATCTGCAGAGGATGCTGTAATTAAAAGAAGGAATAAAATTAAGTTTTAAAAAAAAGTACGGATGCAAGTCAGCTGGTTTGCCTGAGGAAAATGGATATACAGCAAGTGAATGAGTACGGATGGCCCTCAGCAACAGCAGTCAGCAAACTGTAACCTCCTGAACTCAACATCACTGCGACTGCTGAAGTGCTGTTGTGAGGAGGTTCTGCATTCCTGGTTTGCATGTTCAGCTCGTCATCTCCTCCTAAACACAGCCCAGGAACTATTGATTGATTGGCTTGACATCCTTCAAATGCAACGTGAAGACTGATGGATAAATCCCAGCTTTCCACCTCGCCTGACCTGAAAAGCTCCATTCTTACCCTCGGTGACACTGCAGCACTATTGTGCATCCTCACACAAAGAGCCTGAACTGAAACAACACCATGCAACAGCACTGTCCAGCAATGCAAACAACCTTCCTCAAACTCAACAGCCTGCTGAGGAAAAGACAGCAGTGCCTGGGGACAGCAGCACCACAGCACAGCAGATGCGCTCCGCTGCTCACCCAACACCTCACCCCCAAGCATTAATTTTTGCTGTGCCACAAGCTGCTGTTTCAAGTTTAACGCTGTGCTTTCCTGGATTTCACAACTGATTTAAAAATAGAACGAACAGAAGATTCTTTCCTCTAAAGGTTTCGGTTCCTTCTTTGCAAAAGCTTCATCGACTCCTCCTGGTGCAACACGGTCTGACCTCCAGCTGAAATCAGCCACCACTGCATCAGTCCTTGGGGTTTAATGACCAACCCTCATGAGCCATACAGACTGCACACCAAAACAACGAAGACAGGACACAGAACGGGTGGAAAACCAAACCAAGATTTCACTCTAAACAAGGAAAAGAGCTATTAAAACTATATTCAATTACCAAAACAGCATTTGGTGCTGAGTGAGGGTCTGGATCGGTTATCAGGTGCCAGATGTCATCTCTTCAGCTCACCCAGAAGGATGCAGCGATGTTCAACGCGTGCATCACACACAAAATCTGACTGTGAAAGTGCCAGCAAGTCTTCTGCTCCGTTTGCTTTGCTGCTGGTTGTTCTGCTAACGCTTGGGAAGGCGAAGGAGGAAAGGCATTCCAGCAGCACACTGTGAAGAACACCATGCATTTGTCCATCTACAGCCTGCAGTAAGGTTGATGATGCTGTGTAAACATTGAAGCACTCTCTCTGGCACCCCTGTGCCCCTCAGCCCCAGAAACAACACAGCAGCAGCTCACTGCATGCAGGCCTGAGCCTCCTCTTGCAAACACTGACCAAGAAGGAATGAGGACAGATGTACTGACAGAGTTCTAGCTGTCTCATCTCTGCAGACTGTCACCCTTCCATGGGGAAGAAGTGCACTGTCTGCTATACAGCCTCATCCCAAAGAAGCAGGACTTGCAAATCAGCTTCAAAAGCCATTTTCCCTTCTAACCTCCAGCAAAGAATACGAGCGAGAGGCCTTCACTGAGGAGTGCAAGAAAGGACCTTTGGCTCCGGGATGACAAACAGCTCAGAGGCCACACAGCTCCATGGCTTCTCATTCCGGCTATTGTCAGCTAATAATAGAACCACAGAGCCCACACAGCCTGGTGCTGGCTATCCACGTTTCCATCTGAGAGCTATTTAAAGCGTCAAACGAGCAAGTTTCTCTTTGAATGTCAGCTCAATACGGGAAGTCGGGGCCAGCACAGCCTGCAGCATCGCTGCATTCCCCAAGGCTGCCTGTTAATTACGCAGCACAGAGCTGATCTTGCATGGAAGCTGTGGTTGCAATGCTGCTCCTGCACGACCAAAGCATCTGGCTTTGGAACATCAATGGCACACGCAGAGCCATTGAATAACTCGGGTGGGAAGGGAGACTGTACACCAAATCGCTTTCACAGGGTAAATGTTACCTCAGCTGCACTTGCAGTAAGCTGGCAATTCAGTAATTCTCTATGGAATTACACAGAAATGTCTGTAGAAGTAAAAACACCACCAAGCTGCTGCTTCAGTGCTCGTCCTGTGCTGGTGGTGAGGACAGGCACTCAGCCGTGTGCTGCTTTCCAAGAAGCAGACAGCAGGAACCTCTGTATGGGTTCCCAATCCCTCATGCATCACACGCCATTCCCCTGGGACACTGCCCACCTCTCAGCATGGCTTACATTTACTTATGAAGCGATGCACCTTCCACAGGACAAAACAACACGCTCATATTATTTCTGTAAAGATTCAAGTTTTCCTTCAGAATCGATGCTGGAATATCAGTCTTTAAGAAGCCTGGGAGCTCCTCAGGATTTAGGAGCCCCATCGCCACCCCAGCACTCTGCACACAAGCCTGGCAGTGCTCCTCACCCTGCAGCTCAGCCCTTCCTTGTGCCATTCCCATTGCAACAACTGGGACTGCATACGAAGCAGGACTGAAAAAAAAACGTAGTGAAGTCCTCCACACTGACTTCTTGCTTGCTAAAGTAGATTTCATTTATTCTCAGTCTGCAGACTGCTCAACGTGAACAGAACATTGAAGGAGATATCACTGAGGAACCCCTTGGCAAGCCAAGAAAAGCCAGCTCTCAAAGTGAACCCACTGCTTGCCTGCTCTCCTCCAAGCTTTGGGCTCAGTGGAGCCGCCAACAGAACTGAGACCAGCCTGCATCCAAACCTACTGACAGCAGTGAAGATAAGAGCAAGTTGTTCTGCTCAGTGCAAACCCACGGTGGGGAGCAGCTCTCATCCAGAGCCTGCAGAAATGCTGCATATGGCAGAGCAAAAGAGCTCGAGTTAAACCCAAAACAGCCACACGGGGAAGTGAAGAATAAGCGTATAAAAATACCAACTTAGGTAGTGAAAGAAATGCAGTCTGCACTATTCGTTTACTTAGCCTAACCACACCATTAACCATTCGCCATCAGTAATAACAGACATCCTCACCATCACCACTATGCAGAGAATATCCGTGCTGTCAGTATGAACAGCCTAACCTCAAACCAAGCTAAGGCACGTAGGAAATGACATCACCACGGAACCAGAATCCCAATTGTCAGTCCATCCTAATCACTGACGCGGCCAAGTGCATTTCTCTTAGCTCTCCGTGCACTTTTCCCCTTCCTTGGATGGGGACGATGGCTTTGTAGCTGTGTCTGTTCCAGCCCCAGCTGATATGCAGATGAAAAAGCCAAGGGATGGCTCAGCAGGGAAGGGCTGCAGGGTGTGCTTCAGCACTGAGAGCTCACAGCTGCAGGGAAGTGCCCACCAAGCCCCTGTGCGACAGGCAGTGGGTGAGCATCTCTGGCCACGTTCTCAACTCACCCATCTTTTTGGCAGCTCAAAGGTTTGTAAGTTTTAAAGCACGTCTGACATTCAGGACCGTCAATCCAGCATCTCTGCCAGCACTGAGGTTCATGTAAGCCCTTAACTCCTAAAAATAAACCATCAAGGAAACATTCATTCAGTCTCATTCCCACCGGAGCAAGAACAACTTTGGAAGAATCATTAAAAAAAAAAAAAGCATTTAAAAATAGCAAACCTGTTTATTTGCATTCTGAAATTTCAGTGGAGCATCTCTTTCCCACTCATTCCCAGTCCAACTCCCGAAGGCAGAAGGCAGGGAGGACAAGAAAAAAAAGAGCAAAAGGAGTCAAGAGAAATGCTCTGAGTGCTGCCTGGCTGCACTTTAGCTACGTGCCAATACTACTCAGCACTGCACCTCACTGATGGAATTGCTTCTGATTGTTCTTTGCTGGATGAAGAGAGCAGAGCAGCGGCTGCACAGCTGTGCAGGAACACCCTGAGCAGCATCTCCAACCACACAGACCAAAAGATTAAAAAAAAAAACAACCCCACGACGTTCTCTCAACGCATTTCAAGATCTGTAATGGAATCCCATAAATCTCAGCAGGGTCGTTGTTTTAAGGTCACGTCGAGTAATTGGCTGCCCTTTAATCTCTGCACCTCCTTTCGGTCTGCTCCGAACGCAGCACTGCTTCTCTGCATCTTTTGGATCTCTGAAATGAGAGGTGCTGCCCAACACCCCGAGCAACGCGGTGACACAAAGCAACATTGCCACCACCACCACGTTGGGCTGCACGGATGCTGAACAAACAGAAGTCAATGGACTCTTTCCTGCAGGTACGTGCAGCTTTCATCTTTCCTCCCCCACGTTGCATCTCAAAGCAATCTCCTTGAAAGGAGAAGCATTGCTCTTTCAGAATTGATAAGCGTGTTTAAATAGTCAACATATAAATAACTTAGCAAGCACAACTGTAAACCTTTCACAAGATCCAGAATCCCTAACTGAAGGTAACAGCAAACCAACAGAGCTTTCATCCCAACCACAGCAGCCTGTCCTTCTCCTCTGGGTTTGGAGGAGGGTGTGCCACGAGTTACTATTTGCATGAATCCCAATCAGAAAACCTCAGGGACGATGCTGGGGAGCTGGAAAAGGCAACAGAATATGGAGAAAATTACAGTTGCTCTGCCAGCTCACAGCAAGTACTCATTACAGAGCTCTGCCACTTACAGATGCTGCTCTTGGAGGAACCCACAGCAGCAGGAAAGCACAGCAGCCTTGACCACCAGCTCCTTCCCATGATACCAACAGAGCCTTCCTCCCTCGAGGACCACGGCACTGTGATGTTCCTACCATGGGTGCTCCCTCAGACACAGCCACAAATTCATTGCTCACTGCTTTCAGCACATAAAAGATGAATTCACCGACAGGGATTTTCCACCCAGCCCAACTCTGGGATTTCTTCCCTTGGTTTACATGCAAGGTTCACCCCCACCTGCCCCCAGGGCACTTACAGACACATTTTCTGGAGAGAGAGAGAGAGAAAGATGAAAGGCATTTCAGCAGCAGAGGGATGCACCAAGCTCCTTACAGCTATTGGGTTCATTCTGATGGATGTAGGGGGGGGGAAGAGATAATTTGATTGAAAGCAGGGAACCCTCTGATTAACCACAAACTACTAATGCTCCAGCTTTGATTAAAGCAATACACAGTTAAATCTCTGCCAGCAACTGCATGCTGCCTGTCCTCTGCTTCTCCTTTCTATAGCATGACTCATGGGGGAGCCAAAAAAAAAAAAAAAAGAGATAAAAAAAAAAAAACAACACACAAATAGAAACGAAACAGAACAAGAAGTAACCAGATCTTTCAGACACTCAGCTCCAGGGGGAAAACACAAGAGCACATTTTCATTCATTGCAAGTTAAGTTTCCATCCAAACACCATTACAATATCCTGTGACCTTTGCAGCACTGCTATTGTTCCTCCCTTTAAGGAGCACAGAAACTCTGGGTCCTCCCTCCCTTTTCCAGCTGCATGTTTGCGGGCTGGCTCCTGGCAGTGCCTCTGTTGGTGTTTCAGCATCCTCCTGCAGTGCCATGGGTCACTCCTGAAGCTCTGATATGGGAACTGCAGCAACCAGCAGGGCAGATATTGGAGGAGTGCTGATTTTTTTTTTGTGGGGGGGGGTAAAAGGGACGAAGCAGGCCTTTCTTTTCAACAGATGGAAAGAACACAAAGCTAGGGAGAATTATTTTCATTAAAGAGACCAAAGCAAGAACAGGCTCCTTTCCAAAACCACTTCATAGAGATGTTCATTTATTAAGTTTCTGGATAGCTGGTTATCGAACGCAGGGGAAAAACCTCCATGGTGCTGCTCAGAGCTCTGTGCTCATACAGCTCATAAAATATTTAGAGAGTTCTGGTTTGTCATTGATACTCCTTAATACATCCCCTGCACGTATTAATCAAAAGGAAACTTCCCTTTTCCACTGCAACAACAGCTGTTTGGGTACAGCTTCTCTATGCTGAGCTTTCTGAGCTCTTCACATCCATCAGCTACAGCTCTTCAGAACAGATCTGCAGCAGCCCATCTATTGAAGACAAAACAAATAACGTAGCTCCATCGCTGGATATGTGAAATGCTGCAGTCAGGAGAGCTCCTAAAAGGAGTCACAGCCACATTCCATTAAACATCACCCTGCATGTCCCAGTTCTGCCCTGCAGGAGGATGATATCCAAGAATTGGTTTACTAGACAGCTTCATTCCGGGTTACTGATCATCATCTCTCAGATGGGTATTCATGGTGCCACCAACAGCTTTAGGAGAAATGAACTCATCACAGTAAAGTATATAAAGGGCCCTCCCTGGTGAATGGGGATGGGGGAAGGCAGGCATTCAAGGCCAGGCTGGATGTGGCTCTGAGCAGCCTGGGCTGCTGGTTGGTGACCTGCACATAGCAGGGGGTTGGAACTGGGTGAGCATTGTGGTCTTTTTCAACCCAGGCCATTCCATGATTTCATGGAACTGCCCATAATGCCTACCTTTGTCAATTAAATACTAACATAGGAGCATCCTCAAAGACACAACACTCATCTACGCTGCTGTATCCAAAGCTGATCCAACAGGCATCTTGCCAATAGGGCCACACTAAGGTGAGGATGCAGGGCTGGCTCACATGGGCTGCCCTTCTCCTCACTTCCCTCAGCTCAGCCCCCACAGCAGCACTGTTGTGCTTTATTGTAAAGCAGGGTTGTGCTTTATTGCAGCCATATCCAGACATTCTCTGAGCAAAAATGGAACAGCTGGCAATTAAAAGATCAGCACTGGTCACATCACCTACAGCATCACTGATGGCACTGAGAGCGAGGGAAGAAGCGTGGGGATGGGGAATGGGTGAGAAACAGCAGTGGTGTGAGGGCTCCTCCTCACACAGTGCTGTATTGAGGGCTGGGGTGAGGAAAGCAGATCTGATTACCTGGCATAGCTCACCTCACAAAAACATGGCAGTGACAGGGAAATGTTTTGATTGATGGAGGATCTCTGCACGGAGCACAGCTGATCCGCTTGTTCACAGCACAGCTCAGCAGTTCCAAGTCTGCCAGAAACAAAACCAGCCTTCCTCAAAAGAAACACTACAAAACAGCCTTAAAGCAGGGCAGGACAGCTTCCCAAAGACAACCAGGGATTGATTCCTGGGCAACAACTGCATTACTTTCAGTAGATGCAGTCCGTGAGCTCTCCCCATCCATGAATCACGCAGCTCCACGGCTGAGATCTGCAGGAAAACCTTTGCCCAATGACAGCGGTACAAAAACAAACCAGAAAAACCCTTCCCTACTTAAAAGGATGGAAGCCAAAAAGCTCTTCCTGGAAAGTCCTGCAATAAAAAAAAAACAGCCTCCAAATGAGCGGGGCTGACCAAATTACCCTGCTGCAGAGATTCTCTACTGATGAAAAAAAAAGAAATCCGCTCTCGATTTATAGCTAATCTGTTTATTTGGCTCCTTCTCAAGAGCCAAAAAGCCGGGAGCTGCTCCTGGGCCTCCAGATAAGTCGGCTCCCAGCCTGGTTCAGCTTGTAGCATGGAAATAAATGTGTGTAAAAGTTGTTTTGTGGCTCGCTGACAGCGCTCACAGCTCGGAATTTGGGCACCGCATTCAGGCCAACACCTGGAGAGAAAACGTTTGAGGGGGGGCGAAAAAAAAGAGAAGAAAAGGCTTTTTCAAGGATAGGGGTGAACCCTGTGAGCATTCTGTGATTCCTTTCACATCCAGAACGGCAAAGGAAGTGCTTTATTTATTTATTTGTCCATCCCCAACCCCTCCGGCTTTCTTCCAAGCAGTGATGATTAACTCTCACAGAACCGACTGAAAGGAAAGCGACCAGGTCAGGAGCTCTAGAGTTTCACACCACTAGTTCTTTTGATGGCAAGAAATAACATTTGACATGGCTCAAATCCATCCGCAGCATCTACTTGGGAAAACACATCAGCTCAGCCTCCCTGACAGTCATTGCACATGCACACTCATGGGCTTTTTACACTCAATTCAAGAGTTCTGCTGACTGCTGCACAGAGATTTCTCCAAAACAAGGCTCTGTTCTGCCTCCTGCAACCTCACTGCTCTGGAAGAAGAGGAGAATGGAAGAAGGAATGCAAAATGGACTCTAACTATGGAGTTATTGCAAAGTCAACACCCTTTCTTCCATCTTCTCGCTGTTGGAGAAGCAAATCATCCCCTCCATCCTCAGTAAACCACTGACAGCATTCCTGACACTGGAACAGGTTGCCCAAGGGGGCTGTGGATGCCCCATCCCTGCAGGCATTCAAGGCCAGGCTGGATGTGGCTCTGGGCAGCCTGGGCTGCTGGTTGGTGACCCTGCATACAGCAGAGGGTTGAAATGAGATTTTCATTGTGCTCCCTTTCAACCCAGGCCATTCTATGATTCTATTCAAAGAGAAGACACCCACGGTGTTGCAGAAGCACAGAAATTCTCAAGAAAGCTTAAAACCTGCAAAAGTCATACAAGGAAATGAACGACGTGAGGTAATAAAGCAGTGCATGTGAACTGGGCACAGCGTAACGAAAGCTGCTCAGAGGAACACGGGTTCAAACATACTTCCCATCTCCAAGGTTTGGGTTTTTCACCCTTCGTAAAGACAACTGAAAGTTGATCAGGCAAATAAGTTCTTCCCAGTCAATTCCAGAACAAGGCAGAGCTACTGCATGTTAAGAAACAGAGAAGTCAAGAGTTTCAACTAAAAGGAAAAGATTCCTATCTATGCCCTCACCACAAAATGAACCACTCAGAGTTAAGGAGAAATGGAGAGGGGCTCTTCAAATTGGAAGTATGGGAGAAGGATGGATGCTACCAGTGAATTCTTAATAGGATCCCCTCCTCGAGTGGCTCTGACAACTCCTCCTGCTTTTGGAAGGAACTGCAACACCTCACTGCTCGGGGTCAGCTCCAGTTTCACCTTGCACTTGGATTTGCAACAGAGACCCAACCAGGAATTTGAGAAATCAAAAAGCAAGCAGGAAGATTAGCATTCTTTCACCTCTTCGCTGCCTCGTTAATAATCCATTAGTAGGAGCTGTGCATAAGACAAAGAAGAACAAACTATTGCTGCAACATCAAACCCACAGCCCAGCAGCCCCTTCCCCCTCCTGGCAGCCCAGCACCCTGGGATTAGCACTATCAGGAACTGCACAGAAACAGATGATCCCCAAGCAGTTCCATAGCCAGAGTTTGGAGCAAGTCATTGTTGCACACAACTGGAATCACTTACACTCACAGAGCAGTGATTAACTGTAAAAACCCCTTAAAAGGTAGTTTGACATTCTAAATGCACATGGTAATCCAATGTATACAAACTCAACATTTAGAAATATTCCACTGAACCACACCAGGGCACATGTTGGGAAAGGCACGTGTGTGCAGCACTGAGTGAGCAGAGCAATGCTGTGTGAGCTCACAGATGCACTAACAGACCTCACCCATGGAGCACCGACCTCCATCTCCCAGGTGCACAGCTTGCACCAAGTTAGCAATCTGAACTTCTTTACCCAGAAACCAAAAGGCAGCTCTACAAATGGCTCCATCCTATTGCACGGGGAGCACGAACAAAAGAGAACTTCCAATAGCCAAGAGAAATCCTGGCTTCCTTGCTTCAAAGCAGCACATCACCCAGCCCTGCTTACCACGCTGTGACCCCACAGTTCTCCCATAGAGAAGAACACAGCTGTGCCCATTGGAGCTCCTCAGGACCAAGCACTGCCTGGCGTTGTGTTGGTGGCCAGAAGATGTGGCTTCCGATTACAAGCAGTGCTCAGGACCAAAGATCACCACCAGCTCTGCACAGCGGAGCTCCCACAAATTCATGGGCAGACTGGGGAACAGCTTGATTAGTTTTGTTGCTTTTTTTTTTGCTTGCCTGAGGAATTGAAGCTCACCTGATCTAGTGCCTGATGTAGTTGGCAGGCCTGCCTGCTGCAGGGTGCTGCATCCCTTCCAAGCCTTCCTTCCTATGATCAAATACACCAGAGCCAAAAAAAAGGAACCAACCTGAAATGGATCAGCAATTTGGGGGTGATTAAAAGAAATGTTCAGACATCACAGCAGCACCTGGGGAACTCCTCCCTCTTCTCCCAGCTGGGATGCACTGAGCAGACCCTCCCCCTACCAAAATGATCCCTGCTGTTCCCCAGGACTGCTGTAAGAAGTGCAGGTGCTGTGAGTTGCCTTTGTCAGCGCCTGCTGAAGGACAGGAGCAGCTCATGAGCTCTCACTGCATGAAAAAAAATA